CGAAGATTGCACTATCGAAGCAAGAGTACAATGAGCGAAGGCATGAGCGAAGGATTATATAGCGAAACTACAGTGGTAACGGTAATGTGTGAAAATGGGGTGCGCGACGGGCCTAGCGCCGTGGTTGGGAATTGTCGAGGCGAAGGTCCGGAGCGCGGGTTACCAACCGAGCCGTGAGGTTGGGTCGCGTCGTGAACAGTGGCGGGAACAGTACCGAGGCGAGTGTCGCGAGTGGTAACGGATTACTGTTGGGTGCTGTTGGCGGGAACAGTGCTGTACGCGCTGAGCAGGGACGCGAAGTAAGGAAAAGGAATTTTCCTTACACTAGCTTACAAGGACTCCCAACTCCAATATAACTGTTGAGAAAATATCATTGAGCAAAGGATCCATGAGAATATGCAGATACAAGTACCTTTTAGTAGTCAATCAGGTCTTCTAGCCTGCATTTGTCATAGGTACCTCCCCCTAACAGCTCCATCAGCTCTCTCCACTCCACCTTCCACAGGGTATTTGCTCTAGCAAGCATACATTCTTTCGGAAACAAAGGATGTACGACCCTATCAATGTTTTCTTTCCTTGGTCCTTTCCCTTTCTTGAAATTGTTCTAATTTACTTATTAGTCCACTGCCATGTGGCTACGCCACATGAGCATCCCTTTGGGCACACGGTACCTCGATACCGTCATACCCCGGATATAAGCGCCACCCTTGGATAAGCGCCTGGCGCTTTTAATTGGCGCATGGCGCTTATATCCGCTGCTAGATTATAAGCGCACCCCCTGAAAAAAACCTGTTTTTTTATTAGCGCACGTAAACTTTAATTCTTGAAATGTGTTCAAAATCCTGTAACGAATTTTACTTTAGCAGGCGGATGTCTCCAGATTCGGTTCCCTTCACATTCGGACCCTGCACTGGATGCGGGTCCAGTCAGCAGGAGCTGTCAGGAGCTGTCAGAAGCTGTCAGAAGCTGTCAGATTTGGTGTATCTCCCAGTGCGCGCGAGAATTTCACAGACGACCCCATGTAACTTCGACTCGATTGAAAATGCAAGCACGAGATCTACAGCTTGGTGTTAAAAAATATATAAAATATATATGTCGTTTTATAAACGCCGGCGCTTATAAATTTACCCGATTATAAGCCCACCCCCCCTAAAAAAACCTGTTTTATTATTGCCCCCCATGGGGGTATATCCGGGGTATGACGGTACTTAACACGCGGATGTGCCAATCGCAGCTCCTTGCTAAGTGCTATGAATTACCAGCATACAGCGCCCCTCCAGCAGCCTCTCACCTTCACAAAACCAAGGATCCAGCTGGGCCTGCATCTGTTCATCTTCATGCCTTATTGGACAAACTTCCATTTCACAAATGAGGAAGAAAAATGTCACTTGGGGGGCTACTGGTTTCTCAACAGCCTTCTGCCTTGTACTTGTTTTGCTGCGCCTGCATCTGCTTGGGCGTCCATGCCTTCTTGATGCTCAGCGCATGGATGCGAAGCAGCTCGTCGCTTAGAGCACTGTTTACCATACTGTGCCGCTCCAGCAGCCTCTTGCCCTCAAAAAGCCAACTGCTTCACCTGAGCCTGCATCTGCTCATGTTCATGCATTTCCAAACAAACTTGGATTCCAAATAACCCTTGAAGTAAATTCTATACCTCTACTTGTATCTCAGCTTCCATCTGCCTACTTGCCCTGCTGTGCCTGCATCTGCTCGGGCGTCCATGCCTTCTTGATGCTCAGCGCATGGATGTGAGGCAGCTCATCACTCAGAGCACTGTTCACCATGCGGTGCCGCTCCAGCAGCCTCTTGCCCTCAAACAGCGGCGACACCACCGCCACGTCAAACGCCGTGCCACAGTGCCCTGCTGACGTGTCAATCACCACCTGCCAGGTCATGCGGGGCGGCCGGGTGTTGCGGGGGGTTGAGTGGAGGGGGGGTTGGGTGGGTGTTATGGAGAGGGGGGGAGGAGGCGGAGGAGAGGGAGGGGGATGGGGGAGAGGCGGAGGGGAGAGGGGGGGATGGGGGAGATGGGCATGGAAGGGAGCTAATGTGTGCAATAGTGGGTCGGGTTTGGATGTGTGCAAGGAGAACTGACAAGACGGTGGCAGATGGGCACACGCGGGGATGGAAGAAATTTTTGAGACTGTCCAAACGCCACGCAATGATGAGAGGAAAGCCTGCCCCATGTTTGTGCCCTGCCCCATGCCTGTGCCCCGCCCCATGCCTGCGCCCGATACCATGCCTGTGCCCGATACCATGCCTGCGCCCGATACCATGCCTGCGCCCGATACCATGCCTGCGCCCGATACCATGCCTGCGCCCGATACCATGCCTGCGCCCCACCATGCCTGTGCCCCATGCCTGCGCCCCATTCCTGCGCCCCATTCCTGCGCCCTTCGCCATACCTTTGCCCGATAACATGCCTGTGCCCCGCCCCATGCTGCATCCCATGCCTGCGCCCATGCCTGCGCCCCATACCTGTGCTCCGCCCCATGCCTGCGTCCCATGCCTGCGTCCCATGCCTGCGTCCCATGCCTGCGTCCCATGCCTGCGTCCCATGCCTGCGTCCCATGCCTGCGTCCCATGCCTGCACCCCATGCCTGCGTCCCATGCCTGCGTCCCATGCCTGCGTCCCATGCCTGCGTCCCATGCCTGCGTCCCATGCCTGCGTCCCATGCCTGCGTCCCATGCCTGCGTCCCATGCCTGCGTCCCATGCCTGCACCCCATGCCTGCGTCCCATGCCTGCGTCCCATGCCTGCGTCCCATGCCTGCGTCCCATGCCTGCGTCCCATGCCTGCGTCCCATGCCTGCGTCCCATGCCTGCACCCCATGCCTGCGTCCCATGCCTGCGTCCCATGCCTGCACCCCATGCCTGCGTCCCATGCCTGCGTCCCATGCCTGCGTCCCATGCCTGCGTCCCATGCATGCGTCCCATGCCTGCGTCCCATGCCTGCGTCCCATGCCTGCGTCCCATGCCTGCGTCCCATGCCTGCACCCCATGCCTGCACCCCATGCCTGCGTCCCATGCCTGCGTCCCATGCCTTCACCCCATGCCTGCGTCCCATGCCTGCGTCCCATGCCTGCGTCCCATGCCTGCGTCCCATGCCTGCGTCCCATGCCTGCGTCCCATGCCTGCGTCCCATGCCTGCGTCCCATGCCTGCGTCCCATGCCTGCGTCCCATGCCTGCGTCCCATGCCTGCGTCCCATGCCTGCGTCCCATGCCTGCGTCCCATGCCTGCGTCCCATGCCTGCGTCCCATGCCTGCGTCCCATGCCTGCGTCCCATGCCTGCGTCCCATGCCTGCGTCCCATGCCTGCGTCCCATGCCTGCACCCCATGCCTGCGTCCCATGCCTGCGTCCCATGCCTGCGTCCCATGCCTGCGTCCCATGCCTGCGTCCCATGCCTGCGTCCCATGCCTGCGTCCCATGCCTGCGTCCCATGCCTGCACCCCATGCCTGCACCCCATGCCTGCGTCCCATGCCTGCGTCCCATGCCTGCGTCCCATGCCTGCGTCCCATGCCTGCGTCCCATGCCTGCGTCCCATGCCTGCACCCCATGCCTGCACCCCATGCCTGCGTCCCATGCCTGCGTCCCATGCCTGCACCCCATGCCTGCACCCCATGCCTGCGTCCCATGCCTGCGTCCCATGCCTGCGTCCCATGCATGCGTCCCATGCCTGCGTCCCATGCCTGCGTCCCATGCCTGCGTCCCATGCCTGCGTCCCATGCCTGCGTCCCATGCCTGCACCCCATGCCTGCGTCCCATGCCTGCGTCCCATGCCTGCACCCCATGCCTGCACCCCATGCCTGCGTCCCATGCCTGCGTCCCATGCCTGCGTCCCATGCCTGCACCCCATGCCTGCGTCCCATGCCTGCGTCCCATGCCTGCGTCCCATGCCTGCGTCCCATGCCTGCGTCCCATGCCTGCGTCCCATGCCTGCACCCCATGCCTGCACCCCATGCCTGCGTCCCATGCCTGCGTCCCATGCCTGCACCCCATGCCTGCACCCCATGCCTGCACCCCATGCCTGCGTCCCATGCCTGCGTCCCATGCCTGCGTCCCATGCATGCGTCCCATGCCTGCGTCCCATGCATGCGTCCCATGCCTGCGTCCCATGCCTGCGTCCCATGCCTGCGCCCCATGCCTGCACCCCGTGCCTGCGTCCCATGCATGCGTCCCATGCCTGCACCCCTCTGCCACCCCATTCATCGCCCAACCCCCTTCTAACCCTGGGCCAACATCAATCATACTACCACCCAACCATCGCGTCAACACACCGTCTCCGTGCTTCACCACCCATGCGTCTCACCACCAAACACCACTCCACCTCTCACCACCGCACACCACCCCCGCGTCTCACCAGCTCCTGCGGCTGCAGCGCGGCCTTGAGCTTCGCCTCCACGCGCCCCTGCATGTCGCCCATCGCCGCGCCTCGCCTCTCCCTTCTCCGCTCCTGGACCTCGCCTCTTGCGCGCACGCCGCAACTCCCCTCTCCCTTCTCCGCTCCTGGACCCCACCTCCACACGCGCACGCCTTGCCCACCCTTCTTCCGCTCCGCACGCACTCTAAACGGGCAGGCGGCGTGCGCAGGGAGGGACCCGCCGACGGCAAATCCGCCTGCGTCTTGCGGTCAGCGCGCCTCAATGCCCTCGGCGGGGCCCAAACGCGCAAGGCCGAGCGCAGCTGTTGCCGCGCGCTGCTGCCACGTGGAAGGCACGCACGCCGGTCGGGTTAGGGTTAGGTTAGGCGCAATGGAGACCGCGAGGAGGCACTGCTGCTGGGGCCTCAGTCGCTCTGAAGTGGGCCGACGGGAGGGACGAAGCAATGAGTTAGGGAAGATGAGAGGAGAGATAAGGAAGCAGGAAATAGTGGGGAGATGGACTCGCTGAGCCGGACGATGAGCGGAGCGCTTATACGGAATGTTGGGAAGTGAACCGAATCGACGGATAAAGAACATAAAAAAGACCGACGAGATATGGGGCCATCACCGTGGAGCAATGGTCCATTCCCAGTGGGATGCTCTACGAACCAAGACTCTTGGGGGGTGGACTAAAGGGACGTACCAAGACTCTTGCTGCTCTAATCCACACCACTAGTTTTGCCGACCAAGATCCCGTCACCACGTATGACTGCTGGAACCCAGAAATCACCTCAGACTGATTACCTCAGGAACAGACTCAGGCTGGAGCTTTGATGGACTACTAGATGAAGACAGCCTCTTTTGTCGGCTGGAATTCGGCCAGCTCTCTCGAGGAGTGTTGTTGCCGCGCGCGCTGCAGGGGGAGCTCCTCTGTACTTGTCTGGAGCTCAATTCCTTACGAAACATAATTATCATGAAAAGTGCGTTGAACTTTGATTCTAAAGAATGAGATATTCTGGTTAGTCTTATGAACAAATATAACAGTAACTCTTATCAATTATTGCATCCATGAAAATATTCACAGCATCAGTTTTGAAGGTGCATCTAACAAATCCTCCCTCACTCTCCCCCCCACCCCCCCGGGCCCCACCCCCCATTCCACACACTCTCCCCCTCCCCCCCACCTTTCCCCCCTCCCCCACCCCCCTCTCTCCCCCCCCGCTTCATCAATCCTTGTTTACGTTGCGAGATAAATTTCAATATCTGCATGGCACTCTTTGTTGCCTAGTTGTGTGTATCCAAGCTTGTATATCATGAATTGTTACTGTTCACAAGCAATATTGAATAATACCGAATTTGCAGCAAAAGCCTTTCACGTCCTTCCAGAACCGTGCCACGTGCAGCTTCATGCGGACGTGTCGAAGGCGGGATTGATGAAGATCTAGTGTGTCTAGTCAGCAATCCAGGCTCTGTTCTCCGCTCCTGTGCCCTGTTACTAGGATAAGAAAAGTAGGCCTATTTCTGTTGCTGGATTTCTGAGCACCCACTAGTTTCCTGTTTCTAGCCTTTCCTTGCTGCTGGTCCACGATTGTAGCTCCCGGCCGTATCCCTCGGTCAAATAACGGCTCGTCCCTATAGAACTCTACTCGCTCCGATCGCGGGGTTTCGCGTCGCCAGGGGAATAAAGTGAGTTTGCCCGATCCTGATCCATGAGGCTTTGAACCTAGGTGAAAACTACTTTGATTTGAAGGTCACCTGTTTCTAACGCCACTCACCGTACACCTTCCGTGTCTACCTTTCCCGTCGCAGGTCGCAGATCGGGTTTCAAGGGCTGCCGACAACGGTCACATTGCGAAGCGCTTAGACGTTTTCACTGATCACCGAGTCGAATCGCGATGACGGCGAGTGCGATGATCCAGTCAACCGCCAAATGCGCCGCCACACAGGTAGGCGTGGCTTGGGTAGGCATGGCTTAGGTAGGCATGACTAAGAAACCCTCAGTGCTGTGCCTTGTGACGCATCAAACAAATAGCACAGTGCGGCTAAGCAATTGCCTGCATAACCCGGCACGAGTACGCACAGCGAAATTGAAAAAAAAAAATGATGTATGATTTTTTATTTTTTTTTTCCGATTCCGCTTCATTGTATGCCTTAAGACCTCTTGTGTGACACTTCTCTCCGACAGCCTCTTCAAACGTCTTTAATACCCTTCCATTCCCCCCATTTCCCCCCCGTTGTTCCGCACAGGCGGCGCTGCTCGCGGGCGAGCCGGTTCTCAGAGGCGCCACGTCAGCACCGGCGTCTCTCTCGCCCGCCACGTGGCTGCCACTGGGCAGATCCGGGCCCACTCCTGGAGCGCCACGTGTCGCCAGGAGGGCGGGCGTGAGACCAGGAGCAGCGGTGGCGGCGGCAGCGAGAGGAAGGGGTGCGAGCTCTGCAGGCGGAAGAGGTGAGAGAGGAAGAGCGGGGTGGGGGAGGGAAGCTGGGGGAGAATGGGGGAGGGAAAGAGAGGCGGGGTGAAGGGGAGGGGGGGGACAGATTGAAGGGCGAAGGGCGGAGAGAGTGGGGCTTGGATTAGGGAAGAGGAGAGGGGAAGGTAGGAAGAGGTTGTTGCAAGGCGAGGCGGAGGGATGTTGACTGGAGCTCGGGGTGTTGACCGGAGCTGGGGGGCGTTGACCGGAGCTGGGGGGCGTTGACCGGAGCTGGAGGGCGTTGACTGGAGCTGGGGGGCGTTGACCGGAGCTGCGTCGTGTTCACTAGAAAGCAGGTCTCGAGTTGGCAACGAGTGAACAGATCACAAGATGCGCATTCTGACTTGGAGATGCGGGGAGTGGCGGGCGTTTTAAACATGACAAGGAATTTTGAGATTCGAGTTGTGTGTGGTACAGCAATGGGAGCAACCGTAGAAAATCGAAGAGGCAGAAGTTGGGCGAAAATGGAATGGTGATTGCATGTTAAAAAGGAAGGTTTGGGATTAAAGTAAAGATGTTAAGGGGCTGACGAGGTTTATCGAGGGTTTTAGCTTTTGAGGTCCCGAGCTAAAGTTAACAGAAGCGGGCTGTGTTAGCAAGCGACGTATGGCAAGCACGGCACAGCACAACACAGCACCAGCATGGGTATGCATGGTATGGCGTGGGCATGGCATGGGGATGGTTGGCGTGGGCATGGCATGGGTATGGCCTGGGAGGGTATGACATGGGTATGGCATGGTATGGCATGGTATGGCATGGCATGGCATGATTATGGCATGGGCATGGCATGGGTATGGGAAGGTTATGTCGGGGCTTTACATAATGAAATGGGCATGTCCCCACCCACCCCCCTGCATGCGGCTGCTCATTCTCTTCCCCTCCCGTCTCCCCTTCTCCACCCCCCATTCCACTCCATCTCTCCTTTCCAATTCCCCTCCCCTCACCCGCCCCTTTTCGCCCCCCCCTTCCACACCTTCCCCACCCTTCCCCCCTCTCCATCGCCTGTACCCTTCACTTCCCACACCCCCTCGCCTGCTACAGTGTCGTCCTCTGCCTCGCTGCAGCAGGTGCTGCTGGCGTCAGTGTCCCAATCCACGTCCTTCCTTCCTCCCTTCCCCCTGTTCTCCTTACCTCCACCCCCTCCCCCGCCTCTCCCGTGCCCCGTTCTCCCCTGCCGTCCTCTCCCGTGGTACCACAGTGTCATCCGCTGCTGCTCAGCAGCAGGTGCTGCTGGCGTCAGTGTCCCAGTCCACGTCAGCACCACCTCCCGTGCGCCCATCACAGTCAGCCTCATACCCGTAGGTGGCACGATGGAGAGGGATGTGGAGAGGTGCAGAGAGATGCAGAGAGTTTCAGAGGGGTGCAGAGATCTGGAGAGGGATGGAGCGAGGTGTGTAGAGATGGCAATGGCGAATTGAGAGGGAGAGAGGTGTGCACATCGGCATGCATGGGCATTGCCATGCACGGTGACAGGTCTCAGTTCAAGTCCGGTCGTAGGCAGATCCATTCATACACACGTACATCCGCATGTTAATCTACAGTCATGCGGACGCCATTAATCGTCCGCTCCAGTCGCCCCCCCCCATTCCCAGCATGAAGAGGCACACCTCTCATGTGGTTGGGTGTGGTGAGGTGTGGTGTGGGTCACTGCAGGTGGATGGGGTGTGGTGTGGTGCGGACGGACCACTACGCGTGGCTCCTTCCCTCGTTTCAGGGTCGTCCCAACAACTTATTGCACCCTCTTACCTTCTCCTCGCTCTTCTCTCCCCATTCCCCCATCTTCAGTCTCCTTGCCGTACCTCACGATCCTCCCTCCCCTGCCTCCATCTGTTGTGCAGGGGCACACCCCTCATGTGGGTGGGAGTGGGCGTGGCTCTCTCGCTCTTCGCCTCCTGGGTGAGAACTCCCTTAATCTTTTAACACACCCTGCTCCCAGCTGAATTGTCCGTTCAGACGATTCTTATAAGAGATTGTGCTTCCTGCTGAGACCATCGTATATGCCCCTTGTGCGTGCCTCCATCTAGACCAGACCTCCATCGTTTGCTGTCATTGCTCCCCTTCGTTCTGAAGCTCAAGGCTACTTTGTTCTCTCCTCCCCTCTCCTCTCCTCTCCTCTCCTCTCCTCTCCTCTCCTCTCTTCTCCTCTCCTCTCCTCTCCTCTCCCCTCCTCTCTCTCTCCTCTCCTCTCCGTCTCCCTTTTCCTTCTCTTCGTCCCTCTGATGTACAACACCACTGGCATCCTCCCATTACCCACAGGGCTCCAAGTTCGTCATGCAGCGCATGCAGGTGAGCAGCGGTGAGAGTTGGTGCAAACAGGTGAGGTGCAGTGCAGCTGCAAATGGAAAAGCGGTGCAAGCTGTGAGCAGCGGTGCAGCCAGGTGAGCAGTGATGTCAGGGGCCGTTTGTGCAGGCCATGTTCAGCGGCCCTTCTTAACTCTGTTCAGTGGCTCTTCTTAGACGTCGTCGTCTCTCACCCCTCATGGCAAACCAGCAACCCGTCCCCCTCACCACCAGCAAGCCATGATGAAGCAGATGCCAGGTGCAATGCAACCTAGAGGTAAAATAGGGGGGGCAAGAAGCATCGCCTCATGCTCCACTCTCCCTGTTCCCGCTCTCTCCTCTCACCCCTCCTCTCCCCCCTCCTCTCCCCCCTCCTCTCCCCCCTCCTCTCCCCCCTCCTCTCCCCCCTCCTCTCCCCCCTCCTCTCCCCCCTCCTCTCCCCCCTCCTCTCCCCCCTCCTCTCCCCCCTCCTCTCCCCCCTCCTCTCCCCCCTCCTCTCCCCCACCCCATATCTCCCCACCCACCCCAGCAAGCCATGATGAAGCAGATGCTCAGCGCTTTGCAATCCGGAGGGGGGCCGGGCGGCGCGGCCAATCCGTTTGCGGCAGCTGGCATGGGTGGCGGCTCCAACCCCTTTGCAGGCATGGGCGGCGCAGGAGGAGCAGCGAACCCCTTTGGTGGCATGCCCTTCCCCCCGTTATCTCATGCTCCACTCTCCATGCTCCTGTTTCTCTCTCTCTTCCCCCTCCCTCTCCACCCCTTCTCTCTCTCTCTCTCCTCCCATCAGCAAGCCATGATGAAGCAGATGCTCAGCGCCATGCAATCTGGCGGCGGGCCAGCCGGCGCAGCCAATCCGTTTGCGGCAGCTGGCATGGGCGGTGGTGCCAATCCGTTTGCAGGCATGGGCGGCGCAGGAGCAGCAAGCCCCTTTGGTGGCATGCCCTTCCCACCACCACCGCCAGCAGCATCACCCTCATCATCACCCTCCTCTCCCTCGTCGACCTCCTCTGGTTCACCCAAGGCTAAACCCTCTTCTTCAGCCACCAAGGCGTCTGCAGGTGCGTTGACTCATTAGTACTCTTTTCCTCCTCCTCATCACCTTCCTCCTCCTCTTCCTCTTCCTCCTTTGGGTCCTCCGAGGTTAAACCCTCCTCCACAGCTGCCAAGGCGTCTGCAGGCGCGTTGCTGAGGAGCTTTTAAAGTGAACCGAAACATCACCTACTTCTTCCTCCTCGTCTCCCCCTTGGACTTCCTCTGGTTCGTCCAAGGCTAAATCCTCTTCCACAGCTGCCAAGGCGTCTGCAGGTGCGTTGTCAAGGGTGGATTTGAGTGATCCAAAACATCACCAGCATCACCTATTTCTGCCTCTTCTCCCTCTTCTTCTGCCTCCTCTGGTTCCTCCAAGGCTTAACCTTCTTCCACAGCGGCCAAGGCGTCTGCAGGTGTGTTGCTGCTGAGGAGTTTGGGCACACCATGATTCCCGGCATTCTCGCCACTTCCACTCTTTTGTTTCTTCAATGGTCACTTGCTTTCGTCCTTTAAGGTCCCTTGCATGTTTACCCTCGAGTTCCCCGGGTGTTCTGCCTAGCCACCCTCTCTGCATGGCAAGTCATGCTGAAAGCAATGGATAGTGTTCGACTCTCCCATGAGAAAAGGAAATACATTTCGTCTGATGCAGTGCACTGAGGTGGTGCCGTAACACCCATCCTTCTACACTTGTTTGAGTCGACTCAAAAGCCGTGTGTGATAAGTCGATCTTTGAGTCGACAAAAACATCAACTTATTTTTGAGTCGACTAAAAAATGGACTTATCACACACACCCATCCTTCTGCACTCTACTTCCTTACACCGCCATGCCTGGGCCTATTACATGTCCACTACAAGTTGCCGCTCCTATCCTGATTCCTCCTCTCCGTTCCTTCCGTGTCCTTCCACCCTGCTCTTTGATTTGATTATTGGCGTTCCAACCCACCTACCCACTACCCACCCTTATCTGTCTTTCTCTCACCCTGTTCCCTCCACACCGTACTGTCCCTTCCTTCTGTTTACATTGAAGATGGCAAGCGATGCTGAAAGCAATGGATAGTGTTCGAGACTCTCTATGAGAAGAAATCTGATAGTCTGTCTGATGCCATCAGAGTGTTATTGAGTCTTCCCTTCATATGCTACACTGTTCCTCCTCCATCCGCGTGTAATGAGACGAATTTTTAGTCGACTCAAAATTCGATAGTCTGTCAGAGAGTGCTGGGTTGAGTCTTCTCGTCATGTGCTTCGCTGTTCCACTTCCTTCCATCGCGACGCGTTTGTTTGCCTGTCATTTGTTGCTTCGTTGGACCGCCTCATTTACCACTCCCTGGCTGGCATGTCTAGTCTTGGCAAGCGATGCTCAAAGTGTTTGATTGTGTTTCTGTGTGTCTGATTGTCTTCATGAAATAGATCTTGATCATGAAGACAATCAGACACACATGCCAAGGGTGTAGCCTCGGCCGAGGCTACACCCTTGTCCTTGATCTTGATCTGATGCCAAGGGTGTAGCCTCGGCCTTCGCTTTCCACATGCTCACAGATCTGTTACCTCTTTTTCCTGATGTCTCGTGCCTTTCTTTAGAATCAATGCTGGCAGATGCTCTTTCATCCCTCACATCTCAATTCTTTGAGGTGTTAACCTCTTACTGTCCCTCCATGTTCAGAATGGCAAGTTAGTTGAGGTCCCTAGTATTTTCCTGGACTGGCCAGGAGTCCTCTCCTGCATGTTGAGAATGGCAAGGGATGCTGAAAGCAATGGATAGTGTTCGACTCCTTCCATGAGAAGAACAAACGTGTTTATCTGATGCCATCACATCGCTTCGTCCCTTGCTTGCTCTGCTGGTTTCCCTGTGCTTCCCTGTTGTTCTGCTTCCTCTTCTGTTGGGAATGGCAAGAGATGTTGAAAGCAATGGATAGTGTTCGACTCAATCCATGAGAACAAGTGTGTTTATCTGATGCCATCACATCGTTTCATCCCTTGCTTGCTCTGCTGGTTTTCCTGCGCCCCCCTGTTGCTTCACTTCCCCTCCTGCTGAGATTGGCAAGGGATGCTGAAAGCAATGGATAGTGTTCGACTCAATCCATGAGAAGAAACGTTTGTCTGCCTGATGCCATCACAATGTTTCCTCCTTTGCTTTCCTTTGCTCCAACGTTGTTCCGCTTCCTCCTGATGTACAAGTGAGTCTTCAAAGATAAAAGGGGGTAGACGCCAAGCTCGTATCTGCTGCAGCTCCTCCTTTTTCTCACGCTATTCGCTTTTCCCTCCCTCCTCTACTCTGATCCCCCCAACCCCTCCCTTCCCATTCCAACCCCTCCGACTTTGAGTCACAGCAGTGGTGGACGTGGCGGCACAAGTGGCAGACGCCAAGCCCGCAGCCGCTGCCGCTCCCTCTTCTGCCACCACTACTAGCACTACCAGCAGCAGCACCAGCAGCAGCAGCACCTTCGTCCTCGTCCTCCACAGCTCCAGCGGATGAGGCGGAGCAGAGCACGAAAAAGAAGAGCTTCTTTCAAGATGCTGAGGTGAGCGCCGCCGTGCTGAGGTGAGCGCCGCCGTGCTGAGGTGAGCGCCGCCGTGCTGAGGTGAGCGCATGCTGAGGTGAGCAGCACCCACCCACGGTCACGAGCAGCATGAGTGCCACAATCCATCCAACCCAAGGTCAGGAGCTGTCAGGAGTAGCTCCTCTGCCTCTGTACTCTTTTTGCCTTATCCCCTCCTCCGCCGTTTCCTTCCCCACCTCGGTTCCCAGGGCACCAGGCCATGTGCCCTCTGCTCCCCTTGCTCCTTGCGCTCCCATTTGCCATCCCTTCCTCGCTGCCTCTGCCTCTTTGCCAGTTCGCCTCCCCGAAAGAGCAACAGTAGCACCATTATCAGCAGCAGCAGCAGGCAGAAGCGTCTAGTCTAATGCCACACCCCCCCCCCTCCAAACCCAAAACATGCGTGCCCCTCGCCAGGTGGGTGGAGCCATTTGGGGGAGGCTTTTTCTGAGGAAATACAGGCAGCAGCACGGGCAGCACCGGCAGCAGCAGAGGTAGCAATGCATCTAATGCCACATGCTCCCCCCTCCCCTCCCCTCTCCCATTGTGTGCCCCTCTCCAGGTGGTGGAGGAGCCATCTGGGGGAGGCTTTTCCTGGGGAAACACAGGCACCAGCACGGGCAGCACCAGCAGCAATGCGTCGAATGCCACGTGGGACACGACCACCAACTCGTTTGCCAATGGGGGAGGCGGTGGTGAGTGCTGGCCTGCATTCCTGTTGTAACAGCATCAGTGGCGCACCAATAATTTCTTTAGATACGCCTTTATGGTCGTTAATGCCACGTGGGACACGACCACCAACTCGTTTGCCAACGGGGGGGGAGGTGGTGAGCGCTCATGTGCAGGCATGTAGGAACACACAGCAGCAGCACGTAAAGGCCGCCTTCGTCTCTCATTGTTTGGTTCACCGTACCAAGCAGCAATGGAGATTGAGGAACCACCATTTTCTGTGACGAGGTTCCGAGTGTTTGAAGTTACCATCAGCGGAGTTTAATATTTCCACCGTATTGGGTGTATATGTCGATGTTACCCTGAGCAGGCGGGGCTAAGGGCAAGATGACAGTGGAGGCGTTGGAGAAGATGCTCGAGGACCCCATGGTGCAAAAGATGATTTTCCCGTGAGTTTCCGGTGTAATTACTGAATCGCCCCATGAGTGCCATTATGCCTGCTGTTGGTTGTGTGTTCTAATAGCTCCACTCCAATCTAACGCATTTGCCACTCTCGCCTTTCCATATCACTCTTATTTTTTACATCTGCCCTGCTCCCTGCACTCTGCGAGCTCAACTGTTTTTGTGTCTTACCCTCTCTCCTCCTCACACCCGTGCTCCCCTGCAGGTATCTTCCAGAGGAGATGAGGGATCCAATGAAGTCTAAAGTCTTCAAGTGCACTGTCGAGGCCTCTAAAGTCTTCCTTTCGATTTAAACTGCAACCTTTTTATCCCCCTTCCCTTCCCTTCTCCCTCCTCACACACACATGTGCTGCGCTGCAGGTATCTTCCAGAGGAGATGAGAGACCCTGCCACCTTTAAGTGTACGCACCCTCCTCCTCTCCTTTCTCCCTCCCACCTTCATCCCCCTCTTCCTTCCCTCTTTCTTTCTCCCCTTCTTCCTCCCTCCCTACCCATCTATCCCGTTTCCAATGCCCCTCCTCTTTTCCCCACCCTCTCCCTTTACCGTTTACCACCTTCAAATGTATCAACTCCACTCCTCCCCTCCTTCTCCCCCCCCACCACCCCCACAGTTCCCTTATGCGCCAACACGCATGCTTTTGCAATTTGCTGTGTGGACTCGCAACATTCATCCATCATTGTTCCTCTCCTTTGCATCCGCCATCTCTCTTTGTGCCCTCGCTCACACCTCTTTTGCTTGCCACCCCTCGCCCACCCTCCTCTGCCTGCTCCTATCCCTTCTCTTTTCTCTTGCCCTCTCTACCCCCTCCTCCCACGCTTCCCAACACCCCATCCCCCATGTGCCTATGCATGCCCCCATGCCTTCAGGGATGATGCAGAGTCCCATGTACTGCCAGCAACTCAAGAGCATGCAAAGCCTTACCTTCCAACTTCCCTTTCCTTCCCTTCCGTTTTCTTTTCTTGTTCTGTCTCTCCCTCCCCCCCCCCCTGCCTGCCCCCATGTTCACAGGGATGATGCAGAGTCCCATGTACCGCCAGCAGCTAGAGAGCATGCTGTGAGCCCTCTCTCCCTACGCGCCCACCCATTCCTCTCTCCTGCACCTGCCCTCTCCCCTCCTCAACCTCCTTCTTTCTTGCTCTCCTCTTTCCCATTCACCCTCACGTCTCCCAACACCACCTTCCTGTTCTCACTCCACTGTATGCCCCCTCCCTCCTTCCGTCCACTCTCATCACATGTCTCTTCGTTTTCAATTGCAGCATTTGCCCTTGTCTACCCCTCCTCTCCATCCCCTCCTCTCCATCCCCTCCTCTCCATCCCCTCCTCTCCATCCCCTCCTCTCCATCCCCTCCTCTCCATCCCCTCCTCTCCATCCCCTCCTCTCCATCCCCTCCTCTCCATCCCCTCCTCTCCATCCCCTCCTCTCCATCCCCTCCTCTCCATCCCCTCCTCTCCATCCCCTCCTCTCCATCCCCTCCTCTCCATCCCCTCCTCTCCATCCCCTCCTCTCCATCCCCTCCTCTCCATCCCCTCCTCTCCATCCCCTCCTCTCCATCCCCTCCTCTCCATCCCCTCCTCTCCATCCCCTCCTCTCCATCCCCTCCTCTCCATCCCCTGCCTGCCACACTGCTCGGGCCCTTCTGCCTGCCCTTCCGGCCCTATTGCTTCAGCTCTTCACTTCCCATTCTCTTTTTCCCTCCTCTTCTCCTCCTCTCCTCTGTCCCTCATTGCAGCGACAACATGGGAGGCACGGGCTTTGATGACCGCGTGCTGGAGATGATGAAGAGCTTTGACCTCAACAGCCCGGAAGTCAAGGACCAGTTCTGTGAGTCTCTGTGTTTATCAGGGGGCAGTTCGGGGAGTTGAAGCAGCAATTTTGTCAGCTCACAGACCCCTTGAGTTGCAAAGCGTGACATGATGAAGAGCTTCGGCCTCAATAGATCCAAAGTCAAGGACCACTCCTGTGAGTTGCATAGCGTTGTGCAGTTTTGTCGGCGGTACCTTTTAGCAGTCGTGTCACTATTATTTTGTAGATTCAAGTGCTCCGCTAGAAATTGTATCGCAATTACAAGTTTCTGAACTCGTATTCTAATCTCTTCTGTCCCTCCTTCTTGCTCCCTTGGCCCCTTTCAGCCCAGCTGGGCATGTCACCAGAGGACGTGGTTGGTAAAATCATGTCCAACCCAAAACTTGCTGCTGCCTTCCAGAACCCTCGCCTGCAGGCTGCTATCCTCGACGTGAGTCCATTTCTTTACTCACTATAGTTTTAAGCATGTGGGTTCGATATAAGCATTTTCACTGTACTCGATAGGAGTATTTGGGCTCGTGCTTAATTTTAGCATTCACCTCTCTGCTCAATATAAGCAGCCTCGTTTGTAGATGTGAATGCATAGGGCTGCATGCTCCCTGCTACCAGCCCACCATCCCATGTGTGGTATTTGGTCAACCTGGACTTCATAAGATTGTGTTTGTGTGTTTATGTGTCTGCATCTGCATATCTGTGTGCGTGTGCATCCATCTGCTTTCATTCTTGTGCCGATGGCATGGCATGGCATGGCATGGCATGGCATGGCATGGCATGGCATGGCATGGCATGGCATGACGCTTTCTTGTTTACGTGGCATATCATTGCATGGCGTGGCGTGTACCTTGTCCACATGGCATGTCACATATCTTTCCATATGGCATGGCATGGCATGCCATGCATCCCAACAGGTCTCCTCCAATCCTATGAACTGGACCAAGTACCAAAACGATGCTGAGGTAAGCAAGCACGATGCTGAGGTAAGCAAGCACGATGCTGAGGTAAGCAAGCACGATGCTGAGGTAAGCGTTCACGATGCTGAGGTAAGCGAGCGCGATGCTGAGGTAATCACTCTGATGCTGAGGTAATCACTCTGATGCTGAGGTAATCACTCTGAAGCTGAGGTAATCACTCTGATGCTGAGGTAATCAAGGCCGTTGCTGCTGTAAGGGATAAAATTTTTGAAGGATCAAAACAAGGCCCACACCTGCTACAATAAAAGGGATCACATCTGTTTCCTTGCTACTGAAGAAAACTTTCGTCGCATCCACAACCATATGTATGTGTTTCCCCCTTGAATGGTTCCAAAGCATTTTGTGTGCTATCATGCCAGCATGCCATGATGTGCCCGTTTCCATTGCCCCCTCCCACTTAAATCTGGGCCGCATTTTTACTCTGCCTGGGATCATACTAATTCTTGCCTCAGTCGTACTTGTGCTGCTCCTGTCTAGTTGAGCGCTGATGTGTTGCATGGATCGGGTTGACGATCTTCATCTGTCAGCACCTGTCTAGTTGAGCGCTGCTGACAGAGGAAGATCATCAACCCGATCCATGAGTTTCTTGCCCCTCTGAGCTGATTCTTCTCCACTTGTCCCCTCCCCTGCATTGTCCCCTCCTGCAATGTCCCCTTCCCCCATTCAACCTGTGTCATACTTACCTGTCTGGCAGGTGATGGAGATTTTCAACCAGATCCAAAAGCTCTTTGCCCCATCGCATTGATTTTCTGTTGTGACCATGCCTGTTATGCCCTCCCCCACCAGCACCTGGAATGTTCTCTCACTGGCTGGCTGGTGATGGAGATCTCGAATCGGATCTACGAGAACTTTGCCCCGCTGTATTGACGTTCTGTTGTGCCCTCCCCCACCTGAATCTGGGCTGTATTTTCCCTGGCTGGCAGGTGATGGAGATTTTCAACCAGATTCAGGAGCCCTTTGCCCCATTGCATTGATGTTGTGTGGTTACCATGCCTGTTGTGCCCTCCCCCACCTGAACTTGGGTCGTACCGTTCTGTCATTGGCTGGCAGGTGATGGAGATCTTCAACCAGATTCAGGAGCTCTTTGCCCCGCGCTGATGCTTCGTTTCGCTCCACAGTGTTCCTGCTCCCCTTGTCGCCTCTATATAACACGAAAGAACACCCGGTGCACTCCTTTTTGTTGGGTTTACGTTGCGTCAGGGTGTACGAGAAGCGAGAAGACTAGGTAATTAGTGAAAGACTGTTAGATGCATATACGGGTAGCTCTTGAAACCGGTTGCTGCTGTGCAACAGGCGTGTAGGGAAGGGACCGTCTTGAACAACATAACTAGTGTCTGTTCCGAAGTGTCGTAGGAGGTGATGGGTAGTTTTGCAGCAGAATTTCATACGCTGTAGCCATATGTAGTGTACTCTTCTCTTCCGCTTCTTGGCAGACACCCTGTTTTGAGCGCTTGCTTCTTGCCCCACCGTTCTGCACCCTAAACGAGGATAGCGCGACTGAAATCCTTGGAGACATAGATTTTGCACCGCTCTATAACATTTGGCAGTGGCACGGTACCGTGCAAAACCATTTGATTTGAACGCTGTAAATCGGCCCACCGACATGTGGACGCAATTGGGACCCCATCCGCGCGACTCCAGCCGGCGATGGCCTCGCTGCATCATCCTCACGTGTCGCTTTTGAACACTGCCAATCGTTCAAGAACAAAACAAAACATCTTGATACCGCTTTAAACCTCGGGAAATCGAAAACGGGGACGCCGCGACGGATGGAGCTGGGTTGAAATAGCACCATGGAAGGCGCCCACCTTGGGCAAATCTACAGTGTGTCGAATTGGATGGGGACATCAGTGCGCTGCGCAAATGATGTTCCCCCCGCAAAGATCCCCTCCTCCCCTTCTCCCCGACCCTAAAAAATTCTCCACCCCCTCCACATTTCCCCCCGTACTGTACCCCCGCACCGCACCATACGCCCTTCCCCCCAGCACCCCCTTCCCCACCCACTCCCCTCTCCTCCTTTATTTCCTCCCCCTCTTCCCCCCGAGCCGCCATTCCTTGCCTAGACATGGATAGATTCCACTCCACACAAACCCGGATACGCACTCAATGAAAATATATTGCGCTGCCATCTCTGCATCAAGTAAACCTTTGCGTGCTTCAACATCATTGCATTCCGCCAGTCGTCGATTATCGCTCCAGATTTGCTTGGACTAATCTAGCAACAGCTCGTACATCGATTCAGTACACGCCAGTCGCCATGACAGCCCGAACGCTGCTAGCTGTCCTGCTTTCACTGTCGATATTGGCGTCAGCTGCGGCAGCGCCGGAAACGGCGCGTATTACAGAGAGGCTGATGGCGCTACCGAACATTTCTGAGTCAACACAACCGTCAGCTGCGGCCGCGCCAAAGTTGCCGCGATTGATAGTGGAGCTCAAGGCACTACGCCAGAAGTTGCTTTTCAACCCCCGTCTGAGATACCTCGTCATGAGTCAAGTTCTTTCTCAGCTCATTACTCGAGGAGGTGCGACCGCGTACAACCGTATCGATTTTCTTCTTCTTCTTTGCCTGTAGAAATTCCAGAACCTACCTGTTCTGACTTTGAGGTTCCCAGGTCGCCTGAATCTAGCCTGCTCGCTGTTGCACCTGCTTTCGCCCCTTTCCCTGCCGCGACCCGCGCTACAGGAACAGGGCTTCCAATATCATTCCATTTCGACCAGCAATCCTACTTCTTGTCCCGTCCAGATTTGTGTCCCCCGTTGACACAGTTTGGCTCAGTTCTCTCAACCATCGATTGCCATAATTCCCTCATTTCACCTTCCTCCCGTCCCCTCCACTTGTCCCTCGCGGAAGCACTTTCCGCCGCCATCGAATGGAGCACCCTTCTTTCACACCATCTTCTTTTGAGGCGCCAAAATTTTCATTCATTGTCTCTCATGATTCGCTCATTTCTTCATCCCTCACCTTCCTCCCATCTCCTCCACTCGTCCCTCGCAGGCGCCCTTCCCGTAGCCATGGACTTGACCCTTCCTTCGCACCGCCATCTTCTCAGTCGCTTCAAAAGTCGTACATTGCCATGATTCGCTCATTTCTTCATCCCTCACCTTCTTCCCATCCCCTCCACCTCGTCCCTCGCAGCCGCCCTCCCCGCAGCCATGGACTTGACTCTTTTCATTCACACCACCATCTTAATACCCACCGACGCCGCGCTTCTGTCAAGTGGCCTCCTCCCGAATCTAAAAAACCCGGGAGCCTCACTCAACCTCTTCAAGAGCCTCTCTTTCAACATCATCAAGGGCAAGAAGCGGTTCGCCAAGCTGAAAGCCCTTCCTGAAGGGAAGTCGGTTGCGCTTTTGATGAACAATGGGAAATTGTTTCGGCACACAGTGAATCCTGGTTGGGGCCTGAATCAAGGCACTAGCGTGGCGCTCGCGCTCAAGGGGAAGAAAAAGAACCAGTGGTCGAGAATTCTTGACAAGAATCTGCACTGGGGAAGCTTCGTTGCTCATGGGGTTGATCGACTGCAGAGTGCTTGAACCAATCCAAAAGAAGTTTCAGGGACCGCTTCGGTGGGAGGTTACGCAGCCCAACCCACAGAAAACTTCCTTTTGTTCATACTGTTTGTCAGGTATATAAGCTTCTGTTTAGTGGGTCTGGCATGAGATGAGTGAACGTCTTGTTCAACATCCGCTGATCTTCATTCTTTGATATATTTACGTATAGTTGTGTTTAGTCCACCAACTGGAAGGCATTGACCCACACAAGTTTGATAAGAGGTGCCTGGACCAAGGTCTCCAACCAGATCCAGAGGCACTTTGCCCCGCACCGATGCTTCGCTTAGCTTTGTGCCTTTCTTTCCCGACTTGCTAGGCGCACCGCAGCCAACTGCAGCCCTCTTTGTTCAACGAAAGTTTCATCGGAGTGCAGGAGCACACCTGATGTTGAGCTAAAATGCGGCTGCACGTATGTGTGTCCCTACTGGAAAGCTGCAGCCAGAATAGTTTGATGGTTGACCTTGTAAGTCGACCTTTGGGAAATACGAAACAGTGTGATCAGTTGAGGTAAATGGTAGTGTTGAACAACTCATGTTGTTCGGTGTTCTATCCCATAGACATACCGTAGGCTCGTACTACTTCGTGCAATTCAAACGTAACGAGGATACCCGACCCATTTTCTTCATCCGTCGATGGAAACTGCACCGCGCTAATCATATGTGAAAGCCTTCGTACCGTACAGAACCAGGTTGGGCTAATTCAATGCCCACACTCGACCCGCCGACCAAAGCGGAATTGGGGTGGCATTTGCGCCCCCCCAAACCCAGCCAGGTCATGCTGACGTTTCACAACTAAAAGGCGGATAACCGTTCCAAAACGCAGACAAGGTTTGTCAAACCGTTTTGAACCCTGAGTTTTGAGGTGGAAGTAGGTTACGGACGGGCCGACATGTTCTGTCGCCCTGGCTTCCACATCGCACACATCCAGCCAACCACGCGCGTGGATGCCGCTTTCCTCCACCGCTCCTCCAAACCCACCTCCCCCCCGCCCCCCCACCTTCCACCTTTCCCCCTTTGAGGGAGTTCAGCCCCCTTAAAGCCCGAGTCCCAAATTGCGGGCCGCGCGGGTCAAGCTTTTAAAACTTGACGAACTAGTGTTTTCAAGGTTTGAAGAAAAGCGTGCCTGCAATTTGGGACTTTTGGGAACTGAACCAACCCCCAGGGCGAAATACGAGGGCGGGCTGGGTTTGGCGAAAAAAACGAAAAAAGCGAAATCGGAATCTTTCGCCAAAACCCTCACCACAAAAACCCCCTCGCGTCAACCTTTTAAAACTTGTGCAATTTGGGCTGCCGGCTTTAAGCTTCTAGCTGCTTCGTCCCAATTCTCCTTCTTCCTGGCCGCCATTGTCGGTGTCGAATGCCAATTACACCTGCCGCAGTCGTGGATCCCCTGACCCACGCCACACCTGGATAGATTCCACACTGAGCCACACAAACATAGGACTTTCATTTTAGTTTATCATTTTACCTCCCTGAATGTCCTAACATTGTCGCTCACTCACTCCGCCAGTCACTACTAAACGTTGCATATCCATTATACACAGTGTAAAAATGTCAGCCACCATGGCAGCTCGAACGATGTTCATTCTTCTCCTTTCAATGTCGATATGGGTGTCAGCTGCGCCGGCGCCGCCAACGACGGCGCAGATAATTTTGGAGCTCAAGGATCTACAGAGCAAGTTGGTTAAAAATCCATACCTGCGATACCTCGGCATGAGTTATGTGGTTTCTCAACTTATTACTCAAGGAGGTGCGACCTGCACAGTGTCTGCCATTTTCCCCCTCCCCCCAATATGGAGTTTTCGGCGTGTTTCCGTGCTTCGGAAACATTGGTTTTGTTTTATTCTGGTCTATGCATCTCGCCGCTATTCGTTCCCTGCGGCGATCCCGCGTAATCGAAACAGCGGAGTAATCTTCGATTCTTCTCGACTTTCCACACACGTCGTCTTTCCTCCTTCGTCCGCCATAGACTTCAATGCTATTCTATCTACACCATCACCAACTCCCTTCTTTCCCATCCGCACTCACTCATTTTTCATCCTAACCCTTGAGTTTCCATCCGCCCCACTCCAATCCCTTGCAGAAACCGTTCCTGCCAGCATCGACTGGTCTCCCTTCGCCTACAACACGCTGCTAATCCCCACCGACGCCGCGCTTAGCGCAAGCGGCCTTCTCGCCCAGCCGAAAACGCCTCAAGAGGCACTTAACCTCTTTAAAAGCGTCTCATACAACATCGTCAAGGGCATGAAGCCGTTCGCCCAGTTAAAGGCTCTTAAAGTTGGACAATCCGTTACGCTTTTGCTGAACAATGGGAAGTTGTTTCGGCAGAAGGTGGATCCTGGGTGGGGAATAAATAAAGGCACTGCCGTGGCGTTCGCGCTCAAGGGGAAGAAAAAAAGCGAGTGGTCGAAGATTCTTGACAAGGATCTGCACAAAGGAATCAGCTTCATTGCTCATGGGGTTGACCACCTGCAGACTACCAATGCCACGGTCGTTTGAACAATACAATGCAAACAAATGCAGGGAGTGCGTGTGGTGCTCAACCCTAGTACTGTAGCTGTCTCTTGTAAATTATTGGTTTAGGTTGTTAGGTTCCTCCTTACTGGATCTGGCTTGAGATGATGTAGGTGGTGAATCAAAGCAGCTGTGCCCCAGCTTGGGGGTAGTAATGAGATTCTGATTATTGCTCTCAGCAGCATAGAGGCTCACATACCGTAATAAAAAATTTGCTTTGATTTGCATGTGAGGCTAAGGAAAATGCCAACATAGAATACATGTGTAGCAAGTACCAGGTCCGACAAACCCATAGACCGCACACCACCACGCTTCCTAGGCTGCGAGCCGTGTTTCAGTTACAATGCACATGCGACAAGAGGGCGCAAATTCGCAGAGCGCCAGTGCACTGTGCTTTTGCGTTTGCGAAGTGGAGCCGTGTGGTGCGGAGCAGGCAAGGAACAGAACAGACAGCAGTTCTGCCACAGCATCAACCGCCCCTTGTCTTCTTCACTTCATTCTCCGCTTGCCCGAACTTCTCCCCTCCTCACCTGCTCCCTGGTCGCCTCCCTCGCCCGCCGCCCTCATGGTCCAATCGCAGGCTTCTTGCACATCTGAACCTGGTTCTCGACGACTCAAACCGAACAAACACGTCAGCAAGACTGGTCTGTTCGCGCACCTTCGATGCGCAAGTGTGTGTTCTGTAATTCTGCAACAATCTCCCCCCCGCCGCCAACATCACATTTTCTCTTCCCACCACGCCTATCACGCCCCCAACCCATTCCAACTCACCACCAAACACGAGGCTTTTCCTGCTTGCTGGTCCGCTCTGGTCATCCCTGGCGCAAAGTTCCCAGTCGTCACATGTACGCAGAAGAACGACCTCCCATCTCATTGGACTCACAGAGCAGAAGCCCCTCGTTTCTGCCTCTAATTGGTCCTGTTACACGAGTTTCCTCCCTCCATGATTTTATGTCCAGGCCTGAGCCTTGTCATTTCGTTCGCAATTCCACCTATTCATGCTCGTTCGATAGTATCGCAGTCCGACACATTTTAGACCATGTCAACCCGAGCGCTGCTAGCCGTCATTCTTACGCTGACCCTAGTCACTTCAGCCGTGGCGCCGCCGACAACGCAGCAGATACTTAAGGAGCTAAAGGAACTAAAGGACAAGCTATCCAAGCGATTCCAATTCATAATCATGAATCAAGCAGTCGGTCAAATTATCGAGCGGGGAGGTAGGCCCTTAGCGAGTCTGCCTTTCGGGAGATTTATGTGTTTGCGTTTTGCTGGGTCTTCAGGACATGCTAGAAGAAGAGACCAATTTCGTTTCAGCATTCTCATCTTCACTCCTGCCTTTTCCCATGCCACTCCCCAACCCTTCCCATTTCCGCCCTTCGCAGCGACGGTTCCCGCTGACATCGACTGGTCCCCCTTCTTTTACAACACGGTCTTACTCCCCACCGACTTTGCGCTCAAGCAGAGTGGCCTCCTCGTCAAGCCGAAAACCCCAGAAGACGCGATCAATCTCATGAAAAGCATTTCATACAATGTCGTCAGGGGCATGTATCCATTTTCCAAGATAAAAAAACTGCCTATTGGGTCGTCGATCCCGCTTCTACTCAACAATGGCAAGCTTTTCCGGAGAAAAAAAGTCTCAGGATTTGCGATGTTCAAGACTACAGAAGTGGCGCTCGCGCTGAAGGGGAAACCGAAAGGCAATTGGTCGACGATCGTTGGCAAGAACCTGCACAGGGGAAGCAGCTTCATTTGCATTGGCGTTAGCCGATTACAGACCACTGGGGCTTGAGGTTGAGTCAGGAAATGCGTCGTAAGAGGAGTTGAATTGGTTTGATGATTTTCCTTCAGGATAGAATAGATGGTTTGTCATCCAGAGAGCTAGGTATTCATTTGTTGGGTATTATTCATTCATGTCTAACAAGGTATGGTACGGGATAGTAGTGGAGGTTTAGGGTGTATTGTAGCTGGTGCAATGGGTCTGTAGCTAGGCCCTCAGGAAGTCCGTGGTTATAGTTGTGCAATGGTGTCTAACGTACTTGTGTATGGAATTGCATGTAATTTAGTCAAGCTTTTTCAACTGGTGTATATTAGTCTCTACGTACTTGTGTGTGTAAATCCAAAATAGCAAGGAAAAGTTATGGTAGTTTCAATGTGGTAGCTACCGTAGTTGACTGTGCAGGAGTTGGGATTCGGGTAACAAGTTTTACTAACGATGGCGCTTATATCCGGGTACTCTCCCTTCAATGAAACACTCCTTGTCGGAACTTCCCTTCCCTCTGCTCCATCCTCGCCAAACACAGTTTCCCAATTTCGCACACCACTTCACTTCTCGTCTGCCTTGATTTCTTGTGCCGTTGAATCTGCCTGATGATTATTCCTGCTGAATCTCGCTAATCAACAAGGCTTCGCGCCTCCAGTATTCCAAGATCCAGCTGCTATCCCACTTGATTCCACGCGTTTGGGGGAAGTTCCAAGAGAGTTCTCCCGTTCCAGAGTGGTAACGTTCCAATAAGGTCGTAGGTTCGGCAGGCAGGCATGGAGGAGGACGATCGGTCAATCGCGGCGCCCGAGGGGAAGAACAAGGCGATCGACTACGACAAGCTTGAGAGGGACGTGGACCACCAGCGCGATGTGGCTCTCAAGGTAGTAGGGTTACCCGGTTACCTGTTCCGCCTGTTCGTAGGTGCCGTGCAGCGCAGGCAGATGTACAGCCATGCTGACGAGGCGAGCGGAATCATAAATCGTCGTATACGTAGCTATGCCGTCGATGCGTCACCGGCGTCAGTGACCAGCGTTGTAGATCGTAGATGGAGCAGCCACGCTGACGAAGGGATCGGAGTTAGAGAGCTTCGTAGACCTAGCTGTGTCGTCGATGGGTGACCAGCGTCAGTGGCCAGCGCCGTAGATCTTAGTTGGTACTGCGGTCTGCTGACGAGGCTACTGGATTCGTGGAGTGCGATGGCTCGCCGTAGACCTGCACAAGGGAGCCGTTCAGTTTTTGTGGATGTGAATGGGACGGATATAGGGGTTGCAAGTCACCAATAATTCTTGTTACCCGATGCTGTGGAAGTGCGGCCTCCTGTAGTGGATCCATGGGAAATCTATTCAAAGAGGTTCACCGATGGTTAAATTTTGAGAGATTTGTTCGAAATTCTCAAGGGCTATGGACGCATAACGGTTACAGATTCGACTTGATTCGACGCGGAAGAGTAGAGACGCGAGCGTGCCGTGCGATGCGGATAGGGCCGCTGCTGTTGGTGTGTCGTTAGAAAGTGTTTTGGAAAAATAGCTGCCCCTTTTGGTGGGTCCACGGTCGTTCACTCTGGGACGGCTTTTGAAGCGCCTCAAAGATGCGAGATGCGAGAGTGTGTCTTTATATGGTGGGTCCTCGGCAGTTCAGTCCGGGACGATTCTTTTGCCATCTTGTTATAGATTACACCACCCGTACTGCTCAGGTTAAGACCCTCGTTTTTTTCTGGTTCGCTCTCCTGCTGTGCTCGGAACTGATACCTTTGTGTGTGCGAGCAGGGGGGCAGGCTGACTGAAGCTCTGGACGCGCTGTCGTTTGAGTCGACCCACAAATTCTCAAGCTGTGCCTGGATCTGACCCCCCTTTGTATTGTGCGAGCAGGAGGGGAGGCTGACTGAAGCGCTGGATGCGCTCCTGGGCCTGGAGAAGCAGATGCGCCTGGTACGACGCGAATCTTTCCACTTCCTCCTTTTTCTCCGCTCACTTTTCTCTCTCTCCTCTCTCTCCTCTCCTCTCTCCCCTCGCTCCCCTCCCTCTGACACCAGTTCTTGTCTGTCTGGTTGCTCGTTTGCCCTCTCTGTTATTATCAGTACCTAACCATTGTATCATTCATTCTGCCGGTCACCTGAATCTGTCCACCTGAATCTTTCCATGTGAATCTACTCGTTGGGAACTTTTTTTCCACACCACATGCTTTTTGAGTCCAATCACACGCTTTTCAAGCAGCTGCCCCAGAAACTTCTTTCAAGTTTCTAAGTTCAACCCAATCTCACAACTTTCCTGAGTCATAGTTGATCAACCGAAATCACTTCTCGGAAAATCTGCTTCGTTCAAATGATTAACCAATTAACCAACCCATCAACCAACCCTTCAATCAACCCATCCCAGGCTGCTGATGTGGTGGGGACGCGCACAGTGGCGGTGGCAATTCTCAAGGTCTGCCACGAGGCAGCTGCGTGGAAGCTTCTCAACGAGCAGATTGTGGCGCTGTCGAAGCGCCGAGCGCAGCTGAAACAGGTGGGAGGCTGCGGTGGGTGTTTGATATCAGCGTGTGGATGATGGATGATGAAGCAGGTGGGAGGCTGCGGTGGTGGTCAATATTGGCGTGTGGGATGGGTGGTGGATGGGTGGCGGGTGATGGGTGATGGGTGATGAAGCAGGTGGGAAGCCCCGCGGGTGTTCAAGATTGGGATGTGGGTGATGGGTAATGGATGGGTGAGTGGGTGCTGGGGAGTGGGTGATGGGTGATTGGGTGATGGGGAGTGGGAGAATGGGTCATCCATTATCCATCACGCACCGTACATGGAGCACGATTCCCGTACTCTTCATGCTTTGCTTTCTGCACAACAGACACCATCCTCTTGCCATCTCCATGTGCCATGCCCATCGTTATGCGACGCTTTTGGGCATGCCCACATGCGCGCATGCCCTCATGCCCGCATGCTTACATGCCCCCATGGCCCCCCATGCATCCGTGGCCCCATGGCCCCCCATGCATCCATGCCCCCATGACCCATCCCCCAATCTCCACGCCTCGATTCCCATGCCCGTGCTCCCCTGTACCCATGCCCCATGTCCATGCCCCCATGCCCATACCCCCATGCCCATACTCCCATGCCCGCACACCCATGCCCCCATGCGCCCTTTTCCATGTCAGGTGGTGGCGGCGATGGTGCAGGAGGCCATGAAGTACGTGGATGGATGCCGCACCTCATGACCCCCATGCGCCCATGTTTCCATGCTCCAATGCCCATGCCCCTGTGCCTGCATGCCCCCCTGTACCCATGCCCCCAATCCCCGTGCGCATCTCCATGTGTCAGGTGGTGGCGGCGATGGTGCAGGAAGCCATGAAGTACGTGGATGACGCACCTGATGACGTCATTCGGGAGGAGCTGATCAAGACGCTCAGCGGAGTCACCGCGGGCAAGGTGCGGCTCTGGGGGAAGGGTAGGGGGGACGGAGGGGGAGAGAGGGGGGGGGGATGTGCGCCTCTGGGCAGGGGAAATGGGGAGAGAGGGGGGGGGGATGTGCGCCTCTGGGCAGGGGAAATGGGGAGAGAGGGGGGGGGTGAGGGCTCAGCGGAGTCACCGCGGACAAGGTGCGGCTCTTAGGGGGGATGGAGGGGGGAATGAGAGGGGGGGGATGTGCGCCTCTGGGGAGGGAAAATGGGAATAGAGGGGGGGGGGGGGGAAGAGGAGCTGATCAAGACGCTCAGCGGAGTCACCGTGGGCAAGGTGCGGCTCTTATGGGGGGCGGAGGGGAAGAGGGGGGGGATGTGCGCCTCTGGGCAGGGGAAAGGGGGAGAGAGGGGGGGGGGGAGGGCTCAGCGGAGTCACCGCAGGCAAGGTGCGGCTCTTATGAGGGATGGAGGGGAAGAGGGGGGGATGTGCGCCTCTGGGGAGGGGAAAAGGGGAGAGAGGGGGGGGGAGGGCTCAGCGGAGTCACCGCGGGCAAGGTGCGGCTCTTAGGGAGGACGGAGGGGAGGAAGGGGAGAAGGGGATAGGGGGCAAAGTGCGCCTCTGGGAGAAGGGGGAACGGGGGAAGAGGGAGGAAGGTGCGCCTGTGGGGGGTGGGAGGGAGAGGGGTATGTTGCGCTTGGCGCAACAGTTGTCCACCTCTCCCCCCATGGCACAGACAGGCATGATTTGTTCGATGCTGCTTTCATCCACTTCCCACCCCCTCCTACCAACACACCTGCCTGGCGCAACAGTTGCTCATCTGCTCAACAACCACCCCTCCCTCCCCTCCCGCTCTCGCCCGCCCCTCCTCTTTCCCCCTCCCTTCCCCCCCACAGATCTACGTGGAGATAGAGAGGGCGCGTCTGGTGAAGCGCCTGGCGCACGGAGCCATCTGCTGCTGGCGCCATCCATTCTCCTCCGTGCCCCTCCATCCGCTCTCTTTCCCCCGCCCCCCATCAGATCTACGTGGAGATAGAGAGGGCGCGCCTGGTGAAGCGCCTGGCGCGCATGAAGGAGGCGGAGGGCAAGGTGAAGGAGGCCGCGGAGATCATGCAGGAGGTCGCGGTGAGTGGCCCACGCCCTGCCTACCCCCTGCACTTGCTCTCTTCTTCCGGTCACAAGAGGGAAAGGCAAAGGAGGCGGGGCGGAGATCATGCATTAGGTCGCGGTGAGTGGCCCACGCCCTGCCTACCCTCCCTGCCCTTGCTGTGAGACCTGCGCTAACCCTCCCATGTGAGAGGGCAAGGTGAAGGAGGCGGGGCGGAGATGATGCAGGAGGTCGCGGTGAGCGCCCCTTGCCTTCCGTGCGCTCGCCTTCTGGTTTTTGAGAATTCTCAAAAACCAGGTCGCGGTGAGCGCCCCTTGCCTTCCGTGCGCTCGCCTTCTGTGTCCCACCATGTCACTATGCCTCGTCTTATCCTCCCTTTAACCTCTCCGGCTCCCTTCATGCAACTTCACCTCACTTTACTTCTTCTTCTCGTGCTTCTCCATGTGTCCCCACTCGTTTCCACTACTCTATATCCCTCTGTCGTTGGCTCTTATGCCAGGTGGAGACGTTTGGAGCCATGGCAAAGACAGAGAAGATCGACTTTATCCTCGAGCAGGTGAGTGTGGGGAGCCTCTATCTTTGCGCTGGTGAATGAGTGAGACTCTTATTTTGCAGGCCAGGAGTGAGTGAGTCAGTTGACTCAAAGGGCAATCTTGAGCCGATGAGTGTTGAGTCTGCCGTCATGTTTTGAAGTCGACTCGAGACACTTCTGCTGTCGTCAGTCGCTCAGCGATATGTAAGTGATTGTGAAGCTCCAAGCCAGAATTCTCACAAGTGGCCTCCAGTGCCTGGACTTGCGACTTCACATGAGCGCAGACCAGTTTGTTTTGACTCGCGCCCACAACCACCTCCCATCCTGCCAGCCTCTCTATGCCCTGTCATTCTCCCCCTCCCCTTCCTCCCCCTCTCCCCCCCCCCCCCCCTCACCTTTCAGGTCCGCCTGTGTCTCGACTCAGGTGACTTCATGTGAGCACAGATCCTCGCCGAGAAGATCAGCCCGTGGAAGAGGCTGAAAAAGCGATGCTTGAATCATTTCCCCCCCCCGAGGACCTTTCAGGTCCGCCTGTGTCTCGACTCAGATGCCTTCTTGCGGGCTCAAATCCTAGCAAAGAAGATCAGCCCGCGTGCATTTCCCTCTGAGACCGTGGAGGCTACTGAGAAGATGTTAAATTCTCTCCATTCTCTCTCCCGCCCTTTCCCTTCTACTCCAGATGCGCCTGTGCCTCGATTCGGGGGAATTTATGCGAGCACAGATCCTAGCAAAGAAGATCAGCCCGCATTCATTCGCCTCCGAGACCGTGGAGGCTGTTGAGAAGGCCAAGGCGGCAGAAGCAGCTGAGAATATGTTGAATTATCTCCCTCCGCTCCTTCCTCTCCCTCCTCTCCCTCCTCTCCCACCCTTTCCCGTCAACTCCAGGTCCGCCTGTGTCTCGATTCCGGTGACTTCATGCGAGCACAAATTGTTGCCAAGAAGATCATGGATAATGCCAAGGCAGCAGAGGCTGCTGAGAAGATGTGGATTCCTCTCCCTCCTCTCTCTCCTCTCTCTCCTCTCCCACCCTTTCCCCTCTACCCCAGGTCCGCCTGTGCCTGGATTCTGGTGACTTCATGAGGGCACAGATCCTCGCAAAGAAGATCAGCCCGCGTGCATTCGCCTCAGAGGCCGTGGAGGCGGCTGAGAAGGCCAAGGCGGAGGCGGCTGCAGCAGCAGCAGGGTGGCGAGGGGAAGGTGGGCCATTTGGATTCTCTCTCCCCCTGAACACATCCCCTTCCCACCCTCCCGTTCTCCTCCATGTCAGGTCCGCCTGTGCCTCGATTCCGGTGACTTCATGAGGGCACAGATCCTCGCAAAGAAGATCAGCCCGCGTGCATTCGCCTCCGAGACCGTCGAGGCTGCTGAGAAGGCTAAAGCGGCAGAGGAGGAGGGGAAGATTGTGAAAGCTAGATATTCAATCGTTCCCCTCCCTTCCATCATTCTTTGCTCTGCGCCAGGTCCGCCTGTGTCTGGACTCTGGCGACTTCATGAGGGCACAGATCCTCGCCAAGAAGATCAGCCCACGTGCATTCGCCTCTGAGACCGTTGAAGCTGCTGAGAAGGCCAAGGTGGAGGCAGCTGCAGCAGCAGCGGGGGAGGGGAAGGAGGAGGGGAAGAAGAAAAGGAAGGGGCCGAAGGAGGAGGGGGAGATTCAGCCCGCTGCCCCTGATGTGCCCACGCTGGTGGAGCTGAAGCTGAAGTTTTATGAGCTCATGATCCGGTGAGGTGTAGTGCGGTTCTGTGTGGTTCTGTGCGTTGATGTGCACTTCTGTGCAATGGTGTGAGGTGACATGCGGTCGGGTACAGGTTGATAGCGCGTGGACGAGTGAGGTGTGAGGGGCCGAAGGAGGAGGGGGAGATTCAGCACGCTGCCCCTGTTGTGCCCACGCTGGAAGTTTTATGAGCTCATGATCCGGTGAGGTGCAGTACGGTTCTGTGTGGTTCTGTGCGGTGAGGTGCTGTTGGGTATGTTTGAGAGGGTGTGGACTGGTGAGGTGCTACAAGGTGATGCTACTGTGAAAGAAAGAAGGCAGAAAAGGAAGGGGTTAAAAGAGGAGGGGGAGATTCAGCCCGCTGCCCCTGCTGTGCCACGCTGGTGGAGCTCAAGCTCAAGTTCTATGAGCTCATGATCGGGTGAGGTGCTGTGTGTTATGAGGTGCAATGTGGTTTATGTTGTAATCAATAGAGTGAAATAGAATAATCTTAATCGCGCAATCTGGTGATGTGTTCGTGAGGTGCAACAAGGCACTCTGGGGTTTCCTTGATGCGCTTTGTTGGTGCTCAGGCCGAAGGGATAAGATGAGAAGATGATCTCCTGTTGACCCAGTTGATGATTTCCTGTCTTGTGCTCTTTGCGTGATCAGTCGATTTTTGAGTTCACTCATAAATCGACAGAAGGGATAATTCAAGACGTGATCTCCTAATGACCCAGTTGATGATTCCCTGTGTTGTGCTCTTTGTCTTGCCTGCCTCTCCTCGCCTCCCCTTACCGTGCCTCACCTTGCCATACCACTCAATGCCCATGGTTCTGAAACATCTCAAACCGCCACTGCCCCTGCCTCAAACGCCTCATCCCTCTTCCCCCCCTCTCCCACCTGTTTATTACCCTCGCTGCAGCTACCACACAAACGCGAGTGACTATCTGGAGATCTGCCGGAGCAACCAGAACATCTTTGGCTGCCATTGTAACGAGGTGACTTTTGAGTCGACTCAAAAGTCACCCCGGAGCAACCAGAACATCTTTGGCTGCGTAGCCCTCTCAACTCAACCCCCCTCTCCCGCTCCCCTTGCCTCGATTTCCCTTCCCCCGCACTGCAGCTACCACACGATTGCAAACGACTATTTGGAGATTTGCCGGTGCTACCAGAACACCTTCACCTGTGTAGTGTAGGTCTCTCAATCCCGCACTCCCCTTGCCGCCTTCTCCCCCTTCCCTCGCTGCAGCTACCACACCAACGCGAATGACTATCTGGAGATCTGCCGGTGCTATCAGAACATCTATGACACACCAGCAGTCAAGGCCGACCAGGAGCGCTGGATCCCCGTGAGTGTCTCTGCCTGTGGTGAGGCTGCTGATTGGGTGAGTGAGTGCTTACCTGCTGTTGCTGTGCTGCCTAAGTGACTACATTGAAATGTGCCAGTTCCATCATGAAATCTATGACACACCAGCAGTGAAGGCCGACCAGGAGCGCTGGACTTTTGAGACGTCTCAAAGGCCAGCAGTGAAGGCCGACCAGGAGCGCTGGATTCCGGCGGTGAGTGCTGCTTGTGGTGGGTGGTTGTGGTGAGGGCTTATGATTGTAAATCCCGGTGAGTGCTGCTTGTGGTGGGTGGTTGTGGTGAGGGCTTATGATTGTAAATCCCGGTGAGTGCTTGTGCTTGCGGTGAGTGCTTGCCTGCTGATTTGCTGCATGTGCGCGTTGCTATGTGCTGATCTATGGTTCTTTCAAGCCCTCCTCGTTCTATGCCCTTCACTCGTACGCCCCTCACGTTCTTCCCCGCATCCAATCCAACCCCGTGCTGCATGCATCTCTCCTCCCCTCCCCCAGGTGCTGAAACGCATGTATTTTCTCTGCTCAGGCGTGTGTATGTAAACAGCAGCGTGCTATATTCGTGTGACTTTTGAGAATTCTCAAAAGTCACACGTGTGAACAGCAGTGTGGCGTGTGGCGCATGCGCATGCACTTCAATGCTGGCGCCACACTGCTGCTGTTCACACACCCCTCACCTTCTCCCCCCACATACACCCCACGTGCTGCATGCATTCTCCACCCCAACCACCTCTTCCCCACGTGTTGAAGATGCTGGTGTCTCGTGCTGGCGCCACACGGCAGCATGCAGTCGTCCCTGCTCTACCCACACCCACCTGCATCCACTCACTTCCACCCATTTCCACCCACTTCCACCCACTTTCACCCACTTCCACCCACTTCCGCCTACGGTCACGCCCCTTTCCCCAGGTGCTGAAGAAAATATGCTGGTATCTGGTGCTGGCACCGCATGGCAGCATGCAGTCGTCTCTCCTCCACTCTACCTTCGCTGACCCTCACCTCCTCGACCTCCCCAAGTTCCGGTAACCCTCCTTCCCACGTTACCACTCTGAACCGCTTGCATCTGCGCTCACCACTCTGTGTCACTTCCTATTTGGCCCTCGTGAGAGGGCAGCATGCAGTAGCCTCTCCTCCTTTCCACCTTTGCTGACCCGCACCTCCTCGACCTCCCCAAGTTCCGGTAACTGTCTTTCCCGCATTACCTCCCGCGACCTGCTGTGAAAAACTCTTGGGCACTTTCACCTGCTCTCACCACTCTACACCGCTTTCTCCGAGGCCCTCACGACAGCATGCATTCGTCTCTCCTCTCCTACATTCCACCTTCACTGACACTCACCTCCTCGACCTCCCCTGGTTCCGGTTTACCCTCCCCCGTTGCGTTCAACCACCACTTTCATCACCTCTTAACGTTTTGTACCACTGTCTCCCAGCCTTCCACCGCACCATAGACTCTCCTAGGCTTCTTTTAACTTGCCCCTTCCTCTTGTCTACCCCTCACCACCCGCCCCGTCCTCTCCCCCACAGTTGCACGCGGGCAGACTGCATGTGAGCTTCTTTCAGCCTGCTCCTCCTTTCCCTTCCCCCCAACTCTCACTCACAGCGCACTGCTGAAACTGTTTATAGCAGTGGAGGTGGTGGGGTGGCTGCAGCTGCATGTGCATAAACCATCCATGAGCCTCCTTTCAACTTGCTCTGCACTTGTTTTCCCTCCACCAATCTCCTCCTGCCCTCCCCACCCAGAGCCTTACTGAAGCTGTTCATAACGATGGAGGTGGTGGGGTGGCCGCAGCTGCAGGCTGGCAATCGCAGGGAGATGGAGGAGGAGAAACCCACCGTCTTTCTCTCATCTCGCGTTCCCTTCGTCCCCCCACTCCCCTTCCCCCTCACAGCGCGCTGCTGAAGCTGTTCATAACGATGGAGGTGGTGGGGTGGCCACAGCTGCAGGCGGACTATCGCGGGGAGATGGAGGAGGAGAAGGGCACAGTCTTCCTCAAGCCCTCTGCTCTCGAAGACCTGCGCCTGCGCGTCATCCAGCACGTACGTTATGTGTTGCTTCCATGGCCTGTTCCCACTATCCATCCATCCCTCTGTCTTCCTCAAGGACTCGGCTCTGGCTCCGTACGTTATACCCCACCCCATAGCCCTGTGCTCTCTCCATCCATCCCACCATCTCCCTCAAGCCCTCTGCACTCGAAGACCTGCGCCTGCGTGTCATCCAGCACGTATGTGCTGCTGTCCCTCGCCTCTCTGCGTCTCATGAATTCCCCATCCGTCCATCTGATTCATCTGTCTGCCTCAAGCCCTCTGCTCTCGAGGACCTGCGCCTGCGCGTCATCCAGCACGTATGAAATGCACACTTGGACTTCGTGCAGCTTGTTGCTCAAGGTCCTCAAGTTGAGGACCTGCGATTTGGGGGTCACTTTTGAGATTCTAAAAAATGTCCGTCATTCTCAAGGTCCTCAAGGACCTGCGCCTGTGCGTCATCCAGCACGTATATGTCGCTGTCCTGTCCCCCGCCTGTCTGGTCCGTGTGCACTCCCCATCCGTTCCTCTGAGTCACCTATCAAGGACCTGCTTGTATGTGCGTCATTCACCACGTACGTTGCGGCCCAAAGCATAGCTTTGTCCTTCGTATGTGTCTCTTGCTCCAGCGCTCCGTGTTTTTTTAGGTTGAGGCCTGCCGCTCATCCAGCACTGATGCAATATGTGGCTGCTCTTGCCCGTCTCTCATTCTCCGTCTTTTTGCCCCCTCCCCCCTCACCTTCTTCCCGCCCCTTTTCCCATCCGCATTCACCTCCCTCACACACATATATGAGTGCATCACATCGCCTTGTCATCCGTTTCCCCCATTTTCACTCACTCCCATATGTTCTGCATCCTTTCTATTGCCCCATGTCCTTCGCATGTTCATACCCTGACAGAACATCCTGGTGGTATCCAAGTACTATGTGCGCATCACCGCTGCGTTGGCTTCTACTCATCGGCTTCGGTTCAATGCCCCCATATTCCCCTTCCCATCCTTTTCCGTCTCAGAACATCCTGGTGGTATCCAAGTACTATGTGCGCATCACCATGGCACGCCTTGCTCAGCTGCTCTCCCTCACTGTCCAGGTGCAGTATCTTATCACCTCAACCTTAATCCGAGTCACGTTTGAGAACTTTCAGAACTGACTCGGATTTTAACTTCTTACCAACCTCCTTTACCAACCTCCTCTACCACACTTCCTCTAAAGCACTTCCCTGGTGTGTTTTCACTTCATTTAAAGCTTGCTTGTTCTAATGCAAGGCCAGAGCATTGGATGATACTCAGGCACAGCATCATGGCTTTATCTTCTAGTTTAACTCCTTTGCTGTTCTATTCCATCTAGGTTGTCTACATCACAATTTGGGTAGCGTCATTTGTCAAAGACCTTCAACGCATCTGCCTGCACTCACTAGTTGCCCTTTGTATCCTCTCTTTTCATGGCTACTCCCCTTAACAGGAGGCGGAGAATTTTTTATCAGACATGGTGGTGGAGAAGGTGCTTGTGGCTAAGATTGACCGGCCGGCGGGGATTGTCACATTTGGCAAGAGGCAGGAGAGCGGAGTGCAGCTGTTGGATAAATGGGCGAGCGACATCGCGAAGCTGCTTGATCTTGTGGAGACAAGCTGCCATCACATTCACAAGGAGGCGATGGTACACAAGGTGGTGCTTAAAACATAAATAGGTTGTGTTGCTGATGGATCATGGATGTGCCATTGCTGTTTTTTTTTTTCCGGATAATTGGGAAGTATTTTCATTTTCCTGTGCGAAATCCAAGTTCTTGTTTCGTATGGCCATTTGGGAGGATATAATGTGGGTTCGGTTGAGCTTCTCGAGGTTGCAGAGCTTGATATATCGGAGCTCCAAAAATGTTTGGATAATCATCCCTCGCCACGTGTCCTGGAATGTTCTCTATCCACCCACACAGCCAACCAGAATTCAGTGCCAACATCTCCGCGATTTGCCATGTGGACCACCTTGGGAATTCAACAAGCAAGAGGGTCTCCGTTCCGCGAAAGTGTAGCTCCGCGTTCTCCGCGTTCCGCTTATCGTTCAAAACAGTTCAGTAGGATCTTCCACGGTGTACAGCGGTCGGATAAGCTACCGCTCTGTAACGCAACGCATCCAACAAAACACACACTTCGCGCTCCTGGCTCCCTCTCATCATCCGTCACATACGTCACACCCACAAAGCGAAGGGAGAAACTTCTCATGTTACAGACGCACGTAATCGGCTCCAAGGCGATAGAAGTAAGAGGCGATAGACTGCAGCGTTGGCGGCAATCGCGCCGATACTGTACATTTCAAGCAGTCGTTTTTGCCGTCAAGGTCGGAATTAGCCGTCTGTCGCCGCCATGGCGCAAGCGCTGACCATGAGCACTTCGCGCGCGACATCTGTCGCACGCGCAGATCTCATCTCTGCGACCCGCCGTAACGCCACGTCAGCAGTCAGTCCACGTGTCGCCCTCTCTCAAGCTCACCTCTCGAGTCGGCTGCTTAGCGGCAGGCGGATTCCCGATCGTGTAATCCTTCGATCGCAAATTTCTCGCCGGCCGTCGCAGGCGAGCCAATTCAATCGCTCGCTGTCGCACGTCGTCGCAGCCGTTAGCTCATCTGTCGCAGTAGAGGAGGCAGACGTCGTTATCGTCGGTGCCGGCGTGTCGGGTCTTTGCACGGGACTTGCTCTAACCACGGATCACGCGGACACTGTATCGAAGGTGATTGTAACGGAGGCGCGGGATCGCGTGGGCGGCAACATCACGACGGTGGTGGGCGAGCCGGGGACGGCGAACGAGGGGTATCTGTGGGAGGAGGGACCCAACAGCTTCCAGCCCAACGACGCCATGCTCAAATGCGCCGTAAGTGTTCAGGATGGCATCCCCGTTATAAGGAAGAAGGGAGTTCTATCATCTGCTTGAAACCAAGCGAGGCGGGGACGGCGAACGAGGGGTATCTGTGGGAGGAGGGGCCCAACAGCTTCCAACCCAACGACGCCATGCTCTAACGCGCGGTACGTGTTCGTCCGGCATCCGCGTTATTAAAAATAGCATTCTGATGGGACCAACAGAGTCCAGCCCAGCGACTCTGCAATTAGATGCGCGGTACGTGTTATTGTAGTCGCACGGTGTGTAGCAAGGTCTTGAATTCGCGACTTGAATTGGAGATATGCGGCAATATTTCTCCAAGGAAACGTTTGAGTAGCCACGTGATAGAAGTTGAGTTTTGAGGCGCCTGAATTTCAAAGCCTGAAGTGGAGATATTCGGCGATATTGAATTTCCCAAGGAAATGCAAGTCTGCGCTGGCAACGAATTTGAGCCAGATGGAGTTTCTGTGGTGTTTGTGTGACCAGATAACGGCTGGAACAGGATACATGGATTTTGTTTTTATTATTTCTTTCACGCCACTTCACAAAGTCGCCTCTTGATTCATAAGTACGAAGGCTTGGCTTGTGGCATGAAAAGGTGAAGTCTAACGAAAGCTGTACACGGGCTTGCCTATACAGCTGCTGACGAGAAATGCAGCTGGTGCAGGCAGAAACTACAAAAATCACTCTCGCCCACCTGCCATTCCCTGCACCTGCCAATCCTGCATTCAGCTGTCTTCCTCTGCCTTTCTCTGCCATCCCCCTCCTATCCACCACAGCTCGACAGCGGCGTCATCGACCAGTTGGTCCTGGGAGATCCCGACGCGCCCCGCTTCGTGTTCTGGGAGGGCCGGCTGCGCCCCGTGCCGGCCGGCCTGCTGGACCTGCCCGTGTTCGACCTTATGTCCATCATCGGCAAGATCCGCGCTGGGTTGGGAGCTTTTGGTCTCCGCCCTGCCGCTCCTGAGGTGAGGAATGGGTGGATCTGAGTCATGATGCATTGGGAGGGCCGCCTGCTGGACCTGCCTGTCTTCGACCTCATGTCCATCATCGGCAAGATCCGCGCTGGGCTCGGCGCGTTTGGACTTCGTCCCGCCGCTCCTGAGGTTAGTGTGTGAGCTGAACGTTGCCCCCATGCCTGCGGGCCTGCTGGACCTGCCCGTGTTCGACCTCATGTCCATCATCGGCAAGATCCCCGCTGGGCTTGCCGCTCCCGAGGTTAGTTTGCGAGGCATAGTGTAGGTTCGGAAAGCTGAAGGCCTGCCCGACTTGCCAGTCCTCGTCCTAACCTAATGCCTAACATCATCAAGATCCGCGCTGACCTGGCTGCCTTTGGTCTCCGTCCCGCTGCTCTTGAGGACAGTGTGAGCGTGTTTGGCAGATAGCACCAGTGCTGGTTGTGGTGCTGTGTGGGGGCATACGTCACCTTCTTCCCCCTCCCGCACAGCCACTGTATTTGGCATCGTCCAAGGGTCCGTTGTTGCTCATGCCCACCCTCCCTCCTCATGCCCACCCTCCCTCCTCATGCCCACCCTCCCTCCTCATGCCCACGCTACGCTTCCCTCCTACTCATCCCGTTGGCATCTCATTGCGTGGCATGGCGTGGCATGGCGTGTGTGTGGCATGGCAGGGCAAGGAGGAGAGTGTGGAGGAGTTTGTGCGGCGCAATCTGGGCGCTGAGGTGTTCGAGCGCCTCATCGAGCCCTTCTGCTCCGGTGGGTGGGAGGGTGAGAGGGTGGATGATGGTGGTAGCGGGAATGGACGGGCCATTCTATCTCGTGAACGGTGATGGGTGAGGAAGGTGCCTGGCATGCACTGTGCGGCACAATCTGGGCGCTGAGGTGTTCGAGCGCCTCATCGAACCCTTCTGCTCTGGCGGGTGGCTGGCTGGCTGGGTTCTGTGTGGGTGGGCCGCTGGGTGCGTGGGTCCGTGGGTGGGTGGGTGGGTGAATGGTGGATGGCGGGTGGGAAGGTGGGTGGGAGGGTGGGTGAGTGGAAGCTAGGGGGTAACAGCCACACAGGGGTCGTTCTGCTTTCGCGAAAGGCAGCATGCAGAGAGGCAGCATGCAGAGAGGCAGCAGCGTTTGGCAAAGAGCTATGCTGGAGCAGTTAAGATGGCTCTTCTACTCCCTCCTCCACTCCCTCCTCTCCCTCCCCTTCCCCCTCCCACCACTCAAAGCTGTGAGCATGGAAGGCCGCGTTCGAAAAGGTGCCACAGCTGGAGCAATGAGGGTTCTTCCCCTTTCCCTCAACCCCAACCCCGCGCCTGCCCCTTCTCAACCCCCTTTCACCTAATCCCCCATCCCCTCGCCCTGCAGGTGTGTACGCAGGAGACCCATCAAAGCTGAGCATGAAGGCCACGTTCGGCAAGGTGTGGCGCCTGGAGAATCTGGGGGGGGTTCCCCCTTCTCTCCCTCCACCCATTCCCCCCCATTCCCCAATCACCCCTCCCCCCTCCCCTCTTCCGCCCCCACACACCCCCCTCCCCACTTCCGCCCCCACACACCCCCCTTCCCTCTTCCGCCCCCACACACCCCCCTCCCTCTTTCCCTGCAGGTGTGTACGCTGGAGACCCATCGAAACTGAGCATGAAGGCCGCGTTCGGAAAGGTGTGGCGCCTGGAGCAGCTTGGGGGGTCCATCTTTGGCGGCTCCATGAAGCTGATCAAGGAGAGACAGGCCAACCCGCCGCCCCCTCGTGACCCGTACGTTGTAATGCTAGTCCAAATGTGTAACACGGTGATGTGTGCGCCTGTGAATGGTGCTGTTAGCAGCAGCTTGGGGGGTCCATCTTTGGCGGCTCCATGAAGCTCATCAAAGAGAGACAGGCCAACCCGCCACCTCCCCGTGACCCGTACGTTACGTGTGGTAACCCAAAGTGTATGCTGATGAATTCAAGTACGCTGCTGCTAGCAGCAGCTGGGGGGATTAGTATTTTGTGCCTCTTCGAAGCGCAAGAAAGACAGACCAACTTCCTCCCCATGACCTGTGAGCATGCTGCTGTTATCTCGTATCCAGGCATATGTGTATCTTATTGCTATCAATGCTGCTAACATTGTGCTGTACAAACTCACCCACCCTTTTCATCCCTTTGCACCCCTTCTCTCCTCTTATTACCTGTTCCCACCGCTCTTCACCGCGTGTGTCTGCAGGCGCCTGCCGAAGCCCAAGGGGCAGACAGTGGGGTCGTTCCAAAAGGGACTCATCACCCTCCCCACTGGCATTGCCAGCAAGTAGGTGCCATGCTGATATGGTAAGATGCCATGTTATGCCATCTCATGCCAGGCCACGCCATGCCAGGCGACCCCATGCCAGGCCACGCCATGTCATGGCATGCATTGCTATTCCACGTGGCGCCATGTTCCGCCATCATATGATATCATAGGTTACCACTGTGACATGCCATGCCATGCTATGCTATGCCATGCCACACCACATCACACCACACCACACCACACCACACCACACCACACTACTCCGAATCACCGCATAAAGAACGCATGATCACATCACATGTCGTTCCACCAACCTACCCTTCCCGAACCTGCCCTCCAGGCTCGGCGACCGGGTGAGGCTTGGGTGGAAGCTGACGGCCATAGAGAAGCGGCCAGGTGGCAGCGGCTTCCTTCTCTCCTACGACACTCCCGAGGGCGCCAAGCAGCTCTCAGCGCACTCGCTGCTGCTCACCGTTCCCTCCTATGTCGCTGCTGACCTTCTGAAGCCGTTCTCGGTAAGTGTTTCAACTGTGTGTTGAGGCTCAGGCCTTGTTGATTCAGCAGCCTCACTTCTTCCGCCCCTCTTGCCCATCCCACAGGCAGCAGCAGCAGCCGCCCTCTCGGCCTTCTACTACCCACCCGTGGCAGCAGTGACCATCTCGTACCCCAAGGAGGCCATTCGAGAGGACAGGCTCGTGGGGGGCGAACTCAAGGGCTTTGGACAGCTGCACCCGCGCACCCAGGGCATTGTCACTCTGGGTACGTGATCTCTTTGACACTGGGTGATTAAGGATGCATGTATGTGGAGTGGGATGGAGTCTGGGGAGGACAGGCTCGTGGGGGGCGAGCTCAAGGGCTTTGGACAGCTGCACCCGCGCACCCAGGGCATCGTCACCCTTGGTAAGCCATTGGGGGTCGGGCAGGGACGGGGGAGCATTGGGAAAAGGATGGGGGAGGGGTTGGTGATAGAAGTGGATTTTATGGTTTACCAGATGCGAGTTGGAGGGCGAGGTCAGGAGCTCAAGGGCTTTGGACAGCTGCACCCCCACCCAAGGGATCGTCACTCTGGGTAAGGCAGTGGGTGGCAGACAGGGTTGAGGGTGGTGAGGGATGGTTGAGAGGGATGGGCGAGAGGGACGGCCAAGAGGGATGAGCAAGAGAGATATGGAGACTACGCGATACCAGCTGACCGCAGCATCCACTGTACTGATCTGTTCCGCGATATTTGTCACTCTTTCCCTGCCTGTTCTCCATGCTCCTTGTGACCACTGCCCAATCAATCTTTGTCCAGCCGCCCTCTGATACATACTCCTCCATCCTCTGTCCCAACTGTGCTTCATACTACTGTCTGTGCCTGCCCTCCCTCCCCTGTTCTATTTCCTGTCTTCCCCACCCTCCCTCCCCTCGTTCTGAGACGCCTCAAAATCCGAGCCTCATCCTCCTTGCTCTGTCGCACTGCCGTATGACCCCCCTCCCCTCCTTCTCACACCCCTTGACCCCTTACAGGCACCATCTACAGCTCAGTGCTCTTCCCCAACCGGGCTCCGGACGGCCGTGTGCTGCTGCTGTGCTACATTGGCGGCGCATGCAACACCAAGATCGCTACCATGGTGAGTGCTGGTGCCTTTGTTAAATGCTTATTCACAGCATAAGTTAGTACGTGTCAGGGTGAAAGGTGGTGAATGCTGCTGCTGGTGCTACATTGGGTACGCATGCAACACCAAGATCGCCACCATGGTGGGTGGGTGGTGGTAACGGTAGGGCTTCATGCTATCTATCGTATGGATGCTGGTGCTTGTTGTGCTGTGACTTTTGAGTCGACTCAACAGTCACCGCTTCATGTTTCTATTGTATGGATGCTGGTGCTTGTTGTGCTGCTGCTATGCTGCATTGAGGGGACGTGCAACACCAGTACCACCACCACTCCTCCCCCCCTCTCTTTTCCCCTTCCCTTTCTTCCCTCCCCTCCCTTCTCCTACCCTTCTCCCAACTCACCAGAGTGAGGAGGAGATAGTGAAGCAGGTGGACATCGATGTGCGCAATATGCTCATCAAGCCACCTTTTGTCCCCCCTCGCCCCTTGGTCCCTTCTCAACTCCCTTCCATTCCCCCACCAGAGCGAGGAGGAGATAGTGAAGCAGGTGGACATCGATGTGCGCAAGATGCTGATCAAGCCTCCTCTCGTCCCTCGTCCACCCTTCCCTCTTACCCGCCATTCCTCTACTCCCCCCACCAGAGCGAGGAGGAGATAGTGAAGCAGGTGGACATCGATGTGCGCAAGATGCTCAACAAACCACCTCTTGTACCCACTCGCCCCTTGTTCCCTTGTCCCCTTCCCCTCCATTCCCTCACCAGAGCGAGGAGGAGATAGTGAAGCAGGTGGACATCGATGTGCGCAAGATGCTCATCAAGCCCGATGCGGTCGCGCCCCTCACGCACGGCGTGCGCGTGTGGCCGCGCGCCATTCCCCAGTTCAACGTGGGTCATCTCGACAACCTCGCCAAGGCGCGCGAGGAGATCAAGGCGGCTGGGCTTGAGGGCGTGTTCCTGGGAGGGAATTACGTGGCGGGTGTCGCGCTGGGTCGGTGCGTGGAGGGTGGGTATGAGAGCGCGGCGGAGGTGGTACAATATTTGAAGGAAAATGTTGCTGTTAGCAAATAAGGGAACATTCCTGAAGCGCGTCACAAAGGCCTCGCGTCTCAAACGAAGAGATGCAGTGCGGTGGAAATTTTTAATTCGTAGGTGTAATGCGGTGCAGACCGGTACATTGGTTTTATGACGGGATTGAGACATTTGTGTCTAGACAGGAGTGTACCCTAAATATAGTTGGGATGACCGAATGGAGTGTGTCTTATTTGGTTTTGGTCAACTAGCCAAGCTTTTGTTGTACTGGTATGAAGTGGAATATTGTTAGCAAGTAGGGTTGAGAGCATAGTCAATTTTCCCTTTTTTTGCCTTTATCACTAGACACAGTTAGCTTGCCCAGACCCATTAGCATAACCTTTCTATCTGCAGGGAGGCAGAAGAAGCTGCATAGCGTGTAACTCCTTTTACAAGCTTCCAAGCTTCCAGGTGTGTCCACATTACAAGCTTCCTGAAACCCCGAGGAAGAGTTGTGTGCAATAATTGTCTAATCAACAACAATTCCACATCGTTTTTTTGTGGTACACCTTGCCCTCGCCAACTTCAAACGGTTCGGTCCTGGAACCGCACTTTAACAAACCAAAACGAGTGCAACCCTTTTACATGGTTCAGAACACTTACGAACCGATATGTTTTCCCTCCGTGTGTTGAAATTGGAGGGACCAACCCTACGGCAAAACGACAAGGGGGCGACCCGGTGCCCCCGGTGTTGAAATTGGCGAGGGCAAGGTGTAGGCAACTGTGACTTGCGTCAATAATTGTGGAACGGGCTTTCGCGAACGTCGGAGCCGAAAATTGAGCTCGCGAATGCTCGCTGTCTCTGGCGACAAAGCCCGATGCGTCGGGAAACAAAAATTACCCATACACTTCTCACCCAATCAGAGCATTCCATGCCACACATATTCGCTGCAAAGCCATGCAAACTAGTGCTTTGGCCGCACCGCGACGCAACGCAACGCGACTCGAAACATCTGCACCTTTGCGCCTTGAAGTGGGCAGCCCTTGGGACTTGTACGATTCAATACGGTTATAGACGGTTCTGTGTATGGAATGGCAGCACAGTGCGGTTACACCCAAAAACAACACCTGCCTGTGCCTCACATCACACCACACCTCGAGACACGGAGGGCGGCGCTACCAGAGTGCAGCGCGCAAAACGCTTCAAGCACAGAGCGACGCAGTGCCATAGGGACGAACGTAGCGCGCAGCACCCGATTTCGCTGCTGGTAGAGCGGCGGCTATAAGAACTGCGAGCACCGTCGCCCTAATTCGTACCACTTGCCAGAAAATCAGTGATTTTGCCCTTCCGTTATTGATCGCACAGAACGAGTCCGTTTCATCCTCGATACTTCCTCCACCTAATTGAGCTACAGTTAGGCGCGAAAATTCTTTCCCAGACATTGTGGCTTCTAAACCGCAAATTCTTCAACACTGAGCCTCCCCTTTCAAAGGGGATTTTGCGCACATTGCGAAAGAAAACGAGGGGCCTACTGTTTTCCGAGCTGGGACATCCCAAAGTAGTAAAGGCGCACGTGCATACTATGTACTATAAACGTGCTGTGTAAATTCGGATTTATCAAAAGAAATTCGGCGACGCCATGATCGCCCTTACCGTCACCGTTGCTCTGATTGCCGCTGCTCTCGGCGCTCCTCTCCCCGCGGCAGCTGCGGCGGCAGCTGCGGCGGTTCTGCCTCAAGCCTCCGACGTCATCATCCAGCCGTCCGATCGTGAGTCGTCTCGCGACGCGCTCGCTGCGAGCCTCCGTCCTCTCCTCCCCCCATCCTAATCTCTTCTTTAGAAGTGTATTTGAGAACTTTCGAATAGTTTTTCCTTGCGGAAGATCCCATTCCCCTCCCATCGCTCTCATTATCATTTTCCCGCCTCAATTGTTAAGGAAATACCGGCAACTTTTCCCCCTGTACCATGCTCGAACCTCGACCTCCCGCTCGTCCCCGTTACAGTCATGGCGCTGCGTCAGTTAGCGAAGAAGTGGGGCATCGGATTCGACGGCTATAAGACATGGACCACGCCCGGCGCGGCCAAGAAATGCTCCGCATACGTGGGCGTCAGATGCGACTCGAGCGGCCGAGTCGTCAGCTTGTAAGTCAAGCGCAGTCAACGCCAGTCAATACGTGTCGGCTATAAGACATGGACCACGCCCGGCGCGGCCAAGAAATGCTCCGCCTACGTGGGCGTCGGATGCGACTCGAGCGGTCGAGTCGTGAGCTTGTGAGTCAATACGAATCGACGCCAGTCAATCGCAGTCAACTTCTTTTAATCGGAGTCAAGGATGAGTCAAGCCGAGTCAACGTCAGTCAAACATGGTGCAATGCTGACATACCTCTCAGGCCCATGCTTGGTGCAATCCCAACGCAGAAAAGAATCGAGCTGATTGCTTCCTATGATGCGCCTGTCCGATTGCTACAACTCCTTATCGCTGATGCATCGTTTCCCCCCCTTTTTTACCTGTCAGAACGCTGCCGGTGTCAGCAGCAGAGGGGCCCATCACCGGCATTTCCAAGCTCACTGCTCTCACCAAAATGTGAGAGAACGTAGGCTATCATACCGGATGCGAGCCATTGTATGAGTTGCCGTGAGGATGTGAGTGGTGAAGCTGCCAATACCAATTTTAGCAGAGGGGACCATCTCCGGCATCTCCAAGCTCACTGCCCTCACCAAAATGTGAGTGCGGCTGACCAAAATGATGTTCATTCTGCCTTTTGAGACGTCTTAAAAATGATCAAGAGCTCCATCCCTTGGCCAACCATCGCCCTCCCTTTCGCTCCCACCCCCATCACTCCTCGCTCCTCCCCGCTTGCCCCCCTCCTTCCCATCTCCCCTCTGCCCTCGCCCCCTTTTTCCCATCTTAAATAGATCCATTTCTTCACCCCCCAACGGCCCCGCATTCGTCCCCACTACCATCGACCATCGCCCCTCGACCTTCCCCCCTTCCTCCCCAGCTCTCTGCCCTGCAACATCGTCACCGGATCCATCCATTCACCCCCGTTTTCGGCCCCCTTTATTCGTCCCCTTTTTTCGCCCTCACTCCCATTGTTCCTCGCCCCTCAACCCTCCCCTCTCCTCCCCAGCTCGCTGCCCTGCAGCATCATCACCGGATTCATCCATTCACCCCCGTTTCGCCCCCACTACCATCGTTCCTCACCCCTTCAGATCGATACTCCCATCGTTCCCCCCCCCCTTCCTCCCCAGATCGATGCCCTACAACATCATCACGGGATCCATTGCTGACGTCACCAAGCTGCCCAACCTGCGCTTCCTGTAGGCTTCTGCCCCATGCCATGCCATGCCATGCCATGCCATGCCATGCCGTGCCGTGCCGTGCCGTGCCGTGCCGTGCCGTGCCGTGCCGTGCCGTGCCATGCCATGCCATGCCATGCCGTGCCATGCCATGCCATGCCATGCCGTGCCATGCCATGCCATGCCATGCCATGCCGTGCCATGCCGTGCCATGCCGTGCCGTGCCATGCCATGCCATGCCGTGCCATGCCATGCCATGCCATGCCATGCCATGCCGTGCCGTGCCGTGCCGTGCCATGCCATGCCGTGCCGTGCCATGCCATGCCATGCCATGCCATGCCATGCCATGCCATGCCATGCCATGCCATGCCATGCCATGCTGTGCCATGCCATGCCATGCCATGCCATGCCATGCCTTGCCATGCCATGCCATGCCATGCCATGTCATGCCACTTGCCTCGCTTCTTCTAACTAAGCTCCTGCCTGCCTATTGTCCCCCATTCTTCCCGTCCCGCAGGGACCTGAGCCGCAACATAAAGATCGGCAAGCTGCCAGCGTCTCTCACAGCCATGACAGCACTCAAACACCTGTAAGCTGTGACCTAAGCCCGCCCCTCTTCTCTTTGCATGCATGTATTATCCCCTCCTCTTGTATGCGTGTACGCTCACTCTCAAACTTAATCCAGGAAAGCTGCCCGTGTCTCTCACAACTTTTCTTGTACGCCTCTTAGTTTCACCATCCACTCCCATTACTTACGCCCCTGCTTCCACCCATTGCACGCAGTGACCTGACTGGGTGCCGCATAGGAGGGGTCATCCCCGCCTTCCTGGGAGAATCAAATCCCTCACCTTACTGTGCGTTGCGATAACACCACCTCTCGTGCCCTCGTGCACTCACACCCCATACACTCACACCCTATGCACTCACACCCCAATGCACTCACACCCCATGCACTCATACCCCATCCACTCATACCCCATGCACTCACACTCACCTTGCTCCCTTTTCATTCATAGTCCCTCCCTCCTCTCAGCTTCCATTTCTCCTTCCCAACCGCCCCCTACCTCCCCCATACTATTATCCCCACTTCTTCTCTCATACCTCTAATCCACCTCGCCTGCCCCGGTTCCTCTAGCCCTTATCCGCCATCAACCATCTCTTTTTTTCAGAAATCCCATTTTTCCTGCACCGGCGTAAGCAACACTGCTACAAAGGGGAAGTGCAGCCGTCCTTCAGAGGCCTCGTAAATGGAGGTTACCTTTGAGACACCTCACCAACGAACTTCCTCTTCCCTCCTCTTCCCTCCTCTTCCCTCCTCTTCCCTCCTCTTCCCTCCTCTTCCCTCCTCTTCCCTCCTCTTCCCTCCTCTTCCCTCCTCTTCCCTCCTCTTCCCTCCTCTTCCCTCCTCTTCCCTCCTCTTCCCTCCTCTTCCCTCCTCTTCCTCCTCCTCTTCCCTCCTCTTCCCTCCTCTTCCCTCCTCTTCCCTCCTCTTCCCTCCTCTTCCCTCCTCTTCCCTCCTCTTCCCTCCTCTTCCCTCCTCTTCCCTCCTCTTCCCTCCTCTTCCCTCCTCTTCCCTCCTCTTCCCTCCTCTTCCCTCCTCTTCCCTCCTCTTCCCTCCTCTTCCCTCCTCTTCCCTCCCTTCCCTCCTCTTCCCTCCTCTTCCCTCCTCTCCCCTCCTCCTTCCCTCCTCCTTCCCTCCTCCTTCCCTCCTTTCCCCTCCTCTCCCCTCCTCTCCCCTCCTCTCCCCTCCTCTCCCCTCCTCTCCCCTCCTCTCCCCTCCTCTCCCCTCCTCTCCCCTCCTCTCCCCTCCTCTCCCCTCCTCTCCCCTCCTCTCCCCTCCTCTTCCCTCCCTTTCCCTCCCTTTCCCTCCCTTTCCCTCTTCCCTCCTCTTCCCTCCTCTTCCCTCCTCTTCGCTCCTCTCCCCTCCTTCCCTCCTCTCCCCTCCTCTCCCCTCCTCTCCCCTCCTCTCCCCTCCTCTCTTCTCTTCTCTTCCCTCCTCTTCCCTCCTCTTCCCTCCTCTTCCCTCCTCTTCCATCCTCTTCCATCCTCTTCCCTCCTCTTCCCTCCTCTTCCTTCCCCTTCCCTCCTCTTCCCCCTCTTCCCTCCTCTTCCCTCCTCTTCCTCTTCTCTTCTCTTCCTTCCTCTTCTCTCCTCTCTTCCTTCCTCTTCCCTCCTCTTCCTCCCTCTTCTCTCCTCTTCCCTCCTCTTCTCTCTCCTCTTCCCTCCTCTTCCTTCCTCTTCCTTCTCTTCCTTCCTTCTTCCTCTCTCCTCTTCCCACCTCTTCCCTCCTCTGCCCTCCTCTTCCCTCCTTCCCCCTCCCAGTGGCCTAAGCAACAATTTCTACACGGGTGAGGTGCCACCGTCCTTTGGAGGCCTCTCCAACCTCGCCTACCTGTAAGCCCCTAACACACGCCCCCACCGCCCTCACCCACCTGTGCCTGCCAGTGATGCTCTTGTACACCTTGTCACCCGTCCTTTGGAGGCCTTTCCAACCTCGCCTACCTGTAAGCCCCTATCACACAGCCATCTCCCACCTGTGTCACCTACTCTCTCTCACACTCTACATGTTTCCTGCTTTCACCCCACTCTGTACCTCCCGATCTTTCCCCACTCTCTCTTTCCCCATCTCCACCTCACTCTCTCTATCCCTCCTCACTCCCCCAGCGACATCTCAGGATCAGGAGAGGAGGAGGAGGAGGGCAACGGCCTGCTGAGCCCTCTGCCGTCGCAGCTCACGAATCTCAAGGCGCTCCAGTCCCTGTGAGTGCACCCTCCGATGTGTGAACGGTGAGTCAAATATAAAGCCCTCTGCCATCGCAGCTCGCGAATCACAAGGCACTCAAATCCCTGTGATTGCCTTGAGTCGACTCAAAAGTCATCAGCGCAACCCTCTGCCCATGCAGCTCGCGAGTCGCTAGGCGCCCCAGTCACTAGCACTTCCACTGCGTTGCTTCCGTAGCACTTTCAAGTCCCTCTCGCAGTGCCTCTGCTGCTGCTGCTGCTGCTGCTGCTGCTGCTGCTGCTGCTGCTGCTGCTGCTGCTGCTGCTGCTGCTGCTGCTGCTGCTGCTGCTGCGGCGGCGGCGGCGGCGCTTTCGATATCCTTGCATATACTTTTACGGCATTTTCAAAACCGAGTACCGAGTTCCACCTTCCGCCTTCCTCCCTCTTCCCCCATCTTCTTTCCCACCCCCACCAGCAACCTGTGGGGGAATGAGTTCACAGGGCCTATCCCGGACTTCCTTGGAAGCCTCACAGCACTCACGGAGCTGTAAGTCACTGTCACGAAGGTTGCAGTTGCAGTAACGGAAGTGGTTATACTGAGAGGTCTCAAAAGGATAACGGGGGTTGCAGTTGCAGTTACATGTTTAACAATACTATTTTGAGGCACCTCAAAACCCTCCCACCCTTCCCCCCTCCACCGACCTTCCTCATCCTCCTCAGGATTATGAGCAAGAATCGGTGGGACAAGACAATCCCGAGGGCCTTCTCTGGACTCGTGAACCTGAGAACACTGTGAGGAAGGGATGCAGGTGTGAGGGGATGTGGGTGTGAGGGGATGTGTGTGTGAGGAAATCTTGACAGGAATTATCGCTGCTGCAAGGATATTATGCTGTAAAGAGGTGTTTCTTTAAAGAAATGCTGCTGACAGTGTTTCTCTCAACCACGGATGGCAGTGTCTCTCTCAACCACCATCTCCCAGTCTTTCGCTATCCCCACATCGCTCTCCCTTTCCCTCCACCTTCGCCCCTCCCCACCCACAGTGACTTTAGTGAGACGGAGATCACGGGAGGCATCCCCCCCTTCTTCGGAAAAGAGTTTACTTCCTCTCCACCTGTTGAGGCGTATCAAAACCCCTTCGCCCCCCCTTCCCCTATCCCACAGTGACTTAAGTGAGACAGAAATTTCGGGAGGCATCCCCCCCTTCTTCAGATCAGAGTTTACTTCCTCTCCACCTGTTGAGGCGTCTCAAAACCCCTTCGCCCTCCCTTCCCCCATCCCACAGTGACTTAAGTGAGACAGAAATTTCGGGAGGCATTCCCGCGTTCTTCTCCGCCTTTGGAAAGCTCGTGTCCCTGTGAGTCGGGTTATCTTAGAACATGCGAGTTCATGCAAGCAGGGCCTGCACAGCCCACCTGTCCCCTACTGACAAGGGAAGCATACCCCCGTTCCTCTCCGCCTTTGACAAGCTCGTATCCCTGTGAGTTCTCAAAAGTCAATCCAGTACGCATTTCAAAGCCTCCCCCACCCCTCTTCACTGTTCCCATGCAAAATCAGATGTATGGGCAGCGCCATACAGTAGCTGAGTCTGCTCAAAAGTCATCTCATTTCGCCCTTCCCCCATCCCTCCGCCCCAACCCTACCGCTTTCATTATTTCCGTGCAAAATCAGATCTATTGGCAGCACGAGCATCAGTGGCAACATTCCACGTGGCTTCAGCAGACTGGTCAACCTGCAAGCCCTGTGAGCCTGAAGGGTTCCTGTTTATCCGCCTTATAAGCAGATTGGTCAGATAACTACATTCCCAAGATTAGCTACAACTAATGTGCAACAGATAGCAGCATCATGGTCTGCGATACAAGAGTCAATCATGACGATTCTACCAAGTTTGCGCAAATCAACCAAGCGTCAGCTCAACAGCATGCTGAGTGGCGCTCTTTCCATAAATGGGAGTGATCAACGCAAGATTGGATCAACTTAGTGACTTTTGAGTCGACTCAAAAGTCACCTCCATAAATGAGAGTGATCAACGCAATATTGGTTCAACTTAAAAAATACACCGGTTTCTATCCCCCGATCCAGGCGTCTGAACAACAACTTGCTGAGCGGCTTCCTTCCCGACCTCGGTGCTGCAAAGAGCCTCCGGCAAGTGTAAGAAGCTTAAAATTCTGCAACTCGCCATGGTCCTTCGCTTTCATTCGTTTCATTACCCTTCAGTTCTGTAATGTTGAATTTTACCATGTTCTGACAACCAACCATCACGTCACACACTCCTTGCCCCATATATTCTCCCTTTGTCCTTCTTGTTATAATCCAACCTCACCCTCCCCCTCCTCCTCCTCCTCCTCCTCCTCCTCCTCCTCCTCCTCCTCCTCTCCCTCCTCCTCCTCCTCCTCCTCCTCCTCCTCCTCCTCCTCCTCCCCCCCCCCCCCTCCCCTCCCCTCCCCCCTCCCCCTCCCCCTCCCCCTCCCCCTCCCCCTCCCCCTCCCCCTCCCCCTCCTCCTCCTCCTCCTCCTCCTCCTCCTCCTCCTCCCCTCCCCCTCCTCCCCCCCCTCCCCCCCCTCCCCCCCCTCCCCCCCCCCCCCTCCCCCCCCTCCCCCCCCTCCCCCCCCTCCCCCCCCTCCCCCCCCCCCCCCTCCCCCCTCTCCTCCCAATCCTTCTTCCCCACTCCTGATCACCGCAGTGACGTCAGCAGCAACTTCTTTTCCGGTGCCCTCCCACCCTCCCTCGCGTCAATCTCCAACCTCATAATCACCGGCAACTATTTCTCGGGCAGCACGGCCTCTTTTCCCTGCCCGGACCCCGACGCTCTCTCGTTCAACTGCTTCTCATCGGTCCCCGCCAAGTGCAAGGCAGCTATCACACCTCGTCCTGCTAACAGGTGTCGGGAGTTTTGTGGGACAGGGACGAAAGCAGGCACGTGTGGGGGGCATGGCGTGTGCAGGCCTGCTTGGAAGGGAAGTAATCTGCTGTTCTCATGCCAGTGCTTTAAGGGGTTTGTGGCTAGCAAGAATGGACTGACGTGTGAAGCGAAGAGCAGCTGAGAAGAAAATAGAGCATTTTTTTGAAAAAAAGTGGCAGCATGGGTTGTGGTACTTAGTCGCTCTTTCATCCCTATAAACGTGCTGGAAGCACCTATCTATTTTCATGTTCTTTTGAAGAAAGACCATGTAATGTAATGGTTTACCGTAAGAAGGCCAGATTGCGAGCAAGGTATCAAGCTTTGTGCTGCCCCTTTTGAACGAAGCCAATTGATGATGCACCATGGCCTTAGAAAAGCAATACAAGGTTGCCCCTTTTCCCGCCAAAGCATTTTCGTTTCGACACCATGCATTGCATTGCAAGCTAAAAAATGGAAGGGCAGCATAACACATTTCTGTGCGCTGAAAGTGAATGTGCACGGCTGTCCTCCTCGGGCAGTCAACCAACGTGCTGCTCTGTTCACTACTGTAATCGGGCCTAACCAATTATCACCAGTTATCATATCACCATCCCTCCCGTTTTCTGCTTCGGCATTCTCTCATGTCATCACCTTGCTGTGTTACCATCACCCTCCTCTCACCATCCCCACTTTCTTGAACCCACTCGTTCTGCTGCCTAGCTACGCTATCACTAATGTATGTCTGTCCAGTCCCATTTTGCGCCTGGAACATGCCAGATACCGTAGTGGTTTTTGATGTGGTTCGATGCGATGGTAGGATGTTTGGACGAGAGGTTTGCCAGAGTGCCAGCCAGCCAACCAACGAATCGGATGGCAATGGATGGAGCCAGATAGGAAGGAGTAAAGGAATAGAAATTATGATTTTGGAAGAAATTGCAAATGAAATAACGCATAGTACGGAGCAGCAAATGGCTTACGGTATTATGCAGAGCGATGATGCCATGCCACGCCATGCCATGCCACCCCACGTCTTTATTCCTTAAACTACCGTCCTACTCCAGAAGTGGCTTTACCAAGGAAGAACAGTACCTTTTCCTCCCTCCACAGCGGATCATTGAAACGAAGCCACAATCAGGGCCAGGCGGCACCCAGGTGTCGTTCTTGGAGCAGCGCTGCTTCTGGTGCGAGGCCCAGTACCCCAGCTGGCACTCGCATGCAGGCACATACGCCTGCGAGCCATGCGTCTCATCCAAATCCATCACGCACACACCCTTGCACGCCCCTGTGGCCATGGCCGTCCCACGGCACTTGTTGCAGGCATTCAGTTGTTGATCTTGGAGCATCGCAGCTTCTGATGCGAGGCCCAGTACCCCGACTGGCACTTGCACATGGGCACGGGCACCTGACATGTTGAGCAAATTTTCCGCATCCAGCACGCACACGCCCTTGCTGAAGCCGAGCTGTAGCCAACCGCCACTCAATTGTTGTTCTTGGAGCATCTCAGCTTCTTGTGAGAGGCCCAGTACCCAGCCTGGCACTTGCACATGGGCACATACGCCTGAGTGTTGAGCAACTTTTCCACATCCAGCACGCACACGCCCTTGCCACTGCACACCCCCGTGGCCATGGCCGTCCCACAGAACTTGTTGCACTCGGCCACGCTCTTCTGGGCGGCAGACTCGCCGCAGCTGCGCGGCACGGAGGAGAGGCAGTTGCCGCCCAGGGAGAAGGCTGAGCAGGAGAAATAGTTGTCGGTCAAGTTGACTTTCTGGACTCTCTGCAGGAAGACTGGGATGTGGCCTGAGAGGTAGTTGCCAGAGAGGTCACTGGAGGGGTGGGGAGAAGGGATTGGGGAGTGGGGAGTGGGGAAATGGAAAGAGTGAGGTGGATAGGTGTTATTATGCAGAGGGGTGGGATGCAGCGAGGTGGGATGCAGAGGGGTGGGCAGGTGGGAGGGCAGGTGGGAGGGCAGGTGGGAGGGCAGGTGGGAGGGCAGGTGGGAGGGCAGGTGGGCGGCAGGTGGGCGGCAGGTGGGCGGCAGGTGGGCGGCGTACATAAGGGTGAGCTGCTTGAGGGTGCTGAGGCCGGCCGGGGAGCCGTAGAACAGTGCATTCTGGAGGTGCCTGCAGCGGTGCGGAGAGATGGGTGGGTGGGAGGGAGGGATGCAGAGAGATGAGTGGGTGGGAGAAAGCGAGTGTGGATTGGCAAGGAATGGGAGAGGAGTCGTAAGGCTGAAGGGAGGGGTGAGTGCGGCACGGTTGCAGGGTCAAAGCACCCCTCTGCACCGCATTGGTGCTTGCCCACCCTTCACCCGAGCGGCACGGGTGCATGCAGGGTGAATGGTCAATGCCCACCCATTGCTGAACCGCATTGGCACTTGGCCACTGCTCCTTTGAAGCGTCTCTGAATAGTCTGTTTCTTAAGGCGCCTCAAAACTCTGCTGAATCACATTGGAGCTACTCTGCAATCCCCTCCCCTCCCCCCACGAGATCCTGCCCTCCCCCTGCATCCCCTACGTCCCTCTACCCTCCCCCTTCCCCTCGTCCGCCCCCCCCCCTTCCCACCAGCCTCACAGCTCTCTGAGCTTTGTCAGCCTGCTGAGCGCCCCGGTGACCTCTCCGTGTAGGCGCGTGCTGGACAGAGAGCTGTGGGGCGGGAAGAGGGGGGGAAGAGGGGGGGAAGAGGGGGGGAAGAGGGGGGGAAGAGGGGGGAAGAGGGGGGGAAGAGGGGGTGAAGAGGGGGGAAGAGGGGGGGAAGAGGGGGGGAAGAGGGGGGGAAGAGGGGGGGAAGAGGGGGGGAAGAGGGGGGGAAGAGGGGGGGAAGAGGGGGGGAAGAGGGGGGGAAGAGGGGGGGAAGAGGGGGGGAAGAGGGGGGGAAGAGGGGGGGAAGAGGGGGGGAAGAGGGGGGGAAGAGGGGGGGAAGAGGGGGGGAAGAGGGATTTTTAAGTCGACTTAAAAATCGACTCATCACACGCGGGTTATACGTGGAGAAAATGTTTGTTGCGTGGAAAATTGGTTGTAACCTTCAGAGGTTACTGGTGCGCGCGCGACTTCCGAAGTTGCCCCTTGGCGAAAATCTGAACCCAACCCTTCACGCTGACACTTTCGAGGAAGTTGAAGACGTGGCTGCCTGAAGTTTTCGAGGGTGGTCTGGATTGGTCCCCGTCATTTGGGTGACCTGGGTGTGGATAGCCTAGAGTTCGCTTTCTTAGAGGCCTTGCTTCTCTTTAGAGGCATTGCTTAGCCCTTCTTTCTCATTGTTGGCACTGATGAAGGTCTGATCGGGCCTTTCCCCCGTAATAGACCGAAACATGTTTGTCCCTGTTTTACTCTACTGCTAAGAATTTGGGTTCTAAGATCGTTCTGAGCACTTAGTTGTACATAGAGCGGAATTTTACTGCTGTTTTTTCCTTTGCTTAAGCCTACTGCACGCACGCAGCTCACTGAGCCATGTCCGGATCTCGCGTGGAACTTTCGATTCACTCAGAAGAAGCCGGGCGTGCAGAAGGCAGTTCTGCTATTGCAATTCGTGAGGCGGGTTACTCTGCGAAGACTTACGCGGGCTATCGTGCTCACAAGCGGTCCCGCCAAGCCAACCAGACTTCAATTCCCGTTTCAACTCACGAACCGACATCGCACAACGAGCAAACAAATTCTCTTCCCGACATGGATGTGGAAGCCGCTCCGAACGCTGCTGCTGCGCCGGCTATGGCTGGCACGAGCAACAATCCTCCTGCTTCGTCGGATCCGTCCATTAGTATTCCTGAACTTCTCAAGGGCTGGACGACGAAGGCAGTCAAGGATTTCAGGGCGGATTTCAAGTCACTCCTGAAGGCGAAGTCCAAACTTCAGAAGATGAAGTTACTCGATGAGCAGGGGGTGATACTTCACAGTCTACGCACCAAGCCCGTCGAGTTTCAGACGAAGTACCGGAGCGTACGGGAGAAGTCTGCTGCGTCGGTTGCCGCGCTTCATCCGGAAAATCAGAAACGAATCCAGAAGGACTTCATTGCGTCTAAGGAGTTGGAGGTTGAGGAGATTTTGGCGGCTTCTAACTCGCACGTGACGACTCTGGCGACAAAGCTTGAAGACTACCTGCAGAGCCTCTCAGCCAACCCTGACTTGGCGGTGTCTGACGCTACCAAGGAGAAGTACAGGAAGATCAAGGGTGCGTGCATCGAGAAGGCGCGGTCTGAGATAGCGGTCGCCAAGGATGAGATCATCATCCAGGAGTTGGATCGGCAGAAGAAACGTGAAGCTGAGGAATTGAAGAAAGCTGCCGCTGCTGAGGAGATGGACAGCATGGAGATGGATCCGGCGATCAACGAGATCGTTCAGCAGCACGTGAAGAAGGCCGAAGAAAAGCTACGCAAGGAGTTCGCGGCGAAGCTGGACAAAGGCCTATCGGCGGCGCTGCAGAAGGTTTCGCTGGAGAGCAAGAACTCGACGCCGGCCCCTGCTGCTGCTTCGACGCCACCGAACAAGAAGGCGAAGAAGAAGCGCGGGAAGAAAAAGAAAGCTGACGCTCCGACGGACGGCAAGGAGAAGGGCCAGAACGCTACCTCCTCGAAGAAGGCCTGGGTTCCAAAAAACGGAGGCGGCGGCCCCGCAAAAGGGCCGCCGAACAAGAAGTAACGGCACACGACCTCGCGCTCCGCTGGTTCGGCCGCTTGACTGTTCGACAAGTGATGTCACGCGTGCGGAACAGCGGGGTGCATAACCTGAGTGCTAAAATTCTTACCACTGATGAACGGAGAGCACTCGGGATGGGTTTGAAGTTTGTGCCTACACCTACCAGGAATCCGTCAGTCGAAGCAGATCTCGATCATCTGCATCGGCTGACTTCTCTTCATTTTTTCTTCAAGGAGAAGGGTGACCCGACGGAACCTGTACGCTTTCGTGTGCGGAATCCTAGTTGGAAACCTGATCGGGACGTTGTCCCGGAGTCGGTCTTCAAGGAGGCCCATTCGGACCTCTCTTTCTTGATGAAAGCGACAACGCCACGGCGCGGTTTCAACCTCTCGTTGGGTGTGCGCAAGGCGTTACGCTCCCTCGCCTCTGACCGCAGCATCGTGATTAAGCCAGCTGACAAGAACGTGGGTGTGACGGTGTTAGATCGGCAGCACTACATCAACCTCTGCATGGAACATCTCGGGGATGAAGCAGTGTACCAGCCGATCCTACATGATCCAACGCCACAGGTCGTGAAGCAGCTGCGGATCTTACAGACGACGTGGGGACCGGCTTTCCCTGACAGCCTCTGGAAGTATTTTTTCAAGGAACCACCTGGAGGGTGGCGACCAGCTGCTTTCTACGCACTGCCGAAGCTTCACAAGAAAGTCCCCGTGGGGCGGCCGATCGCCGCTTCACACTCATGGGTGACTACTCCTGTGAGCAAGTGGCTGGACGCAGAACTTCGCTCGCTGGTACTTAACCGCCCAACTTACCTCCGGGATTCCCTCTCGCTGCTGACGACGCTGGAACGGACTGCCTTTCCTACGACAGTTCTGCTCGCGACGTATGATGTTGCTGCGCTCTACCCCAGCATCTCGATTGAGCGCGGCCTTGATGCGGTCAGCAGTTTTCTGATGAGGGAGAAACCACAGCTCGCCCCACCTCTCATGGCCATGCTGGGCTGGGTCATGAGGAATTCGTTCGTGGAATTCAACGGCCGGACCTATCATCAAGTGCGGGGAACAGCCATGGGGACACCTGTAGCTGTCTGCTTCGCGGTCCTGTTTATGAGCCGTCTGGACGAGCTTCTGAAGGAGAAGTGGACCGGGATATCTCCTCTGTACCATGCGCGCTACATCGATGACGGGTTAATCATTTGGCCAAGGACGCGGGTAGAACTGGAAGCCTACCTGCAGACCTTCAACGCGCTGGATCCTGACATTAGGATCACATGGTCTATCTCGGATCGCTCCATAGATTTTCTTGACGCTGTTCTTTTCAAGGGGCCGCGTTTTAAGGAGCGGGGTACTTTAGACTTCGGCACGTACCAGAAGCCGGTGAATAAGTATCTGTACCTTCCCTTCGCTTCCTTCCATCCACGGCACTGCAAGGAGTCTTTCATTCGCGCAGAGCTAAGACGTTACCTTCTTCGCTCAACTTCAGCTGCGACTTTCCTAGCAACGAAGCGGTCTTTCTTCCTCCGCCTTCGTGACCGTGGTTACCCGCCCGTGTTTCTGCACCCCATCTTCAAAAGTGTCATCTTCGCTCATCGTTCAGAACTTTTCGCCAGCACCATCGCCAACCAAGCGCTCCGCCAACAGACAACTCTCCCATCCCGTGGGCCCCTAGTCTTGAAGACTCAGTACACTCCTGTTACTGCACGACTCGGGCTAGGGGTCCTTTTAAGTCGACTTAAAAATCGACTCATCACACGCGGATTATACGTGGAGAAAATGTTTGTTGCGTGGAAAATTGGTTGTAACCTTCAGAGGTTACTGGTGCGCGCGCGACTTCCAAAGTTGCCCCTTGGCGAAAATCTGAACCCAACCCTTCACGCTGACACTTTCGAGGAAGTTGAAGACGTGGCTGCCTGAAGTTTTCGAGGGTGGTCTGGATTGGTCCCCGTCATTTGGGTGACCTGGGTGTGGATAGCCTAGAGTTCGCTTTCTTAGAGGCCTTGCTTCTCTTTAGAGGCATTGCTTAGCCCTTCTTTCTCATTGTTGGCACTGATGAAGGTCTGATCGGGCCTTTCCCCCGTAATAGACCGAAACATGTTTGTCCCTGTTTTACTCTACTGCTAAGAATTTGGGTTCTAAGATCGTTCTGAGCACTTAGTTGTACATAGAGCGGAATTTTACTGCTGTTTTTTCCTTTGCTTAAGCCTACTGCACGCACGCAGCTCACTGAGCCATGTCCGGATCTCGCGGGAAAGTGTGCGCATGCAGTGCGGAGAGGGGGGGAGCTCACTGAGCGCCCCGGTGACCTCTCCGTGTAGGCGCGTGCTGGACAGAGAGCTGGTGGGGGAGGAGGGGAGTGGAGTTGGGTTGAGTAGGGACGTGGAGAGGGAGCTGGGGGGAGGGGGGGGGGGGGGGGAAAGAGGGAAGGGGAGGATTGGGGAGTGATGTGGGGAGCTCGCTGAGCGCCCCGGTGACCTCCCCGTGCCGGCACGTGTCGGACAGAGAGCTGGGGGGAGGGGAAGGGGGAGGTTGAGGGGAAGGGGAAGGGGAGGAGTTGGGTTGAGGAGAGGAGCCCACTGAGCGCCCCAGTGACCTCCCCGTGCCGGCACGTGTCGGACAGAGAGCTGTGGGGAGAGGAAGGGGGGGGGGAAGAGGGAAGGGGAGGATTGGGGTGAGGTGGGGAGCTTGCTGAGCGCCCTTGTGACCTCACCGAGTCACCGTGCAGGCGCGTGTCGGACAGAGAGCTGGGGGGAGGGGGAATGGAGAGGGGGAACGGGAGGGGGAAGGGGGAGGGGGAAGGGGGAGGGGAACGGGAAGGGGAGTTGGGTTGAGGAGGGGAGCCCGCTGAGCACCCCGGTGACCTCCCCATGCAGACGTGTGTGGGAGAGGGAGCTGGGGGAAAGGGGAAAAGGAAGGGGGAAAAGGAAGGGGGAAAAGGAAGGGGGAAAAGGAAGGGGGAAAAGGAAGGGGGAAAAGGAAGGGGAAAAAGGAAGGGGAAAAAGGAAGGGGGAAAAGGAAGGGGGAAAAGGAAGGGGGAAAAGGAAGGGGAAAAAGGAAGGGGAAAAAGGAAGGGGGAAAAGGAAGGGGGAAAAGGAAGGGGGAAAAGGAAGGGGAAAAGGAAGGGGAAAAAGGAAGGGGGAGGGGAGTTGGGTTGAGGAGGGGAGCCCGCTGAGCGCCCCGGTGACCTCCCCGTGCAGACGCGTGCTGGACAGGGAGCTGGGGAGAGAGAGGGGAGGGAGAGAGGGGAGGGGGGGGGGGGAGAGGGGAGGGGGGGGGGGGAGGAAGGAGAGGGAGGAGAAAGGAGGGGTGAGTGTGAGGATGAGGTGAGTAAGTGGGCACCTCCCTGTGCAGGCGCGTGCTGGACAGGGAGCTGGGGGGAGGGGGAACAGGGAGGGGGAAGGGGGAGGTGAGAGGGTGGTGAGATGAGAGGGAAGCAAGAGGGTGGAGAATTGGGGCAGGAGAGGGCAGGATAGGCACTGAAAGGGCAAGATGGGCACTGAAAGGGCAAGATGGGCACTGAAAGGGCAGTGAGTGAGCTTACAGGTATGTGAGGTGGCTCAGTTTTTCCAGGAACGTTGGAATCTCGCCCTCCAGTGATGTCTCCGACAACCCGCTGAGAGGGCAGTATGGGGTGAGGGGGTGCGCGGAGGAGAGCGGGGCGGGGGGGAGAGAGGGAAGGGGAAAGGGGGAAGGGGGGGTAAATGGAATCAGTACACAGCTCATGCCCAGGTACGTTGGAATCTCGCCCTCCAGTGATGTCTTCGACAACCCACTGAGAGGGCAGTATGGGGTAATGGGGGTGCGAGGAGGAGAAAAGGGGAGGAGAGAGGTGTGACATGGCAGAGAGTTAGACCCCTGGGGGGAAACGGAGGGAGAGGAGCGGAGGGAGAGGGGATGGGTGCAGTGATGGAGGGGGGGGGGATGGGGGAGAGAGAGTTAGGGCATGGCAGGGGATGAGACACAGCTGGTGTAATCAAGCAACGGTTGAGGTGACATGTCGACTCAAGAGAGAGTTAGGGCATGGCAGGGGATGAGAAACAGCTGGTGTAATTTTGAGCGGTTAAGAAGTGGTTGCAATCTGGGAACAATCACGAAAATACCTTTTGAAAGCTCATGAGAAAGCAAGAGAACGAGAAAGATAACGACAAAGAAGAACGTCAGGGACAGAGAGGGGCTGGTTATTCAGACGTCTCAAAAGTTGGATCACAAAATAGAAGAAAACTAAAGCAAAATAATGAGCTGGTGAGCCTGGGAGCAAGATAGAGGGAGGCTGGTGAGCCTGAGAGCGAGACTGACAGGAGACTGAGCTTCTGTTGAGTCGACTCAAAAGTCACTGCGAGACTGACAGGAGACTGAGCTTCTTTTGAGTCGACTCAAAAGTCACTGCGAGACTGACAGGAGAGTGAGCTTCTTTTGAGTCGACTCAAAAGTCACTGCGAGACTGACAGGAGAGTGAGCTTCTTTTGAGTCGACTCAAAAGTCACTGCGAGACTGACAGGAGAGTGAGCTTCTTTTGAGTCGACTCAAAAGTCACTGCGAGACTGACAGGAGAGTGAGCTTCTTGAGTTTGGAGAAGGTCCTGGGAATGGCACCCTCCCAGTGGTTCTTGCTCACCATGCTGTGCGGGTTGGGGAGGGAAATTGGGAGTGAGTGAGTGAGGGTGAATTGAGAGATTGAGTGTGCAGCATGTGCGAGTGAGTGTGCAGCATAAGAGAGAGCAGTGGTGGAAAGCTCTACTGGTGTTAATCTTGGGAAATGATAATAAAAAAAGAAACACCGATATAGCAGAAGAGAGAGCAGTGCCGGAGAGCAGCCGCACCTAGGCTTTGCAAAGAGGTCAGCAAGGGGGTCAAGGCAAGGCACAGTGAACTAACAGTCGCTCCTCTCAATCCTCTGTGCACCAAGATTGGCAAGCCTCTTTAGGTGCATCGCACTGTGGCACTCACAGGCACTCTCACAGGCACTCTCACAACACTTTTGAGAATTCTCAAAAGTCACACGGATATGGCAAGGGTCTCTAGGTGCATCGCACTGTGGCACTCACAGGCACTCTCACAGGCACTCTCACAGAACTCTCACTGAACTCTCACTGAACTCTCACAAACCTCTCGCTGAACTCACAGCTGCTCCAGGTGGGTGAAAGAGCCCATGAAGTCCAGCAGCGACCGCTGAAGCGGTTGTTGTCCAAATAGCTGGGGGGGGGGAAGAGGGGGGGAGGGATGCGGAGGGGGAGATGAGAGGGTGTGGGAAGAGCGGTGGGGGCAAACAGCAAGAGAGAGGAGTAAGGACGAGGATGGAACCCCTCCCCTCCAGGTGCACAGCTCTTTGAGCTGCTTCAGGTTGGCACTATTTCACATTCTTTCCCATCGCCTATCCCCCCCAGGCACGCACAGCTCTTCGAGCTGCTTCAGATGGGCACTATTCCATATTCTTCCCCATCCCCTATCCCATTTTCAACCGCACCCGTCCAATCCCCCAGGCACGAACAGCTCTTTTAGCTTCTTCAGATTGGCATATCCCACACTCTTTCACATCCCCTATCCCTCCCAAATGACTTTTGAGTCGACTCAAAAGTCATCCCCTATCCCTCCCAGGAACGCACAGCTCTTTGAGTTTCTTCAGGTTGGCAAAGCTAGCCGGCAAGGCCCCTCCCACGCCGTCCTTTCCGGTTCCAGCGATGTTGCTGCCAGCACGCATGCAAGGAGGGGAGGATGGGGATGAGGATGAAGATGAGGATGGGAATGAGGGTTGGGATGGGGATGGGGATGGGGATGGGAATGGGAATGGGGATGGGGATGGGAATGGGGATGGGGATGGGGATGGGGATGGGGATGGGGATGGGGATGGGGATGTTCAGTTAATGGAGACGGGGACGATTATAGCGAGATTAAGGATGCTTAGAGTGAGTCATGGATGCTTACAACACGATGGGGATGCATATCACATAACGAGGATGCTTAAAACGAGTCGACAGTGCTTACAGGGGACGGTGCTTACAGGAGACGGTGCTTACAGGAAGACGAGGTTCTCAAGGCTGTCAAGGCTGGAAGGCACAGCACCTTCAAACGAGTTATCACCAATGCCCCTGTCATTTGGCCAATAGCGAGGACACACGTGTGGGGAAGGCAAATCAAGAATTGATTGCTCCTGGGGGTTGCGCCTGAGAAGGTGGAGCGTGAGGGCTTGTGGAGGGCTTGCGGAGAGGTTGAGGGGCTTGAGAGCTTGAGGGTTCGAGGGCTACAAGAAAAGAAAAGAAAGATGACTTCGCCGTTGAGATGCCTAAACAAAGGTTGAGCGCATCTGCGGATCAACATTTGCATGTGAGAACTCTCGAAAACAACCTGGAATGGCATGGCATGGCATGGCATGGAATGGCATGGCATGGCATGGCATGGAATGGCATGGCATGGCATGGCATGGCATGGCATGGCATGGCATGGCATGGCATGGAATGGCATGGCATGGCATGGCATGGCATGGCATGGAATGGCATGGCATGGCATGGCATGGCATGGCATGACATGGCATGGCATGGCATGGCATGGCATGGCGTGGCATGGCGTGGCATGGCATGGCATGGCATGGCAGGTATGGCTCGTTGACTGAGGAAGGCCGGAATGCGCCCGTTGATAGCACAGCTGCACGCATTGCTGTGGGCAACAGGGGGAGGGGAGGGCGGGGAGGAAGGAGGGAGGGAGAAAGCGAGAAGAGATGGATTAAGGAATGCGCCCCTTCATCCCGCAGACAAGCACATTCCTCAATCCATCTCTCCTCTCCCGCTCCCCCCACAGCCGTGCACATTGCTGTGGGCGGGGTGGGGCGGGAGTGGAGGAAGTAGAAGCAGGAGGAGCAAGGCGAAAGGGAAGGAAGAGAGAGGGGAGACAGGGGCAAGGCGAGCAAGAGAGAAAGAGGAAAGAGCTGTTCAATGGAGAACAGCAGCAATGACTGCGATGAGGAGGAGCATTAGAGGCAGCCCGTCAGCCAGCCGCACTGCACCGCACCACACTGCACAGGACTGCACCGCACTGCACAGCACTGCACTCACAGGTGGTTGAGCTTCTTGAGCTCGGTGGAAGAATGTGGCCGTGCCTCCATGCTGTTGCTGTAACTCACAACCTTGTCCCCCGTCCGCACAGCACCGCATTGAACCGCATTGCAACCCAGGGCACTCACAGGAGTCTGAGCTTCTTGAGCTTGGCGAAAGACTGTGGCAATGCCTCCACGCCGTTGCTGTAACTCACAACCTTGTCCCCCTCACAGCACCGCATTGAACCGTATTGAACCGCATTGCACCCCAGGGCACTCACAGGAGTTTGAGCTTCTTGAGCTTGGCGAAAGACTGCGGCAGTGCCTCCACACCATTGTTGTAACTCACAACCTTGCCCCCCGCACAGCACTGCGCAGCACCGCATTAAACCACATCGGACCGTGTGGCACTCACAGGAGTTTGAGCTTTTTGAGCTTGGTGAACGACTGCGGCAGCACCTTCACACCATTGTTGTAACTCAACTCACTGTGACCGTGCCGTGCAGTGAGGGGAGCGGAGAGGAGAGGAGAGGAGAGGAGAGGAGAGGAGAGGAGAGGAGAGGAGCGGAGGGGAGAGGAGAGGAGTGGAGAGGAGTTGAGGAACGGACAATCAGGGGAGGAGCGGAGAAGAAGGAAAGGCGTTTAACAAAAGGAAGGGATGGACGAGAGGCTTGGATACGGCAAGAAACAATCCAAGGCATCTAGATCGGAGAAATGCGAGAAAGAGTGAGAAGGTGACAGATATGGTGACAGACAGTGACAGAAAGCTACAGATGGCGAGAGAAAGCGAGCTGGTCGGCCGAACCAAGCGGTGATGCAAGGAAGGCTAAAGGCAGAGGAGTGGAGAGTAGGAGGTGCGAAGCCCGATGGGAGGGAGTGAGGTGTGAGGTGTGAGGAGCAAGGAGCAAAGATGGCTCACAGGCTATGCAGCTGGTCGGCGTTTCGATGGGGCCGGCTAGGAGAGAGAGTGAAAAGGTGGATGGGAAAGGAAAGGGCGAGGGTGGATGGCAGGCGGCTCAGCTGGAGGGGCTCGGGTGGAGGGGCTCACAGGCTGTGGAGGGGCTCACAGGCTGTGGAGGGGCTCACAGGCTGTGGAGGCGCTCACATGCTGTGGAGGGGCTCACAGGCTGTGGAGGGGCTCACAGGCTGTGGAGGGGCTCACAGGCTGTGGAGGGGCTCACAGGCTGTGGAGGGGCTCACAGGCTGTGGAGGGGCTCACAGGCTGTGGAGGGGCTCACAGGCTGTGGAGGGGCTCACAGGCTGTGGAGGGGCTCACAGGCTGTGGAGGGGCTCACAGGCTGTGGAGGGGCTCACAGGCTGTGGAGGGGCTCACAGGCTGTGGAGGGGCTCACAGGCTGTGGAGGGGCTCACATGCTGTGGAGGGGCTCACAGGCTGTGGAGGGGCTCACAGGCTGTGGAGGGGCTCACAGGCTGTGGAGGGGCTCACAGGCTGTGGAGGGGCTCACAGGCTGTGGAGGGGCTCACAGGCTGTGGAGGGGCTCACAGGCTGTGGAGGGGCTCACAGGCTGTGGAGGGGCTCACAGGCTGTGGAGGGGCTCACAGGCTGTGGAGGGGCTCACAGGCTGTGGAGGGGCTCACAGGCTGTGGAGGGGCTCACAGGCTGTGGAGGGGCTCACAGGCTGTGGAGGGGCTCACAGGCTGTGGAGGGGCTCACAGGCTGTGGAGGGGCTCACAGGCTGTGGAGGGGCTCACAGGCTGTGGAGGGGCTCACAGGCTGTGGAGGGGCTCACAGGCTGTGGAGGGGCTCACAGGCTGTGGAGGGGCTCACAGGCTGTGGAGGGGCTCACAGGCTGTGGAGGGGCTCACAGGCTGTGGAGGGGCTCACAGGCTGTGGAGGGGCTCACAGGCTGTGGAGGGGCTCACAGGCTGTGGAGGGGCTCACATGCTGTGGAGGGGCTCACAGGCTGTGGAGGGGCTCACAGGCTGTGGAGGGGCTCACAGGCTGTAGAGGGGCTCACAGGCTGAGGAGGGGCTCACGGGCTGTGGAGGGGCTCACAGGCTGTGGAGGGGCTCACAGGCTGTGGAGGGGCTCACAGGCTGTGGAGGGGCTCACAGGCTGTGGAGGGGCTCACAGGCTGTGGAGGGGCTCACAGGCTGTGGAGGGGCTCACAGGCTGTGGAGGGGCTCACAGGCTGTGGAGGGGCTCACAGGCTGTGGAGGGGCTCACAGGCTGTGGAGGGGCTCACAGGCTGTGGAGGGGCTCACAGGCTGTGGAGGGGCTCACAGGCTGTGGAGGGGCTCACAGGCTGTGGAGGGGCTCACAGGCTGTGCAGCTGATCGAGCGTGGAGAGCGCGTCGATGGGTCCTACTAGGCGGCTTGACGGGACGTAACTGAACGTTGGAGGTAAGTTGAAGCATGGACGGACGGAGCAGGGAACACAATACGCACGCAAGGGGAAGCAGCAGGGAACGGATGAGTTGTTCTGAGATTAAAATTCTGAGACTTTTGAGGTGCCACGTCACACACAGGGCGACGATCCTGCCCTCGACATCGCACGTCACTCCGTAGTACTTGGAGCACTTGGCGGGCGGGCCGCTCGCCGTCCACGACTTGAACCCGTCGAACTCGCTGCCCGACTGCGCGCCGAGCTGACGGAGAACGTCCACTGACGGACGGAGGGGGGCGGAGGGTGACGGAGAGGGACGGAGGGGGACGGGAGAATTGAGGAGAACGCTGGAAAGGTGGAAAACGACGCTTTAAGCACGTTCCTGGTGGAATTCATCCCAGCCAATGGCGGACCGACACGTACGCTGAGATTTGAGGATCGTCGCATCGGGCGACGCGGCCACGCGGATTGCGTCGCTGGAAGGGAGGAGGGCCGCGGCGATGATCGCGACAACGACGACGATGAGCGACACTGGCGCCAGCCTACGCAGGCGGGCGAGCGACGCGATTAAAGCCATCGAGAACTGCTTATACGGCGACGACGAGGAGCAATCGAGGGCGCGGCGCTTTTGAGTCGACTCAGAACCTGAGAGCGCGGCGACTACTGAACCGAGGGTAGGGAAAAACTCAAGGGTATGGCGACGATTAAACCGCGGGTATGGGAGATGTGGGCGGTGGTGAGGTGACGAGCAGGGCACAATGGCTGGAGGGTTTGCGTTCGTGCATGTATAGTGCGTGGACCCTTGGGCAACAGCGGCAGAGGCTTTGAGATGTAGGAGGTAGTGCAGGGATGCAGGGAGAACGGCGCGGCGCGAAAAAGGCGAAGCGAGCGCGAGAGAGAGAGAGAGAGCCGCAGTGGGGCCAGCAGTGCGAAGGACGGGGGGCAATCCCGCGCCTCCGCATCTTCGCGGCCGGCTGGGGAAGGTGGAGGAGCTGGAGTCGCGCTGCGGGCTTGTGATTAGGCCGACGCAGTGGGTGGTTGCTGGAGGCCCTCCATCGACGGAGGCTGTGGAAAGGTGGTGTTCCATCGACGGTGAACGATGGCGCATTGCGGTTAGAGGGTGCGTGAGTCGCAGCCGTCAGATCGGAAATTAGCTCGGCGGGGATGCTGGCGCGGCAACGATTGTTGCGGTTGAAGTGCAGAATAATCTCGACAGAGCGGCAGGCCCGAAACTCGGCTCCGGGGTTGTTCGCGATATAAAAACGTTGGGTTCTCGTTACAACTACTCTTTTCCTAGTTTTGACTCACTCATCACTGTAACCTGACGAACATTTGTAACAGATGCGTTATATTTTCTCGAAATGCTCTCGTTCCGTACAGCCGCGATTATTGGATCAGTCAAGGCACCAATAATTCTCCTGCACGGTCGCGCCGTCGCCGGCGGTCAACAGCTTTCCAAACCGACGGCGGAGGCTCGGGAAGGCTCATCTCGCCTCACGGATTCCCCATCTGTTCACCGTCGATGGGAAGCGACATGCGGTTCGATAATCTTGGGACGTGACACGCGCTTCGAGCAGGAGGCATTGCAATGCACTTCGATGCAGCCAAACCAGGCATCAGCTCCCGCCGTCGCTTGCGCTGCTGCCCCCACAGGTCCGCCCTCTCCCTCCATTTTGCCTCCCCTCGCAACTGTTCCTGCCAAAGCAACAGCCCTACAATTGATGCTCACCCCATGCACGCGAATTTGCCTTGCGCCGGATGGGTATAAATACCCACCAGAATGTCTAGGCCTTCGTACTATCACCCGCTAAGTTGCGACTCCCTAGTCCCGACCCGAACGTCCCTTACACCCTTTCTCTGGCTGAACACCGCAGTGATTTACCTTGCCATACCCTCACTTCAGTTTAGTATTCGCCTTATTTCCGGCTAACCTTCGACAAACTTGTATTAATCAGCTCGCGCGATTTCTGCTCCTGATGGCTTCTATCGCGTCGCTCAGGCGTCTGCCTCGGCTGGCGACAGTGCCGCTCGTCGTCACCGTCGTCGCAATCGCCGCCGCGGCGTTCCTTCCCACCGGCGACGCAATCCGCATGGCCGCGTCGTCCGATCCGATCATCCTCAAGTCGCAGCGTGCGTGTCGGCCCGCCATTGGCTGGAATCCCCTGTCTTGCCCAGTACTTTAAGCAATGTTATTCACCCTTCTTATCGTTCCCGACGTCTCTCCCTTCCCCTTCCGTCATCCCTTCCGTCCACCTCCGTCCGTCAGTGGACGTTCTCCGTCAGCTCGGCGCGCAGTCGGGCAAGGACTTCGTGTTCAAGTCGTGGACGGCGAGCGGCGCGCCCCTCAAGTGCTCCAAGTACCAAGGAGTGACGTGCGACGCCGAGGGAAAGATCGTCACACTGTGAGTCCTAGCTGAGACGATTTTTTGAGTCGCCTGAAATTTTTTATATTGCGGAGTGCGTGCGACGTGCGATCGCTGCGGACTCACGACCGAAGGCCTACTGAGCCGCTTGTTGAAAATTGTCAGAAAAATACTACCTCGCAACCTCAAATTTCAATCCAATGTCACACTCTCCGCTCAATCACCAAAGGCTGCTGCCTGCATGCGGCATTTGATATCTCATCTTCTGCCCCTGCCGTTTCTTCCTGCCTCCTCCTCCCCGCCCTGTGTCTCCGCATTCCCCGCCCTGTGTCTCCGCATACCCCGCCCTCTGCCTCCGTATTCCCCGCCCTTTGCTTCCGCATTTCCTGCTCCGCACCTCCGCGCGCAGCAACGCCACGTCGGCCAATCTCGTGGGACCCATCGACGCGCTCTCCGCGCTCGACCAGCTGCAACGCCTGTGAGCCGCGCCCCCTCCCACCCTCGCTCTCTCCACCTTCGCGCCTTCCAACCTTCAGGCTGAAGTCCTTCGTTTCTTTCGTCTAACCACTTCGTTTTCGCACAATAATCTTCTTTGTCGCTTCGAGATTCCTTTGCCTTTCCCCTCTCTCCCCGCTCTCTCTTCCCTCCCTTCCCTTCTCGCCACTCCTTGCCACTCTGCCTCGCCGCTCCTCACCGCTCCTCGCCGCCCGTCTTTCCCTCGCCCCAACGCGTGGCACGGCAGCGATCTGAGTTCCAACGGCGATGTTGAGGCGCTGCCGCAGTCGTTCACCAAGCTCAAGAAGCTCATCCACCTGTGAGAGCCCCACGGTGCAATGCGGTGCTGTGCGAGGAAGTCGGCAGCAATTTGAGCCTTACAGCGACCTCAGTTTCCCCTCTCTGTTTTTTCTCCCTTGGTTCTGGCCCAACCGTCCATTTTTCCTCTCCTCGCCTGTGCTCCTGCTTCCTCCCCCCTCTTAACCCCCCTGAGACCAGCGATGTGTACAACTGTTGGATCAAGGGCCGCATTCCGGCCTTCCTCGGCCAGCTCACTGCCCTCACATACCTGTCAGTCAACGAGCCGTGCCATGCCATGCCATGCCGTGCCATGCCATGCCATGCCTGCGAAGAAACGCCATTCCACGCCACTCAATGCGTCTGTCTCCATCATGACAAGCCGAGCTACACCCACCAGTCTATGGCTTAAAGCATGCGCCTTCCGTCATCCTCCCCCCTTCCCCCCCTCTTTGTTCCTCGCTGTTTACAGGAGCATTGGTGGTAACCCGCTAGACGGTGCCGTGCCTGCCAGCTTCGGCAACCTGGTCAACCTCGTCTCCCTGTAAGCACCCTCGCTCGTTATAAGCATATTCGTCTTGACCAGGAATGTCCACGTCCTCTCAACTCACCTTATAATACGGATTCGCCCCCATTACCAGCCCCATTTCCCTTCCTGCCAAATTGCTCAAAACTAATTCATCTACCACCATATTTCCTTGCACGCGACTTTTGAGACGTCTCAAAAGTCACCTCTCAGAACTAATTCATCTACCACCATTTCCTTGCATGCGGCCTGTGCAGCAACATCGCTGGGACAGGGGAGGACGGCGTGGGAGGGGCCTTGCCCTCTAGCTTTGCCAACCTGAAGAAACTCAAAGAGCTGTGCGTGCCTAGCGAGCGATGGGGGAGGCGGGGCAGAGGGGCTGGGAAAGAGTACGGGGTAGTGGCAAATTGAGGAAGCTCAAAGAGCTGTGCGTGCCTAGCGGGAGATGGAGGGATGAGATTAAGAGGACGGAGATGGAGTGCCCAACCGAAGTAGCTCAAACAGCTGTCGGTGCTTAGTGGGGTATGGGATGGTGGAGGGCACGTCTTTGTAAACACTCTTTACTCAGCAAGTCCCCATCCCATTGCATCCTATCCCATCTCATCCCATCCCATCCCATCCCATCCTCGCCCTTACACTTCTCCCTTCCCGTGTGCATCCTCACTCTAACCTCTCGTCTTCCCTCCTCCCCTGCCCCCTCCCTTCCCCTCCTCCTCTCAGCTATCTGCGCAACAACCGCTTCAGCGGGCCGCTACCGGACTTCCTTGGCTCTTTCACCAACCTGGAGCGCCTGTGAGTGCAGTGAAAGTTCAGTGAGAGTTCAATGAGAGTCCAGAGAAGGTTCAGTGAGAGAGCTGGGAGGGTTGAGTGAGTTGAGTGAGAGCTCCGTGAGGGTTCAGAGAGAACATCTGAGAGTGAGTAGCGTCACAGATGCTTGCCAATCTCGCTGCATAGAGTATTGAGAGAAGTGGCTTTCATTGCAGTGGGAGGGAGGAGTGGCTGTGATTGCCCAATTTTGAGACCTTGCCAACCTCTTTGCGATGAGTATGTGTGGTGCTTGCCAAGGTTACTCTCTCTTATGCAGCACACTCTCACACACACACACACGCGCGCGCACAATCGCGTGCACACACACACACACACACACACACTCTCTCACTACCATATCTCCTCTCTGCCCTCCCCACAGCATGGTGAGCAAGAACTACTGGGAGGGCGCCATTCCCAAGAGCCTGTCGCAACTCAAGAAGCTCAAGTTCCTGTAAGCTGATTATCCCTGAACTGATTACTTCTGAGCTGGTTATCTAATAGTAAGACGTTTTAAAGCGAGAAGCTCAAGTTCCTGTGAGCTAACTCACCAAATGCCCAGACGTTTAGAAGCAAGAACACCATCATGCTCGTTCCCAGATTGCACCCACTTCCGTCTCAACCGTTCAGAACTTCACAGCCTTTTTCACATCCCCTTTCATGTCCCATCTCTCTCTTCTCCCATTTCTCCCCTTTCTCCCCTTTCTCCCCTTTCTCCCACTGTCTCCTCGTCTCTCCTCCCTTCTCATCCTCTCTCCCCCTCTCCCCATTCTCCCCCTCTCCCCCTCCCTCTTCCCTCTGATGGAGACACCTCCTGGAGGGCGAGATTCCAACGTTCCTGGGCACGCCCTGTGTCTTGACTCTCGTCTCGCATTCTCTTCTTTCCCTTCCCCTCTCTCCCCTTCTTCTCTCGCCTTCACCCTATGCTGCCATGCCAGTGGGCTGATGGAGACCGCACTGGAGGGCGAGGTTCCAACGTTCCTGGGCACACTTGGCGAGCTCACATACCTGTAAGTTCACATACCTGTAAGTTCACATACCTGTAAGTTCACATACCTGTAAGTTCACATACCTGTAAGTTCACATACCTGTAAGTTCACATACCTGTAAGTTCACATACCTGTAAGTTCACATACCTGTAAGTTCACATACCTGTAAGTTCACATACCTGTAAGTTCACATACCTGTAAGTTCACATACCTGTAAGTTCACATACCTGTAAGTTCACATACCTGTAAGTTCACATACCTGTAAGTTCACATACCTGTAAGTTCACATACCTGTAAGTTCACATACCTGTAAGTTCACATACCTGTAAGTTCACATACCTGTAAGTTCACATACCTGTAAGTTCACATACCTGTAAGTTCACATACCTGTAAGTTCACATACCTGTAAGTTCACATACCTGTAAGTTCACATACCTGTAAGTTCACATACCTGTAAGTTCACATACCTGTAAGTTCACATACCTGTAAGTTCACATACCTGTAAGTTCACATACCTGTAAGTTCACATACCTGTAAGTTCACATACCTGTAAGTTCACATACCTGTAAGTTCACATACCTGTAAGTTCACATACCTGTAAGTTCACATACCTGTAAGTTCACATACCTGTAAGTTCACATACCTGTAAGTTCACATACCTGTAAGTTCACATACCTGTAAAAGGCCCTCTTCTCGCGCCCCTCTCGCCCCTCTCCAATCTCCACACCGTTCTCTCACCCCAATCTTCCCACGCCCCTTGTATTCTCTTTCCCCTCCTTCCCCCACCCCCAGCTCCCTGTCAGGCCCGCATCAACCCTCTCACCTCCCCCTTCCCCAAGTTCCCTGTCCAGCACGCGCCTGCTCGGGGAGGTGCCCACTTGCTCACCTCCTCCTCACACTCCCCTCCTTTCTCCTCCCTCTCCTTCCCTTCCCCCCCCTCCCCTCTCTCCCCCCAGCTCCCTGTCCAGCACGCGCCTGTACGGGGAGGTGCCTAAGGCGCTCAACAGGCTGGCAAAGCTCAAAGAGCTGTGAGGCTGGGGAGGAAAAGGAGGGAGGGCAGGGGGAAGAGGGGGGGGGTGCAGACGAAGGCAGGGGAGGGGGGAAGGCAGGGGGAGCGGGGGGGGGAGTGCAGACGAAGGCAGGGGAGGGGGCAGGGAAATTCAGGGGGAGGGGAGGCAGAAGGGGCAGTGGGAAGGGAGAGCTTGAGCTGTGACTATCACACTCCACTCTTGTCCGCAATCTCCCTATTTGCGATATTGATCCCATTTCTCACTGCACCTTCACCCACCTATTCGTTATCTCCACCGCACCCAACCGCACTCAACCACTCCCATACCACCCAACCCATCACTTCAGGTACCTGGATAACGGATGGTACTACGGCCCCCTGCCTGACCTGAGCGGCCTCAAGCAACTCACCCTCATGTACGTCCTCTCTTTCACCCACCTGCTCGCCTGCCTACCGACTTATTCCTTCCCTCCCTGCTCTCTCGTTCCCTATCGCCTCTCTGCATCCCGCCTCTCTGCATCCCGCCTCTCTGCATCCCGCCTCTCTGCATCCCGCCTCTGTGCATCCCGCCTCTCTGCATCCCACCTCTCTGCATCCCGCCTCTCTGCATCCCGCCTCTCTGCATCCCACCTCTCTGCATCCCGCCTCTCTGCATCCCGCCTCTCTGCATCCCGCCTCTCTGCATCCCGCCTCTGTGCATCCCGCCTCTCTGCATCCCGCCTCTCTGCATCCCGCCTCTGTGCATCCCGCCTCTCTGCATCCCGCCTCTCTGCATCCCGCCTCTGTGCATCCCATCTCTCTGCCTTCTCTCATCTTCCTCCACACCCTTTGCTTTCCAACACTCCTCACTCTCCGACCTCCACTCCCCACCCCTTCCAGTGACCTCTCCAGCAACTACCTCTCAGGCCCCCTCCCGGCCTTCCTGCAGCGGGTCAACAAAGTCAACGCAGCAGACAACTACTTCTCCGGCTCAGCCGCCTCCCTGCCCTGCTCTGACTCCTTCTCCATCACCGGCAACTGCCTCTCCTCCGTGCCCGCCAAGTGCGGGGGCACCGCCGGCCAGAAGAGCGCAGAGGAGTGCAACAAGTTCATCTCCTCACTCACCCTCTCCCCCCCCCCCCCCCCCCCCCCCCAATCCCCACTCCCCACTCACCATTCCCCCATTCCCCATTCCCACAGCGACCTGTCCAGCAACTACCTCTCAGGCCCCCTCCCGGCCTTCCTGCAGCGGGTCAAGCAAGTCAACGCAGCAGACAACTACTTCTCCGGCTCAGCCGCCTCCCTGCCCTGCTCCGACTCCTTCTCCGTCACCGGCAACTGCCTCTCCTCCGTCCCCGCCAAGTGCGGGGGCACCGCCGGCCAGAAGAGCGCAGCCGAGTGCAACAAGTTCTGTGGGACGGCCACGGCCACAGGGGCGTGCAGCGGCAAGGGCGTGTGTGTGCTGGATGTTGACCAGCTGCTGAAGACACAGGCGTATGTGCCCATGTGCAAGTGCCAGGCTGGGTACTGGGCCTCACACAAGAAGCTGAGATGCTCCAAGAACTCCTCTTGAATGCCTGAAATGCAGGTTGATTATAGTGCCCTCCTTTGGAGGGAGAAACGTGTTGCCTACAGCGTGGCATGCCATTTCTAGCTTAGGAATAAAGATGTGGCATGCCATGGCATTGTTGCTCCCCACTCTCTGCTAAAGCGTTCTTAGTTTCCCATTTACTAAACAAATGGCAAATTCTTAACTTTCCAAAGCTGTTCCATCTTCCTCCAGTGCATTGACTTGTCAAGAACCTCCTTATACCGCACAGAACCCTTCTGCAAAAACTGTGAAGTTGAGTTTGCTTGCAGCATTGTGCACACTTGAACTTTGCCACGGAACGGAACTTCCATGAGAAAAACTGCTGCATTATCACTATTCTAAGCACCTCTGCCTCTACAGACTAGGTAATCACAGGGTGTGCATGTCATGTACGAATCAATCAACCAACTATCATTCCATAAGGCTTCTGCAGAGCCTAGAAACATGTGGGCTCCAACCAAACCTGGTCACCAGTGTGTAACCCCTACCATCTTCATATCATCTACTGTGCTCCCTTGGTGCCGTACATGATGCATGCGCCCACCATCGCGCACGCAAAGAAGATCGCAAAGCCTGCGAGCATCCACTGCCACCACTCGAGCGACGCGTGGCAGGAGAAGCCGCACTCGCACTTCTGGAGATAGCCTGAAAGTGTGAATAGAGGTGAGCGGAGAGGGGTGTGGTTTAGGAACTTCTGAGGCGCCTCAAAACCCGCACTCGCACTTCTGGAGATAGCCTGAAAGAAATGGGATAAGGGGAGGTGAGGGAGGGGCCGGGGGGGGGGGGGGGGGGTGTTTTGTGTCGGGGTGAGGTGAGGGACTTTCGAGGTGGGTGAGGGCCTTCTGAGGCGCCTCAAAACCAGCACTCACACTTCTTGAGACTGCCTGGAAGAATGGGACAAGGGGAGGTGAGCAGGAAGGTGTAGGTGGGCAAGGGTCTTGCGCCTCAACACCCGCAGTCACACTTCTGGAGAATTTACTGGAGGGATGGGAGGGAAAGTGAGAGAAGAGGGGGGTGAGGGAGCTGAGAGGTGTTGACAGGAAATGCAGGGATTCTATAACAGTGTGCGACTGGGCACTGGCAATGGTGGGAGCACATAAACCGCGTTTATCCAAAGATAATCGGTTGCACTGCTTGTTTCGGCTTGTGTAAGCGTGCTTTCTATTAGTCAAGACGGCCTTTGGAGAACATAATGCAGTCGGGCAGTGTTCCGAAAAGGCGTTCCTGTGCCTCCGTCGAATCTACTTCTGAGTAGACGCAAGACTTACAACGGTATTCTAAAAAGCGTACGGTACCTCCGTTACAGGCGGGGCTGAAGAAGGGAACACGGCCGGGGGAAACAGTGCGGAGGCAATGCTGTGGGAAAATGTCCTCTTTAGTCTTCCGAGTCAACTCAAGAGTCACCTCGGTATCCTATACAGGCGTACCATCGTTAAAGACGGGGTTGAAGAAGGGAACACAGCCGGAAGGAACCTTGGAAATGCATGTCTGAGGAAGTTGAGGCACGGGGGGGAGGGGAAGGGGGAGAAAAGGGGGGGAGGGGAGGTGTGGGGGGGAAGAGGGGGACCCGACGACGCAACAACGGGATTTGGCGCAAACAAACGGGGGAGCGAACGTCGCCCGGCGGGAGTCAAGGGGGAAGTACTTCAGGAAAAAAACTCTTCGGGAAACATAAAAGGTCTCGAAACATCTATTTCGTGCCCCGAAAAGGATTTAGCCACAAAAGGCGATGCGAAGCAACGAAGCCAGGCGAAATCGTTCGATTTTGTCTCTCAAATTAAAGTAGCAAAGCCAGGCCCAATCGTCTGAAAGGAAAACGGAAAGGGTTATGAAACGATTCGACACAAGATTGTTGCTTTCATCTGAAAGCATCAAGAAGCACCACAAAAAATGCACTCGAAATCCAAACGCAGGCTACGTCGCCCTTCCAAAAATCGTACTACCATTATCAATAAAACACGATATTGCGACTTCGGGGCAGAGAGAGAGAGGCGGCGGCACATACCACGCATTGCCCTGTGCAGTTGAGGTAGATGCTGTTGTTGCGAGACGCAGTACAAAAGTCATTGCATGTTGAGTTGAAGCTCGACTGCGCCGACGCTAAGTGTAACAACGTGGCGAGAGCTAGAGCCAGCAGCAGCACGTTGGCCTTCATGGTCACTATACTGTAATAAAGAAAGCCTAGTTCTTTCTTGGCGCGGTTTAGTGGTGTAAGTAAACTAAAATGGACAGACCAGACCAAGAGATGTGAAGAATGTTCACCGAGAAGAGCTACAGCGGCAACCTAAAGAGCAGGGAGGGATGTTTGACAGGCAGATTGCTCGTCTCCAGGGCTCTCTTTTCATTCCGAATCAGGGTTCCCGTCGCTCGTCACCCGGCCAAGCCGAGTGGCGTGAGCCAAAATCAGGATGGGCAGGGTGTTTTTTTGCCACACCTGATATGTGGCAGGGTATTTTTTCCGAGGACCCTGTTTTGCCACAAGTGTTGTGACTGGCACAGCACGCTCTACAGCTGTCTCTGCGAGTCTCAGCACTTAACATTCTCAAAAACAAAGCTAGAGTGTCAAATCGGCCCACGCTCTACATCTGTCTCTGTTAGCTCAATACTTGGTTTTTTCACGACACACATGGTGTTCAGCCGAACGGCCGATGGGACTTCGCCTTTTTGGCTAAGGGGAAATATTCGTGAGATGAATCCCGTGAGATGCAAAGAGGCCGGGTGTTCCTCTCAGCAACTCTCAGCTGCAGGGTTAAAACCACGGCAAGCCTGCTCCAGCCGTATTAAAAAAGTAGGCACTCGGAAAGGGGCCGGGTGAGGTCCTGGGGGAACCCAGTTTTGGCAGGGTCGCACAAAAAAAACACCCTGCTTGGCAGGGCAAACAGGGTAAAACAGCCTGCAAAGGAGAGCCCTGCTCGTCTCGTCTCGCTTCTAGCCAAAAAAGGCAACCACGCCATGTGCACAGGCGAGAGGTGTGGTTTCGCAACCATGGCTCGTGTTTTGGTGTGGTGGCTCACTGACGTGACGCTCGGCGGGAACGTGCCTGCGCCAGGTTTCGGTCTGTCAGAGGCGCATTCGGGGCAAAGCGGTAGGTTTGGGTGAAACTTCTCGATTTTTGGATGAGCCGCGACTCGATTACCGAACAAGCTCGGCTTGGGCAAGCCGAATGCGGCAAAGAAAGAGCCCATTTTTACGAAGCGCTGTCGTCTTCTACACACCGAACGTGGCTCGTGCCACGGCACCAACCACGAAGCGAAGTGCCCTATTTGAGGAAGGGGCACCACCCGCTTGTAGTGATCTCCATTTCTGTTACGAGTTGAGAAATAAAGATTGCATGCGTATAGAAACTTTGTTAGAAATTCAGATCATATTAATGAGGGTGTCTAGGGTCCTCAGCCAAGAGGGGACCTTAAATATCGATGTTTGACACAACTTCTGCAAGCAATTTCTAAAGAAGAGGCTGAGTAGCCTCAAAGCCGAGCCGAAGATTCAGAAAGCTGGGATTGTTCGCACATAGCCTAAACCTAAACCTGTGCGGAGAATACAGAATAATGAATAAAGACTGAAAGCAAGGACATAAAAACGAGGTCCCCGACATTATACCATAGCTGGTCAGTTCTCGATAAAGTTGAAACCATTAAAAAAAGCACTCTACGAAACCGCAGTGCACCGTTCTTCTCACATCAACACAGGTTCGCAATACAGAGGAGCGAGGCAAACGCTGCGTAACGCATACAGCCGTTCCAAATGGATCGTGAACCGCCTTCCATCCGTCTGATTCTTTTCGAAGATTGGTTCAATCAAATCCATTGTCCCCATTTCACCCGGAAACACCGCGCCCACGGCTGCGCTCCGCTAGGAGAAATTAGGGTTCAAGGCTTCGTCAATCCCTACTTACGATTTACCCATTTCCTAGTTTGTTAGGTGGGCGCGATAAACTAGGCTATGAAATAGGTCTTCGTATCGTAGGCCGTCGTAGGGCCAGCCTTCCCTTTCCTGTGTCTTTGCGCGCGGGGTGCAGGATGAACGCGTTTAACGACGCCATTCTTTTTGAGAAGCTATCTAAGCTAAATGCATCGCAGCAGAGTATTGAGAGTAAGAACCTGCCTCACTGCTCTTTAAGCCTCACTGGTCGGTCTGCCTGACTGATCCATCCCCGCACAATCAGCAGTCCAGCGTCACCCGTCTAGCCGTAACACGACTTTTTTTTTTTAGTCAACCTTGTCGCCACCAGTCATTTCCATTCGACACATCAATTCGTTTTTTCCTAAATCGAAGTTAGGGGAGTCGGTTGAGCTGGTCCAAGAGGTTACCGTTAACGTGACCGTTACCGTTGATATCTGACCGGTACATCCGTCTCTCGCTCGCTCCCTTTCTTTCTTTCTCTCCCTCTCCCCCTCATCTCCGTCCGCTCAGCGCTCTCCCATTGGTGCATTTTCCACCGGAAGCGCGCCGATCAGGTGGTGCAGACATGGCAGAAGCACTTCGCGAGCGCGTCGCAGGATCGCAAGTTACCACTGCTGTACCTCGCGAACGACATTCTGCAGAACAGCCGCAAGAAGGGCCCCGAGTTCATCCAGGAGTTCTGGCAGGTGCTGCCCTCCGCGCTGCAGGACCTCGTGCGCGTCGGCCCTGACAGCACGCGCAAGTCCACCCTCCGCATCGTACGTTGCACTTAGAAATGAGTGGTACTAAACGGGGAGTGTTGCGATCTGTAGCGGTAGCGGGAATGCCTTCAGCGGTTAGTTCTGGCAGGTGCTGCCCTCCGCGCTGCAGGACCTCGTTCGCGTCGGCCCCGACAGCACGCGCAAGTCCACCCTCCACATCGTACGTTTCAGTTCGAGACGAGTGGGGAATGTTTTCGGCAGATTGGGATCAGTTGCAGGAGCGGGAATGACTCTGGCGGTTGGTTCTGGCGGGTGCTGCCCTCCGCGTTCCACGATCTCGTGCGCGTCGGCTTCGAAAGCACGCGCAAGTCAACTCCCCCCCACCTCCCACACCCAACTCCCCGCCGCCCTGTCTGTGGCCCCTCAGGTGGACATATGGGAGGAGCGCAAGGTGTTTGGGCAGCGCGACGAGCCGCTGAGGAAGCTGCTGCTGATTTCTGCTCTTCTCCCCGCCTCCCCCCCACCAACCTCCCCACTCCCGCCCTCCCCCGCCTCGCTGTCTGTGGCCCCGCAGGTGGACATATGGGAGGAGCGCAAGGTGTTTGGGCAGCGCGACGAGCCGCTGAGGAAGCTGCTGCTGGGGGATCTCGCCACCGCGCCGCCCGCCACGTCAGCAGCGCAGGCGGACGAACAGCCAACCGCTGCTTCCACGGCCAAGGTGAGGCGCGAATGGTGTGCAAGGAGGTGCAGCGCGGTGCGCGGTGTTGGGGTGCAGTGGGTGGGAGTGGGATGCAGTGCGGCAGAGTCGTTTCAAAGTGCCCAGAAAATAATTTCTGAGGTGGGCGGCGCGGCTGTTCCAGAGGATTTTTTTGGGGCGCCTCAGAATTGTTTTTTATGGCGGTGATGAGGAGAGTGGGCAGCGCGTGCGATGGAGATAGAGAGCGAGAGAGGGAGAGAGGGAAGGAGAGAGGGGAGGAGTGAGGGAAAGAGGGAGACAGAGAGGAGAGAGGGGAGGAGTAAGGGAAAGAGGGAGGGAGAGAGGGATGCAGAGAGCAAGAGAGAGGAGGGAGAGAGGGATGCAGAGAGAGAGAGAGAGGAGGGAGAGAGGGAGATAGAGAGGGAGAGGGGGAGGGAGAGAGGGAATTAGAGAGGGGGAGGGGGAGATAGAGAGGGAGAGAGGGTGGGAGAGAGGGGAAATAGAGGGGACGAGGGGTAGAGAAGGTAAGAGAGGGAGGTAGAAAGAGGGAGGGAGGGAGAGAGAAGGAGCGAGGTGTACAGAGCAGGACAGAGACAACAACGAGCATACATCTCATTATCGCTCTTCTCCCCACCACTCATTTCTCTCCACCAACACCCTTCCCCAACCCAGATGCGGGATCCGATGGAACACGATCCATATCTTCTCCACCAACACCCTTTGAGCGCAGCGCAGCACGCGGACCGACCGACGACATGGAGCGCACGATAAAAGTAGATTTTTGAGATAAAAGTCGAGTTTTGAGAGTACAGTGCATGCAGTAGAGTTTTAGAGCGTCTCAAAGTAGTGCTGCGCAGTGCATGACGCGAGCAACGATGAGGACAAATGCGGACCAGCACATGTGTCGTCGCACCCTCGTTCACTCACTCCCTCTTCCCCTCTCCCCCCACCACCCAACCACCCGCCCCAAGCCTTCCCCTCCCCTCTACCAGGTGCGAGGGCCACTGGAGCGCATATCATCGGTGTATAGGGCAGACATGAGCAGGGACGATGACACATGCAAACAAGCCCGTATGTGTTCACTCGCTTCCCTATACATTCCCCACCCCAATCACAGGTGCGGGGCCCGCTAGAGCGCATATCATCGGTGTACGGGGCGGTGCAGGACGCGAGAAAGGACGAGGACACACCCTCTTTGTCACTGTCCGTCTGACCATTCTTTCTCTTTCCCCCTGTCTACCAGGTGCGAGGCCCGCTAGAGCGCATATCATCGGTGTACGGCGCGGTGCAGGATGCGAGCAAGGACGAGGACAGATGCAAACTAGCACATATGCGTGCGCACACTCGCCCTTTCCTCCTCCCCCCCACCATCACAGGTGCGAGGGCCGCTGGAGCGCATATCGTCAGTGTACGGAGCAGTGCAGGATGCGAGCAAGGACGAGGACACGGCAGTGCGGCGGTGCAGTGCAATAATCAACGAGTTGCAGACCATTGAGAAGGAACTAAACGCGCTCAAGTCGCCTGCTAATGCCTCGGGTGAGGGCTGTGTGCTGTGGTCACGTGCATGTGAGTGTGGGTGTGGCGCTACAGTGCCATCATCAACGAGCTACAGACGATTGAGAAAGAGCTCACTGCTCTCAAATCCCCTGCTGATGCATTGGGTAAGTGAGTGGATGCAGTGCGGTGTGGTTCGGCGCTGGGCTGTGCTGTGCTATCTGTGCTGTGTGGCGGTGCAGTGCGATAATCAACGAGCTGCAGACCATTGAGAAAGAGCTCAACGCGCTCAAGTCGCCTGCTAATGCGTCTGGTGAGTGCGTCTGTGGTGCTGGTGTGTGCTGCGGTGACATTCATGCATGGGAGTGTGGATATGGCATGGCAGCGGTGCAGTGCAGTGCCATCATCAACGAGCTGCAAACCATTGAGAAGGAGCTTAACGTGCTCAAGTCGCCCGCTAACGCTTCAGGTGAGTGCCTGCCTGTGTGCATGTTGCTGTGTGCTGCGGTGACATGCATGCATGTGAGTGTGGATACGGCATGGCGACGGTGCAGTGCGATAATCAACGAGCTGCAGACCATTGAGAAAGAACTCAACGCGCTCAAGTCGCCTGCTAACGCTTCAGGTGAATGCATATGGCATGTGCTGGTGGGATTTGCATGCATGTGAGTGTGGGTGGGTGTTGGTATGGCTACAGCAGCAGTGCTGCGACCAGCTGGCTGCTTCCTTGTCCCTGTCATCCCTTCCCCACCATTCTTAACTTCTTCTCACCACCAGTGGCAGATGAGCGGGCAGTGGCGTTAGACAGGCTGGACACGAAACGTCACGTGCTGCAGCAATGCTGTGCTGGCTGCTTCCGTCTCCCAGTTGTTTCATTTCTCTCCCATCACTTCCCCCCTTTCCTTGCACCCACCGGAAGCGGACAAGCGGGCGGTGGTGTTAGACAGGCTGGACACGAAGCGACACGTGCTGTGCTGCAGCTGTGTTGTGACCAGATGGCGGCGCGTGAGGAGCAGAGCCACACCGTGCACAGTCGCTGCCTTTCTCCTCTCAGTATTTCTCCACTCCACCCCGTGCCTGTTCCCCTCTCACCACCAGAGGCGGATGAACGTGCGGTGGTGTTGGACAGGCTGGACACAAAGAGGCACGTGCTGCAGCAGTGCTGCGACCAGATGGCGGCGTGTGAGAGGAAGCGAGCGCTGCTGGTGAAGCTGCTCACAGACGCGCTCAGGACACAGGAGAGCAAGCTGGAGCGCCTGAGGTCGCAGGTGGAGGTGAGACGCGTGGTGCCTGCTTTCTCCACTCCCCCCTCCCCTCTTCCCATCCCTCTCTTGTCTCTGTCGGGGTGACTGGAAGGGAGAGCAGAACACTGAAAGCTGGACACTGAGAGCAAGAGAGTGAAGCAACAGAGCGAGCGCTGCTGGTGAAGCTGCTCACAGACGCGCTCAGGACGCAGGAGAGCAAGCTGGAGCGCCTGAGGTCGCAGGTGGAGGTGAGATACCCCGACCCCCACTTCAGTGAGATAGAAAGACAGAGCAATGAGTGCCCCGCCGTGCCGCCTACGGCGTGTGAGAGGAAGAGAGCGCTGCTGGTGAGATACGTGGAGCCTGCTTTGCCACCCCCCCCACTTTCCCCACTTCTTCCCGATTCTATGCGTACATTTCTTTGCCGGGTGAGAGGTGGACGGGGATCCCGTTTTATGGTACTGACGCAGCTGTAAGGCTGCAACTGACGGAGGCAGAGCAGCAGCAACCATCGGAAGCAGCAGTTTAGGGCACGTACCATAGCCTGGAACCGGCTGTCTAAACCTTGTTGTTGCCCGATTTACTCCCTGCATCACTGTCACTGACCCATCGTTGCACTGCTCCCCATCCTACGGAGGAAGACGCTGCTCGCCTTGCTCTCGTGTCCATGCCTCAGTGCCTCCATGCAGGCCTTGCACCTCAAGAGTTACTACACCAATTTGTCCGTGACTCCATGGAGGCACTTCACTCCGTGCCATGCACATTAATTTGTTTTAGATCAAAAGAGCAAGGAGTTGCTACTCCAATTCGTCCATGCCTACGTGTGTGCATCGTACGCCCCATTCATCCCGCCATGCTCTTCACAGATTGCTCGCACACAGTCAGAGATTGCAGTCAATCTGCGCAAGCGAGCCACGGAGGAGGACGCCACTGCTGATATAACTCTTGTGCATCCCTTCCCGTTGGTTGCCCTCCTTGCATCTGCCCTTCCCTCCCCTGCTCTCTGCAGATCTCACGCACGCAGTCGGAGATTGCAGCCAACCTGCACAAGCGAGCCACGGAGGAGGACGCTGCTGCTGGTCTCACTCCTTGTCGTGCCCCTTTGTGTCCCTGCCACTCGTCTGCAGATCTCACGCACGCAGTCGGAGATTGCAGCCAACCTGCACAAGCGAGCCACGGAGGAGGAGGATGCTGCTTATGCTACTCTCTTGTGCCCCTCCTCACTGCACCCTGTTTCCTGCTCATCCCGCCCCCCCACTCCTGACAGATCGCGCGCACGCAGTCGGAGATAGCAGCCAATCTGCGCAAGTGAGCCACGGAGGGAGACGCTGCTGCCACGTTTCTTTCCCCTACTCATTGTGCCCCCGCTCATGTGTGCCGTGGCCCGCCCATGCGTTCATCCCGCTCCCACCTGTGCTCGGCAGATCGCACGCACGCAGTCGGAGATCGCAGCCAACCTGCGCAAGCGAGCCACGGAGGAGAGGAGGACGCTGCTGATCCTACTCTTATGCACCCCTCCTCGTCCGTGCCCCTCCCTGTCCCTGCCACCCCTGTGCAGATCGCACGCACGCAGTCGGAGATCGCAGCCAATCTGCGCAAGCGAGCCACGGAGGAGGACGCTGCTCGCGCCTCGGCTGGCCTCACTGCTGCAGCCAACCCCTCCGCTGCTGCGCCTGCGCCTGCCGCTGCGGCTGCTGCCCCTGCCACCACTGCTGCTGCACCATCCGCCCCAGCATTCTTCCCAGCCCCTGCAGCAGCAGCGGCCCCTGCTGCTGCTGCTGCGGCTGCTGCTGCGGCACCAGCCTTTGTTCTCCCCGGATTCCAGCCTCCCCCAGGCACGCCTCCTGAGATGGTTGCTGCTGCCGCTGCTGCTGCTGCCGCCGCTGCTGCTGCTGTGAACAGCTCACAAGCCTCTAACCCTGCTGCTGCCGCCGCTGCCGCTGCTGCTGCCGCTGCTGCTGCTGCTGCTGCCGGCAATCCAGGTTTGCCGGCTGGTCTTGCTGCGGCGACAGGCGCGGGTGCCGGAGCTGGTGGGGTTTCCGATGCTGAGCGGGAGGCTCGGCGGAAGCGGGCGGCGGAGCTGACGAGCCAGCTGGTTGCTTCGGCATCATCTGCCGCGATTTTGAAATCGGTTCTTTCATCATTTGCGGCTGGGAAGACAGTAGCAGCAGGAGCCGCCGCCGCCGCTGCTGCTCCGGCTGACGCTGCTGGTGCAGGAGGTGGGGGCGATGGTGATGGTGGCGGTGATGGGGGGTTACAGATCCCAGGAGCACCAGTTTCTGGGGCAGATGCTGCAAATGACCCTTCTCAGCAACCAGAGAAGCGGCTTCGACCCACCGATACAAGCACACAGCCTCCGTCACACTCGTTTGGAGCCCCTCCCGCCGCTGCTGCCACTGCCTTTGCTTCCCCGAACCATGCAATGTTCCCCCCGCCCCCTCCCCCACTGAACATGGACGGTATGCCGTTCCCCCCCTTGCCTCCTCCCCCTCCACTCCCCACTCAATCCCCTCCTCCCCAACAGACAAGTGCTATGCCACAGTATTCTCTCGCTCCCCCTCCCCCTCCTTACACTGCTTATCCTCCCAACGCTGCCACTGGCGCTCCCCCCCCTTCTTATAATGTTATAGGGCAGGGAAATGGGGGTTATCAGGGGCAAGGGCAGATGGGGGCAGGGGATGGGGGTGTGGGAGGGAATGTTGGGGTGCAGGGGGGTGATTTTTCGGGGCAAAATGGGGGAGTGTACAATGCGGGAGGCATGTCGTCCCAACAGTACATGTACGGTCAGGCACCGATGCAGTAGGTATGAAGATTTTGTTATTTTTTGTGCAAGTTTTTTTTTCTTCCCCGTTCTGGTTGTGCCCCCATGCATTTTTTATGCGGGCCTTGGTGGTGTTCTGTCTCTGCTCCTGAAACCACCACACGAATGAACGGAACGGGTGTTCCTGAAGGACTCTGTAGCGCGTATACAAATTCGGTTTTGTAAGCGACTGGAACCTCGGTTAGGTCCGGTTCGGCGCGGCAAATTTGGATCGCACACACGAAAAACTCCCCCCGTTTGGCAAGCCCAAAAGCCCGATTGAATTCCCAAGCAATGCGCCGTTCTACCGCGTCGCCTAGTCCTCTCCACTCACCAATCAACCAACTCCCGCAGGATTCTCTGTTGTCTTCCGCAATTCCCGCTCGTTTCGTTCCCGATTCCCCTCATGCCGGCGGGCGCTTGCTCCGCCGCCGCTGTCGCTGTCCTCGCCATTTGCATGCGATCGTTGTGCGACGGTAGAAGGTCGTGCGACAGTAGCCGACAGCCGTGCGACAGAGGTTCAGGCGTCGTCGCGCGCTGTTTAATGCGCCCCCCTCCGCCGTCGGCGCGTCCACCCGCGCTCGCTGCGCCGTTTCCTCCCGAACCAGCTTGCCCCGCGCCTAAACTTCCCCACGGTCGTGCCCGCGCGTGCCGCGCATTGCGCTTCCCCCGCGCTGCCATGCGAACAACCCGCGCGGGAGCTTCTGCTGGGAATGGCGGGGAGAGCGCAAGCGCTGCGAGACCGCAGATTGACGGTTCCAGTGGCGGCGGCGGCGGCTCGAGCGAGTGGGCGGGCTCTGTATGGACCGCACAGGAGATCGCTGACGTGACAGGCGGCGCCGTCATTAGGGACTGCCCGCCAGGGCGCGTCTGCACTGACACGCGCCAGCTGGCGCCTGGCGATTGGTTCCTGGCCCTGCGAGGGCCGCGATTCGACGGTGCGGATTTCCTGGAGGAGGCGGCGCGGAGGGGATGCGGGGGGGCGATTGTAATGGCGGACGGATGGGGGGAAAAGGGGGATGCGGGGAATGCGGGGAATGGGGGGGATGCGCTGGAGGGAGGCGGCGGAACGGAGAGCGGGAATGGGAAGGAGGGGGGATGCGCGGAAGGGGGGGTATCGGCGGAAGAGGGTTCAAGAGAAGAAAAGGGAGCAACGGAACCAAACGTGCCTCCGAACCTGCTGCCAGAGGGGTGGCAGGGCGGGTTTGTGGTCATGCCAGACACGCTTGGCGCGCTGCAAGGCTTGGCGAGGGAGGCTCGGCGGAGGTTCGGCGGCGTGGTGGTGGGGGTGACAGGCAGCGTGGGGAAGACGACGGCGCGGGCTTTAACTGCCCTCGCGCTCTCGCCCCTGGGGGCCGTGCACCAGGTGGGGGGGGGGGGGGGGGGGGGGGGGGGGGGGGGGGGGGGGGGGGGGGGGGGAGGAAGGGGGGGTGCTGCAAGTGAAGAGGGGTCGACTCGGTTGGAAGGAGGGGAGGTTGGTGGAGCGGGTGCTGTTGAGTGGGCTTTAACTGCCCTCGCGCTCTCGCTCCTGGGGGTCATGCACCAGGTGGGTGGGGGGGAAGGATGGGGGGGAGAGTGGGGGAGAGGGGGGTGCTGCAGGTGAATGGGGGGTAGCTTGGGCGGAAGAAGGGAAGCGTGATTCAGCAGGTGCCTTAAGGTTTGCCTCAACTCTTCCATTCCGTCGCTTCCTTCTCTTCCCACGTCATCCCCCATACCATCCATTTGTGCCTCCATGCTCCCACACCTGCTGCGCGCAGACCCAGGGCAACCTTAACAACCACATCGGAGTGCCGCTGACTCTCCTAGGTACGGACTGGGTGACGCTCATAGAAGCAAATGATGGCGGGGTGGGTGACGCTCGTGCCACCATGTTCGATGCCTGTATTGCCACAAAAGTCGGCGCCTCTAAAGTCGGCGCCTCAAAAGTTGGCGCCTGAAAAGTCGACTTTCGAGGCGCCTCAAAGGTGCCACCAGGTTCGACGCCTGTATTGTTTTTTGTTCGTCTGTTTCTTGCAAAACTGCATGCCTGGCTAAATATGCTGTCCTCTCTCCCTTCTTCCCCGCCCTATCCTGCACACCCCTTTTAATCCCCCTGTCAGCTCTCCCCCAGGAGGCAGCAGCGTGTGTGGTGGAGATGGGAATGAGTGCGCGAGGGGAGATCGCCCTCCTCTCCTCCATCGCAGCTTCCTCTACCCTCCACCCCATCCCTCTTCATAACAACTTCCCCCCCCCCCAATCTATCAGCGCTCCCCCAGATCTCCTCCATCGCCTCTCCCTCCGTCCACCTGCTTCTCAACGTCGGCCCCGCTCACATCGGCGATCAGCACATCGGCAATCCCTAAGTCCTCTCGACACATAAGAAAGTGGTTTTGCACTCACGTCTCTCCCCCCCTTCCTTCGCCCCCCTCATCCTCCCTCCCTTCCTCCCCCCAGCTCTCCCCCAGTCCGCAGCAGCGTGTGTGGTGGAGATGGGAATGAGTGCGCGCGGCGAAATCGCCCTCCTCTCCTCCATCGCCGCTTCCACCATCCGTCTTCTCCTCAACGTCGGCCCCGCTCACATCGGCGACCCAACACTGGGGTCTCTGGAGGCGATTGCAGAGGCAAAAGGAGAGCTGCTGGCAGATGCGAGGGAGGGAGACGTGTGCGTGGTGAATGGGGACGACAGCCTTGTCTTGGGGCTGCCAATAAAGGGAGGAGTCAGACGGGTGAGTCTCCACTCCTCCTTCCCGCTCCACTCACATAGGCGACCCCTCGTTGTGGTCATTGGAGGTCATAGCAGAAACTGAGGGGGAGATGCTAGCAGATGCGAGGCCAGGCGATGTGTGCGTGGTGAATGGGGACGACAGGCTTGTCATGGGACTGCCCATAAAGAGGGGAGTTAGACGGGTGAGTCACTGGAGGCAATAGCAGAGGCCAAGGGGGAGCTTTTGGTGGATGCAAGGTCAGGAGACGTGTGCGTGGTGAATGGGGACGACGCTCGAGTCATGGGGCTGCCTATCGGGAGAGGAGTCAGACAGGTGAGTCTTCCCCACTTCCCACTCCCTTCGCCTCCCCCATCCGCGTGCTTCTCAACGTCGGGCCCCTCGTTGGGGACTTTGCAAGCCATAGCAGAGGCCAAGGGGGAGCTTATGGATGACGCGATGTATGCGTGGTGAATGGGGACGATAATCTTGTCTTGGGACTGCCTATTGGGAGAGGAGTCAGACGGGTGAGTCTTCTCATCCCCCCACTACCTCCCCCGCTCACATCGGAGACCCCTCGTTGGGGTCGCTGGAGGAGGCCATACCAGCGGCCAAAGGGGAGATGCTGGATGATGCAAGGAGAGGTGATATATGCGTGGTGAATGGGGACGATAGCCTTGTCATGGGACCGCCGATAGGGAGAGAGAAGTGAGACGGGTAAGTCTCCACCCAGCCAGTCTCTCCCCCTTCCCCCGACCCCCCGCACATATTGGTACCGGAGATCACCTTTGGTCGCTCCTCTGGCTGCAACGTGCAGCTGCTGTGGGCGCGGAGCAGCGGCAGCAGCAGCACTATTGCCACGCCTAATTCCTCCTTCCCACCCCCTTCCACCCACCCACACACCCCCGCAGGTCACCTTTGGTCGCTCACCTGCCAGTGACGTGCAGCTGCTGTGGGCGCGCCCAGTGGATGGTGGCATGGCTGTGGATGCTGGCAGTAGCAACAACACTCCTACCCACCCCTTCCACCCACCCACCCCACACATCCCCACAGATCACCTTTGGTCGCTCACCCACCAGTGATGTGCAGCTGCTGTGGGCGCGCGCAGTGGATGGCGGCATGTCTGTTGAAGCTGGAATTCACTGCAACCTGCCTCCCCACCCCTTCCTTCCACACACCCCTGCAGGTCACCTTTGGTCGCTCCCCCTCCAGTGATGTGCAGCTGCTGTGGGTACACGCAGTGGATGGTGGTATGGCGGTTGAAGCTTGCATCCGCAACAACCTTGCACGCAGAGGAGGAGGAGTAGCAGACGCAGCAGCAGGCGGACGCGGAGAGGAAGGAGGGGCTGAATCGCTTAGCAGCAAGGAGGAGGGCACTGATTCAAGCAGCAGTGTGCTGAGTGCAGAAGCCGGGGCCGTGCGTTTGAATTCTGATGGAGACATTGATGATACAAGGGGTGTGCATGGGGATGAGAGTAATCTCGACAGCAACGGGGTGTGTGTGCGAATCAACAGCCCCGGGTTGCATCTGGCTGACAATTCTCTCGCTGCAGCAGCCGTGGCGGTGGCGGCAGGCGTGCCCCTGCCAATGGCAGCGCGACACATGGCGCTATACGAGCCCATCGGGATGCGGATGCGGGTTGAGAGGATACAGCGAACGGGAGGGGAGAGGGCGGAGGGCGATGGAGGGAGGGATGAGGAGAGGGCTGAGGGGAGGGATGGGGGGAGGCATGAGGGGAGCATCAGCCAAGGGAAGAGAAGGGGCCAGGAGGGAGATTGTGTGACTGTGTTGAATGATGCTTATAACGCCAACCCTATCAGTGTGGCTTCAGCTCTTCGTCTCCTGGAGCAGCTCTCCCTTCAATCAACTGCCTCCTCATCCGCCACCTCCTCATCCTCTCCACCAGTCTCAGGTCGCCATGTGGCAGTGCTGGGAGACATGCTGGAGCTGGGCAGTTAATCAGAGAGCGCACATGTGGACGCGCTCTCTCTCTGCCTCTCCCTTTCGGGAATTTCTCTCGTCCTGACAGCTGGTGCGGCCTTCAAGTCCGCCCTGGGGAAAATGGTGCAAAGGAGAGTGGGGGGTGGTGCAGAGAAAGGAGTGGAGGGGGGTGAGGATGGGAGCTGCAGTAATGAAGATGGTAGAGACAGTGGGGAGTGGAAAAGCGGCCGTCTGCACTGTTTTTTGGAAGACGGTGGGGAGAGGTGCCTGGAGGTGTATGCGTTTGATTCGGCACAAGACCTTGCAGAGGCTGTAGCATTATCTGCATGCTTTGCAGAGTCACTCCTTGAAGCGCCCATATGGGTTTGATACGGTTGGGAGATGTGGTGTTGGTGAAGGGGAGCCGAGGAATGCGCATGGAACTTGTGTGCGATGCCCTTCGCTCAGCTTTTGGATCAGGGAATGATTGAGTGTGTTACTGGGCTTACGATGATTCATTTTTTTTGTGTCGGAGCGGCCAACGGGCATACAAAAATGAAGTGCCATACAAGCCTTAAATGAGTATCCTTCCTCCAATTACGGTACATGTGGGTGCGGATGTGATCATAATGGCTTACGTTTAGGATGGTACAAAAAGATTTAAGCAAACTTTCTTTGAAGTGTTTAACCAAGGTTGAGTGTACCAGTATTTCTATGGAGCTGAGGTGGAGGTGCGCTCCCTTGAAACTGGAAATACTCTAAGCCTAGCCAATCAAAGGAATTCGGACGTTAGTTTCGCAATGACATGTGTCACGCCTCCCGTTGACAACCACACGTGAAACTGGTAGACCAACCAATGCGAACAGCGTGGCAGGCATCTGTCCGTCCGCAGACGCGCCTCAGATGCACGCACGAGGGCTCATTCATCTCACCTGTTTTCAGACCGCTCTTACCTAAACGCGTAATTTGCGTATTAAACAACGTGAAATTTGAAAGCAGTCCTTTCCTTCCATCTGAAACCCCGCATCAGTCTACTGGCATCTCATATCGAGTAGAAGCCCTCTTCGTTCGGACACCCCTGAAAGCAGCACGTCCAGCATAGATATTCCTGCCTGGGACGCAGAATAGCACACAAGTGCAGATTAGAAGGTGTCTCATGTGACTGGTCCGCCCCGAGCTGGTCCGCTGCAAAAAAATGCATGCCTGGTCCGCAATTCTGGTCCGACGGACCTACTTCGCGGACCAGCCGTGGACCAGACACGAGCTGGTCTACGTGATACATCGCGCCACGGGCTGTACAATACTTGCGAAAAAAATCAGTATCTACGAAAATCAGAAATGTCGAAATTGAGTTACCTCTTTTTTCCCGTAAAAATTCCCCAACCTGTTTGGGCCGACAATCACGAGTGGCGAGAATTTTCGCAAGCAGCCGTGTGAGCTGCTACAGCTACGGATCAAGCGCGGGCTGGTCTGGCGATCAGTTCAATGGCACCGTTGCACTGTATGCCAGTTGAAAGTTTTATCGGGGTTAATCTCGGTCCAGTCCGCCGCTGGTTCAGGCGTTGGTTCTCGAGCTGGTCCGCCAGATCCGCGTCGGACCCACGTGGACCCGCACATTTGAGACACGTCCTTAGTTCCACAAATTTATTTCGTTCTCCTCGTGATCACTCGTTCTTATACTTGCGTCTCGGAGATTGGAAAGAGACCTGACCTGCATCTATTACCGCTAAACGTCCTGTCACCCATCCGATCTCCCCCCGATCATGGCCCTTGCCGCACTCTCGTCCAATGGCGTGTCATTCGGACTGATGGCATCCGAGGCGGGTAGAATCTCTACAACCGTCGTCGCAGAAGCCAAGTCAGGTAAGTCTCTGTCTGCAGCAATCTAGATGACTTCATCCTAAAACGAAGAGTATCCGAACGCGCGCACACATGTTGTGAAGTAGGCATTCACAAGCACACCATCCGTTATTCTTCAAGTAGCTGCCGCCATTAATTGGCATTGGCTGTCGATGAAAGATATATGCATCAAAGGAAGTCATTCGAGACGCCTCAAACTACGACCGACGGTGCAAATAAATCTGTGTAGTAAAGTCCGCTTGTGATCTGATTAAAACAGGCGACCTAAATTATAAAGTTATTTTTTTTCGTTATACTGTTTTGGGCAATACATTGCCTTATATGAAAAGTGAAGCACAAAACACGACCTCCGACTTATCATATTTCCCTCCTCTTCAAACGCTCATACTTCTCCCCCTACCCTCCCCACCCCCACCCCCCGCCCCCCCCCCCCCCGTTTTCTTGAAACCCCCGCCCAACCCCCAGTTACCTTTCTCGCTCCCCAGCGCCCCTCCCTTTCCGCCAAGCCCCTCTCCATCGCTTCCCCGCACCAACGCCTTAGGCCCGCGCGGCCAGTAGCGGCGGTCGCGGCGGAAACCGCCTCCGCGGAAGACGACTCCGCGGACGTCCCCCCGCCGGGGTGCTCGCGGATCAAAATCGAGCTCGCGCGCCCACTGGGGATGGTGCTGGAGGAGCGCGCGGGGGGGATTTTTGTCGCGGAAGTCGCGCGCGGGGGGAACGCGGAGGCGACGGGGCTTGTGGACGCCGGCGACCAGCTGATTGCGACGAGTGCGATCGTGTTCGACAACAGCGACTCGTACGGCGGGGTCGTCGTGAAGAAGGGCATGCGGATCGTGCGGTTCAACGTACGCGGCGAGAAGTTTGACACGGTACGGACGGATCATCTTTTCGAGAGACGTGACAAAGTGTGTCCTCGGAGCTAGGGAACATTCTTTAGTGCTGAAAAAGGTATTGCGAAGGAGATCAGGCGACATGACGACTGATGGCACCCTGTTACAGTTACGGCTTCGCGTGAACGGGTGCCATAAGAATTCTCGAATCTGGAGTGCTGGGGACCAGAGCAGGTAAGGGCGAATGAGACGAGGATGTGTGGGAGTTTGAGGGACCACGACGGACGGGAACAGTGTGACAGGGGATTAGAGTTGGGGAAATAGGACAGTAGAGGGTTCTCGATCTCCCCTTTCTATTCTCGTACTTCCCCACCCCACTCTCTCCCTCATGTTCCCTCTCTCTCGATCGCTCCCCTTCCATTACTACCCTCTCATGAACTCGGTGTGTGCAGGTCATGGCTGCAATCGGGACACATCCGTCGTATCTCAAGGTGAGCCACTTACTCAGTGAGGCCTTTCGTCGGAGTCGGTTAAAATGCATTTCTCAGGATGAGTCACAACCGCTGTCGCGGCCCGTGCCGTGGGCACGGTGCCGTTTGACTAGCAGCCGTTTCCTTACACGTTACCAATCATTGCAGTGCTTCCCTCTTCCCTGCTGCTTCCGCATCACCCTCGTATCACGGTGCTCACATCACCCACCCACGGTGCTCGCATCACCCACCCACGTCACACTACCCACCACACCATTCGCCTGCTCCTCCAGTTAGCTGCACCGAAGCAGATGGCTATTGCATGGGCACATGCAGTCTCGGGTGTACTAACCACGTGGTCCGTGTTGCTGCCATGTTTTCTTCCCCCATCGCCAGGTCGCCATAGAGCTGCAGAAGTGCAAGCCACTCACCAGGGACCCCACCACCTCGTAGGCCATAGTGTTACATTGGCGCCTCTAGAATACGCATGACAACAATAGACGCATCCAGCTCCCCACCACCTCCTATTACGGTAGATGCTCACAGCCCCCAGGCTAGGCGCACTTCTCTCCTCCGATTGCTCTGCACGAAATGCACTAGTGTTGGCTGTGTCCCAGTTGAATATTAGCCATTGCCCGCTGCATTGACTTTTGATGAGCAGTCTGGCAAGCACGCATTCAGGTCTTGCCTTCACACCGACGCCTGGCTGGTTCTAGAACATTGATTGATACACCGACTGGCCCATGAGATGTTAAATACCGTAAGACCGACAAGCACCAGCTGCAGAGCGCACCGGAAAGAGGGTATCCACAACACATGCACAACAGAGGCTGAAGAGGGGTTTACTCATTGCCTGGATTCACATTCCCTTGGCTGGTTACGGACTGAGAGAAGCCAAGTGCAGCAGCAGGGTGTGAAGTTGAGGTGAGTGCAGCTGAAGCTGAGGTGTGCATCTGTGGGCACGACATAGAGATGCGATTGGGGCTTGCAGCAGTAGGAAGGGCCATGCATCCACACATGTGTGTGCGCACACGCACTCGTGTGCGTGTATGTCAGAATGAAGAATGGATGATGCATTGATGTTGGTTGGGGTACATATAGCTAACCCTAAGTTTTGTACCCCCTAAGACAAACCTCACTATAGGCTACAACATTTGACACACCCCCATAGCCTAAGTGAGGGGTGTCTAGCAGAACCAAACGAGTACGGTCACAAGACCAGTCCAAGAAACGAAGCTCAGGGTGGATCACAACGTCACCATACAGTCTGAGCACAAACAACAGTGGCCACAAGGCCAGTCCAAGAAGTAACAGAGATATATAGAAAGCAAAGTAAACAGTACACTCAAGTCTAAGCAACACGAGAACCAGTGTCAACAAGGCCTAACTGCACACAGCACCTCTGGTGGTCACAAGGCGGAAGCGCCTTGGTGAAGATGTCTGCAGTGTTGGCCTCGGACTCCACAAACTCAAAGCGAGCCTGTCCACGCCTCTGCAACTCTCGCAGAAGAAAGTACCTGACGTGAATGTGCTTCACTCTGCTCTCCAGTCGTGGCTCTCGACAAAGGAGAATAGACGCCTTGTTGTCAGTGAACAAGGTCGGTGCAGAGCTCGGCCGCTCACCAAGGTCGGTGAGCAAGAAGGTCAACCAACGCAGCTCCTGTGCCGCCATGGCACCAGCGTAGATCTCAGCCTCAGCTGTAGAGGTCGAGACCGAAGAGGAGCGCGTGGACCGCCAGGAAACAGCTCCAGAACCCAGGCTGAAACAGTACCCCTGAGTAGACCTGTGAGTCTCAGCGTCGTCAGCGTAAGAGGAGTCACAGTGACCAGTAAGTACGACAGACTGCTGCCCTCCAAGAACTAGCCCCACGCCTGATGTCGTCGCTAGGTACTTTGCCACCCTCACAGCTGCTGTCCAGTGAACAGGACGGTGTCTCCCTGGCGCAACAAAGCGCGCAAGAACGCTGAGAGGGAAGGCGAGGTCCGGGCGAGTACAAGTCATCAGGTACATGAGGCAACCCACAAGCTCTGCGTAGGGACCACTAGGCTCGAACGGCTCGTCAGGAAAGGGTCCAGTGAGTCTGTGGTCAACAGCAAGAGGTGTGCGCTGTACTGTGGAGTGCTGAAGCCCGAACCGCTGAAGGACCTGCTGCACCATGTGCGACTGTGAAAGTGTAATGGTGCGAGCAGCTCTGTCCCTGGTGATCTGCAGGCCAAGGTAGTGGCGCAGCTCACCAAGATCAGTGCAGGTGTGTCTCTTCTGCAGTTCGGACTTCACGTGTGCCAAAGCAACCCTGTCAGGGGTGGCGAAAACAAGGTCGTCAACGTAGACCAGAACAAAGAAAGGTGTGGGGCCACGACGAACGAACAGCGACGGGTCAGCAGAAGACGGCTGGAACCCAAGGTCAGACAGGGTAGAACGCAGGGTGTCGTGCCACTCACGAGGAGCCTGACGAAGACCGTAAACCGGTCGCCTCAGCCTCCACTGGGTCCTAGGAGGGAAAGAGCCAGTGAAGGCAGAGGGACGACGCAACCAGACCTCCTCGTGAAGACTGCCCTGAAGGAAAGCAGTAGAGAAGTCGAGAGAGTGTAACTCGTAGTCTCTCTGTGCTGCTACGTGTAGTAACACCCGAAGAGTGGTCATCTTCGGGGTGGGTGCGAAGGTCTGAAAGAAGTCAACTCCCTCGCGCTGACTGAAACCTCTAGCCACGTAGCGCGCCTTGAAGACCGGAGGAGATCCCGGTGGCCGCTTCACCCTGTAGATCCACATGCCGTCGACTACGTTCGCCCCCGGAGGGGGAACCTCATCGACGTAGGTGCCTGTGGATCTGTAGGAGGCCATCTCTGCGTCCATGGCAGCTCTCCACTGAGAGGCCCAAGGCCCTGACACTGCCTCAGCGTAAGTGCGAGGAGTCGGAATGTCAAGGGCGTCGGGGTCACCCTCAGGGGCGAGGAGCATGGCACAGAGATGAGGGGAAGCGGCTGCCAGGAACTCTAGCTCAAACTGCCTGTCCTCTAGGGCGTCACAGCCAAGGGCAGACACACCCCCGACGGCCAGAGGACTGGAAGGAGGAGCAGCCACAAGAGCGGTGGCGAAGTCAAGGCGGCGGGTAGAGGCAAACTCAGTGACTGCGGCAGTAAGAGCGGACACAGAGGACACAGAGGCACGAGGGTGGGTAACAAGAGAGGCGAGAACACGAGAGAGAACAGGACGGTACGTGCGGTAGTAGTCAGTGACAGGAGAAGGAAGCGACACAGTGAGGGCCGACTCAGGAGGAGACGGAAGCACAGACGGAGACGGACGAGGTGGACGAGAACAAAGGAAGGCTGTACGAAGGTCAGTGAAGGGAACAGGAGACGAGGGACGAGCACGAGGGGAGCGACGAGAGGCCCAAGTCTGAGAAGGAGGAGGAGACAACGAAGACTGAGAACGAGGGAAAACAGCGGGAGAGGGGTCAGGAGGAGGAAGCGGAGGACCAGAGACGGGAGGAGAGGGGGAGGAGGAAGGAGAGGGAGACGGGAGACCAAGGGTCCGAAGACCCGAGACAGGAGGAGGAGACGGCAGCAGCTGCTGCTGCTGCTGCTGCGGCTGCTGCTGCTCCAGCGGCTGCTGCCCCTGCTGCTGCTGCTGCTGCTCCTGCTGCTGTCGCTCCTGCTCCTCGAGCCGCTGCAACTCTCTCTCCTCTCTCTCCAACTCCAGCTGCTCCTCACGAGCACGGCGAACACGAGCCTGGAACCTGGTCGGGTAGGGGTGGGGGGAAGGAGTAGTGTCCGGGGCAGCGGCAGCCCCAGAGTCGACCTCCGAAGCACCAAGCACACCACCCCCAGAGGCAGCACCAACACCAGCTCCAGACCCAGGCTCTCCAGAAACCGAAGGGACACCCTCACCCCCAGACGCAGCACCCCCAGACTCCGCACCAGCACCCCCAGACTCCGCACGACCAGTACCAGCCCCCGGAAGACAAGAGTCCTCTGCAACCCGCGGCTCAGCTCCAACTCCAGCACCCCCAGAACCAGAGACCTGTACAGGGACAGTCGCAGGACCAACCTCCCGAGAGGGAGCACCTGCAGGAGGCGGCGAGGAAGACTGTGGGGAGGGAGGCTGTACAGGGGGGGCTACCGAAGGGGGAGGGCTAGCCTGAGACACACCAGACGGGGCTGGACCAGGGGGGGGAGCAGGCGGGGGAGCGGCGGTCAGGAAGAGAGGGGGGGGAGGGACCGGGAGACCTCGACTGGGGTACCTGACGTAGTAGGGGGTGGACTCCTCGAAACGGACGTCACGGGAGTCAAAGAACCGGTGAGAGGGAGGGTGGTAAAAGGTGAAGTCAGAGGAGTCCTCAGGGAAACCAAGGAAGACACAAGGAACGGCGCGAGGCGAGAGCTTGTCCGCGGAGGTGTCGCGGACAAGAGCCAAGCACCCCCAGACACGAAACCTCGACGCGACACCAGGGGACCCTGTCCAAAGACTGGTCGGTGAAGCCTCCGGCCGAGAGACGCGTGGCCAGAGGTTCAGCTGGTGCGCGGCGTACCTGACCGCGTATGGCCACAGGAAATGGGGGGCACGGGCGTGAGTCAAGGAGGTGCGGGCAATCTCCATGACCAGGCCTATGCGACGCTCAGCAACCCCATTCTGCTGTGGGGACTCCGGAAGCGTCCAGGACTGACGAATGCCCTGTTCGCGACAGAATCCAGCGAGAATGCCGGAGCGAAACTCGCCCCCGCGGTCGGAGTGGAGACAGCTGACACGACGACCACGAGTGTCCTGGGTGGTAAGCAACCACCTGATCAGCGTAGAAGTCACCTCAGACTTCCTCGCCAGGGGGAACACTGTGGTGTAGCGGGAGTAGTCGTCAACGCTCACGCTCAGGGCCAGGGCGAGGAGAGGGGCCCCAGACGTCCAAGTGCAGCGTCTCAAAAGGCTCGGTGGCCGGACGAAGGGAGGAGGAGTGAGGGGTGGCGCGCAGCCTACCCTCGACGCAAGGACCGCACGGTGGTGCAAGGGACGGCGGCAGCGACGGCAAGACACGCGGGAGACCTAAGACAAGACGCTGACGAGACATAGCGCGAAGACGAGGAGGAGAAGGGTGCCCCAGCCGGTGGTGCCACAAAACGGTGGGGTGGGCAAGCGACCGACAGGAGCACGACGCAGCGACCGGACTAGACGGAGGAACCTGACAAGACACAGCTACCTGGGGGGACGGAGCAACCTGGTGAGACGCGAGGACTCGAACGGGGGGCAAAACAGGGGCCGGGGGCAGGAGGGGCGGCTGTGGCTGCGGCTGCGGCTGCTGCTGCTGCTGCTGCTGCTGCTGCTGCTGCTGCTGCTGCAGTCGCTGCTGAGCGCGCGGGCCAGTGTGAAGAGTGTAGAGACCGGAGCCCGGCTCAGCAGCAAAAGTGGCGAGGGGCTGGTAAGAGTCCCCGTCAACACACACCGCAGTCTCTCCAGAAGGCTC